GCCTTTTTATTATACTTTTAGATACTAGTAGTATTACAGTAGTAGCCTAGTAGCTTTATAGTGCTAGTATAGCGTAGTTAGCCCCCTTTAGTAACTAAAGTAGTAGTAGCCTTAGTAATAAGGTCTAGCTAATCTTCCTCTATAATAGGGGCTAGAAAGTTAGCCTCCTGTTACTTTATATTATAAAACTTATCTTTAGTAGTATCTATATTATTAGTCTGTTAAGTAAGGTGTATAGTAGAAATAGGTTACTATTAATAATTTTCTAGAGGAGAAGTTATATAGTAGCTATTATTAATACGCTTACTATCTAACTTACTACTATTAGATTAATTAATTTACTAGTTATAAGACTTTTTAGTAATAAGTTAATATAAGTTAGAGATATAGGCTAAAAATTAGGTAAAGAGGTTAGGCTTATTAAATAGTATATTATAGTTAGTTTCTACTAGAATAATAACTCTATTAATAAAGTAAAGAATAGTCTTCTTAGGCTCTTTATAAAAATAAATATTATAATAGTAAATAACTTACTTCTTACTTAGGATATAAATATAGTAAATATAGCTATATAGAGAGCTATATTTAATAAGGTAACCCTTTATTATATAGGGCTTTATCTTTATAGAACACAGGAGGCACTTACTACTCTTTTTTTATATATATACTATATAACTAAAGGTACAAAGGTATTTAATATAAAGGGGCTTATAATTAGTAATAAGGTTAAGCTTATAAGTAATAATTTTATAGAGGCTTATCTTACCCTTAGTAAATTAAGGCAAAAGGTTAAGGATCTATACTATAGTGCTAAAGGTATAGTCCTAAAGCTCCTTTAGTAGGCTATTATTAATAAGTAATATATAAGTAGCCTCTATAAGTATATAACTAGCTTGCTTAATTAACCTATTTATTAATAAAGTATATATAATTATAAGGTTAAGCCTTATACCTATAAAGTAAGAATTATAAAGTACCTTCTTTAGCTTAGGTATATTATTAAAAACCTAGCTCTAAATAATAAGGCTAGTTATATTAGTAAAAGTAATATTAAAGTTCTTAATAGTATTAAGTATAACCCTCTAGTAATAAGTTTATAAGAGTTAAAGCTATTAGTAGCTACTATAATAGTTAAAAAAATAAAGAGTATATCTTATATTAGTCTTTAATAGTAGTTTAACCTTAATAAGGTTAAAATAAATCTCTTTATCTACTAAGGTAAAAGGTAGTAAAGTATTATAGCTAATAAGCTTTATAAATTTAGCTAAGTAGTAGGCATTATAGTAAAAGGTATTAATCTTAGCTTAAGTAAATTATATAGTTACTAAATAGTAGGCCTTAATAACCTATAATAAATAAGTATAAATAAGTTAATAGTATATTATTTTAAGGGTTATTTAGTACTTACCTTTAACTATAGATAAAGTAAAGGTAGTTACTACTAGTATAGTTAGCTTATTCATAATATAAAGTATATAAATATTAGAAATCTATTTAATAGTAGCTAATTAGGCCTTAGATTTAGTATTAATAATACTAGTAGTTATATAGTTATACTTAATACCTACCTTATAAAGTTTACTAAGGCTAAGAAGGTTAGCTAGGCTGTAAAGGCTATACTTAATATCTTTAATAGTCTAGTTAATTATTTAAGATAGATTAGCTAGATCTTAAGTTTAAAAGAAAATAGTACTAAATCTCTTTAAAAACACTTACTCTCTATTTATAGTAGTAAAAAGAAAAAGGTTATTATAAATAGTATATAATATAAAAAGTTAAAGTAAGTTAAAAATAAGGCTTAAGTAGCCTAAATCTAGTATAATATTAAATAAGGTAATAGCTTTATTACTTATAGTAGTAAAGATAGCCTTACTTAGTTATATTATAAGGCTAGTAATTAAGGAGCTACCTAGTGCGCCTAAGGCACCTTTTATAAAAACTAATATAAAAGAATTAGGTATAGTAAAGGCAGTAGCCTTTTTATAATCCTTATTATAAATATACTTAGCTATATAAGTAAGTAAATTCTTATAAAACATATAGTTAGTAAGAATAAGCTCTAGATAAGTAGTCTAACACTTTATAGTAATATAACCTTTCTTATAATAAAGGTAAATATTATAGCCTAACTTCTTAGTAAGAGTAGCACTTTAGCTATTAGTACTAAAGGTAGTAGTAATTATAGCCTTATAGTAAGTAATAAGGCCTATTTTTTACTTTTTATCTTAAGTAAGTATATAAATAGTCTTAATAACTATAGCCTACTTAGGCTTCTTATTATTATTAGTATAGTGCTTATATATATTAAGTAGATATATCTTAAAATAATTAAGTAAAAGGATAGCCTAATAGTAGTTAGAGTTTTTACTATAAAGGCTAGTAATATAGGCGTATAAATACTATATACGTTTAAGGGTATTATAAAAAGTCTTATAATCTTAGGCACTACCCTTAGAGAATTTATTAATAAGGGCTCTAACTACGTCTTTAGATACCTTAAGAATATATTTCTTAAGTGCTTTTATTAAGGTATAAGGATTACTATTATCTTACTATTTTATATTAAGGAGCTTATTAATTAATATATTATATAATAAAATAAAAAAGCTATATATAATATTATAGTTAGCTTTTTATAAAGTAAAAGCTATAGTGTCTTTAGCTAGTTAAGGAATATTATAGTTAATATACTTCTTAACTTTATTAGTATAAAAGGTAGCGCTAATAAGTATAATCTATAAGGACTAGTTTAACTTCCCTTTAAGCTTAAGGATAGTTAATAAGACTATTTAGTAATTACTACTATTAGCTATAATAATAGTAATATAAGTAAGTTACTTTAGACTATAGTTAGCCTAACTATATATTAATCTTTATATATTTCTTTTACTATAGTAAAAGGCGTATTTAAAACGTTATATAATTTACTACTATTTAATAGACGCCTAAAGTAATAAATTAATATAGTTAATAAGTAAAAGTATCCTTATAGTAATTAGTAAAAGATTCTTAACTTAAGCTATAGTAAAAATAGTAAGTAAAGTTAAGTAACTACTATAATAATTAGTAAATAATTATAAATTAATAAAAATAAGTAAAGGTAACTAATTAATTTATAAAAAAAATTAATATAGGCCTAGGCTTTATAACCTATAGGAGCATAAGAGTAATAAAGTAAGGTAAATAGTGATATTACTAATCTGTAGTGGTGTGTAGTGGTAAGGAGGAAAATCCTCCTCTTAAGGCTATAGGCAGAGGCTGGATAAAGGTGAGGGGCCTAGGAGGTCACGTGACCTTCTAGCACACGGGCCCCCTCACAACATATTACTAGGTATTAATTACTTTAGATTAAAGGGTTCTAATAAATAGATTTTAGTATATAAATTAAGCTATCTATTTCCTCCCTATAAAAAGATACCTATTACCTATTATACGCTTTACTAAGCCTTTTACTTATTAATAGTTAATATATCTACTAAGGGACTATTAAAGGGTAATATAGGCAGCTAGATTATCCTCCTAGGCCTAGGATAAGTGCTGCCTATCTTTAAAGGCAGTATTCCTACTTTACTTACTAAAGTATTAATACTAAAGTGTTATATATAGTATACCTTATCTATAAGTAACAGCCTAGAGGCTATACTACCTAGACTATATATCTAGGAGGGCCTGTTAGAGCTTATCTTTAGAATATTGCTTTATAATAGTTTAAAGAAGGTATCCTAAAAAAATAGCGTTATTTAGCGATAAATAGTAATTGTTGTGATAGTTTAAAAAAGGTAGTGGTGTTAATAAAGGAGGGGAAATGCGGGAATTTCGGGTGGTTCGGATGCGGGGGTGGTTCGGATATAGGGTGGGGGAGTTATACCAAAACCTATACGGATAATTATCGTAAAAGTGCGTTGGGTGCTCGGCAACATGCGCGATAAAAACTTCACCCATGTCTTGGCTATTGGGGCTAGAATCCAGACAGGCATTCTGCGAGCATTCCTTGGCCCTGATTTATACTCTGGCATAGTGGTGTTGGGCGATTACAATTGTTTATTCGCTGTCAATGAATTGCTATTTTGGCAGGAAACCATCGGATATAAATCCGAACAAATGCAATCTGTACGAGTGGGTGGGTGGTGCCGACACCCTGATTGGGAAATAAGCTTATAACGAGCCTTTTGGGGTTCCGTAAGTTCCACTTAGAACAGATAGCCAATACCATAATGCTAAATATAATTAAAAACTATAAAAACCTTACAGATCCTGTACTATGGTATCGGGCCAAAGTTTAACCCCCTCGTCAGGTAAATGTGGCCGTGCTTTTTTTGATTATTTCAGCAACGGTACGGATACTTTAAGGTTCTTGTGCACATCTATCATATATCATAATTCTGGCTAGTGAGAGTCTCTCATACGTGGGTCACAACTCCACACTACCTGTTATAGAGTTTAAACTTACCCATCATACCATAGTATGTGTAGTCAGTTGGGGCAATAACTAGTTAGAGCCATAGCTGTTGTAATATAAGTAGAACTAGTAATATCTTTAGTAGGAACTAATAACAGAGAGGAGCAATAATTGAAAAGTTGACGCTGAGCACAGTATTTTCCTCACTGTTGTAGTACGTAAGGCGTTAATTGCTGCTTGCGATTAACGGCGTCGTTTTTGCGACACTCACAAAGAGTGTTTGATTTTCAGGACTTTAGATGTATGTGTTTGCTTTTTCGATCATTGATCCAGACTGCTTTCTACCTCGACACATTTACAAATTCTAGCCCAAACTACATGATTAAACCATCAATATGATACTGAGCAGCAGTACCTGCTTCACGTGAGTCAGCTGGTTGCACCAATACGACTGTATAAATTATGGTATCGTGCTTCACCTAGGTATGTACATCTAGGGGTATTAACTCTTTTATATGATCAGTCATACTTGATAGAGCATTTTTATATATGATTCCTATGTTCTGCTTTTATTAATATATACTATGAATACTTTTTCCATCTAGTTGAGACTCTGCGCCGCGCACATATCTGAGTACATGCCCCCCTTGGCCAGCAAATCAATATGCGTCCCCATCTCAACGATTCGTCCGCCATAGAAGACACAAATAAGATCTGCGTCTTTGACCGTCGACAAGCGATGCGCCACGGCGATCGTGATCCGGTCGCCCCTCTTGGCGGCCTCGGCCAGCGCGCTCTGGACGATCTTCTCGCTCTCCGTGTCGAGCGCGCTGGTGGCTTCGTCGAGCAACAGGATGCTCGGGTTGCGGACGAGGGCCCGCGCGATGGCGATCCGCTGCCGCTGCCCTCCCGAAAGCTGGGTGCCGTTGGAGCCGACCTGTGTGCCAAGCCCATCGGGCAGAGACGATACGAAATCCCACGCGTTTGCCTGCCGCAGCGCCGCCTCAATCTCATGATCGGGCGTCGACGAGATCTTGTCGTCTTGGCCAGGCTCACCTGCGTCAACGCCGAGTGAAATGTTCTCGCGGATAGAGCCTTCGAACAAGGTCGGCTCTTGCTGCACCAGGCCAACCTTGCGCCGGTACATACGAGGGTTGATATCCTGTAGAGACTCGCCTGCGATGCTGACAGTGCCGGCGGTCGGATCGTAGAACCGTTCGAGCATCGATATTATGGTGGATTTGCCGCAACCTGAGGCGCCTACCAAAGCAACAAACTGCCCTTTTTGTACATCCAGACTCACGCCCTTGAGCACGGGGAATTTCGGTCTAAGGGGATATGAGAACTGGACATCTCTCAGATCGATTGGGCCGCCCGACTTGGGTTCGTGATTTTGATTCTCAGGCGTCTCCCGCACTGTCGGTTGAAGCTTGCCCAACCAAAAGATGTAGTTGGCGCCGTTTACCCCTTTCGTCATGCCTTTTTTTCATAACCGTTAGCGGTTGGGTTCCTTTGGCTCGTCTTCATCAATGAGGCTATGAGTTTCCTTACTGGTTGAGAATTGGAAGATCTGGTCTGTCCCTTGCGCGGAGAAGAAGACGGCCATCAACGCCACAAAGAAGGAGAATACTGTGATTTCATGTGACGTAAAAAGCTGTATGCCGTACCTGTAGAAATTTCAGCTGCTTATTCCGTTGATCCTAAATTCGAAACGGGAGGGAACCAACCAGAAACCAAGAGCCAGGAATAGGTACTCAATCGATTGCGTTAGGGAAAACCACAGCATCATCCACACGAGTGGCTTGATTGAAGTAGAGATGGCATGGTCAAGTTCGGCTGTATAATGGTCCAAGACCGAGCCCTCGATCGCGAGGGAGGATACGGTTCGAATGGCGGTGACCGACTCTGATGCGATCGCCGAGCTAGCTGAAAGCCGCTTCGAGATGTCGCGCTCCAGCTTCCCGTCCAATCGCATCCTCAGCCAACCGGAACCCACAAGAGGAGGCAGCCCGACCAGCACGATTACCAGGCCCAGCTTCCAGGCGAAGAAGATGGCGAGAACGCTGCAGGCAATGACACTGAGCGCAGCGATTATGATGACTCCAATGTTGTAGCCCATGAGCTCGAAAACAGCCTGTGGATGAGAGTCGAGCCGACTGGTCAGGGCCCCAATGCTGTTCTCGGGTCGGTCGAAGAACTTCAGATCCTGCCGGAGCATGTCTTCGAAAATTCTCTTGCGCAGGCGGTGTGCCAGAGTCTACATCAAGATGGTCAGCAATTCATCGCTAACGAATCGGTCGCCCAACGGCGGGTACAAAAGTGCGTTCACATACCTGAGACATCGCGTTGGATCCATAGCCGACAAGGAACCAGGATATGAGGCATGCGCCTGCCAAGACAACGTACATGGACGCAAAGAAGTTGCCGGGGACGGTCATCTGGGAAGGAGATAGTGTAAAGACCTCGACCATGTATGCCACAAGGATAGCCTGAGCAGGAAACAGGCCGGCTGTAGGGTTGCGGTTAGAGTCAGTCGAGAATAGTGGTTGAACTGAGGATGCTTACAACACAGAATGCAGCCGATGACGGTAGCAGCATACGACATCGAGAGGTCCGTAGACTCCTTCATCAATCGATATACAACCATGATGAGCCCACCATGGTTGTGCGTCTCGTAGTCCTCACTGCTGATCTTGCCATCCACGTGGTCGAGATCGGCGGTAGTGGACCGGGTTAATGATTTCTCGTTGTACTCATCCAACTTGTCATTAATATACATCCTATCCTCGCCGCTGTCTTCTGCCGAAGCCTTGTGCGAACTCATGAGCTGTTGGACTTTCACGAGCCGGGCGTACGCGCCATCCTGTGTAATGAGGCTCTCATGTGTCCCCTGTTCGATGATGCGGCCTTTGGACATGACAACGATGTTGTCCGCCTTCCGGATTGTCGCCAGCTTGTGGGCGATGACAATCGTGGTCCGATTGATGGATGCTTTGTCTAGCGCTTTCTGGACGATCTCCTCGGCGTGGGGATCAAGCGCACTGGTTGCTTCATCGAGAAGCAAGACCTTTGGCTGCGAGACAATGCTGCGGGCAATCGCAATTCGCTGCTTCTGGCCTCCGGAAAGGAGACCGCCCCTCTGGCCTATCTCCGTATCATATCCGTTGGGTAGTTGGGATATGAAGTCGTCAGCAAAGGCTATTCTGGCGGCCTCCTGGACTTGCTCCATCTTCTTTTCCCTGGATTGGTGTTCCCACGGTGTGCCAATAAGACCGTGGGAAATGTTGTCAAACACAGTCCCTCGAAACAGTGTCGGCTCCTGGTGAAAGACACGTATTATTAGCGTTGAACAGTTGAAGCGTAAAACATATGTCTCCAGGATACTCACTTGCTGCACTAGACGGACGTTCCTTCTTAGCCAACCGATATTCAAAGTCTCAATTGGCCGACCATCTATCTTGATGGTACCCGATGCCGGGTTGTACCACCTCTCAAGTAGGCCGACAATTGTGCTCTTGCCGGAACCACTTTGACCCTGTCGAGATATTCTGTTAGTGTCTGTCGGTGCAATATGTGTCTACCAACGAATGGGTTCAACTCACCACCAAGGCAGTGGTTTTGCCTGCGGGAACTTTCAGTGAAAAGTCATCCAGAATAGTGGTGTTGGGTCTTGTGGGATAAGCAAAGGTGATGTGCTCGAGTTCCACGTCTCCCTTTTCCAGCTTCGGCTGGTCTCCAGACGGGTCAAACGGGTCAATGGCGCTCTTTCTATCAATCAGAAGAAACAATTGAACAGCGCCAGAAGCAGCGCGGGTGAACTCTATGCAGTACGGAGCTAGCTGTGTAATGCTAATAGCTGCAACGGTTACAGATAAAAGGACGCTACATGACGGTCGGGTTAGCTATTGCTTGTGTGGCAGGTTTGGAGATGTTGTGATTATGCAGGCTTACGTGAAAACGTCTCCAGTATTTTGGATTTCTCCGCTCGAAATCATGCGGATGCCTTGCCAAAACCCGAGTGCGTCACCGCAATAGATAATGGTGTACTCTGCCGAGAATAGAATGCCTAAAGGCAAAGAGCTCTTGTCGCCCCATCGGTGAGCCTCGGTCAGGAAGGTATCAAACTTCTTGACAAGCCTACTCCTCATCTCAAACGCATGAACAGTGCGGATGCTGGAAACAACACCTTCAGCAAAGGAGTTGGCCATAGAATGGCAGTCGATGATCCTCGTCTCATAACCAGCCTCAATGAAGGATGTGACGGCCATGACAGCGACGGTGAGAGGAGCGACGCAGCAGACGGTCAGAGCGAGCTTCCAATTTGTGAGGAAAGCAATAATGAAGGAGCTGACAAAAGCAGAGATACCCTGTATCGTGAGCCCAAGCTTCTCGGAGATACCGTTGTGGACAAGGCGGCCGCTCGAGTAGGCCTGTGTCGCAATGGAGCCACCAGTCCCGAAATCGAAGTAGGCCACTTCTTGTCGCAATGCCGATTTGATGTATTCATGGCGAATGTTCCGAACAATGCGGTAAGCGGTGTAGTGAAGCAACGTATTGTACACGTAAGCCATCACGAACCTGCCGATGGCAAGGTAGATGAGATAGAGGCTGTCGTTAGAGTCAGCAAAGATTCTCATATAAACATATCTGAACCAACATTGAACGTACGCCAAATTCGAGCCATATCTACGAAAGCCTCGGGTACCAGCAGGATCGTTTTCGAGGTCTGTAAAAACAGTAATGAACTGGCCGAAGATGATGTTTTGAGAAGCAATGCCGACTCCAGAAGCGACTGCAGCGAATGCGGCAACGGCCATGAGAGCGCGTTCTACCGGCCCGGCATATGTAAAAACTCTCTAAGATCGTCAACGTGTCAGTAGTGAGCTAATACCCAGTAACCGCTACTTACCCAGTATGCCTTCCACGAACTGATTTTGACGCCATCTCCGAGAAGTTTAGATGGGTCGAGGTCCTCTCCATCGGACACAACATCCTGACCGTTTTCGGTAACCATTTCGTATAATCACAAATGGCAGCTTTGAGAGGTGCTTTTCCATCGATGTACAGTTGGCACAAGTAAGATTCTTTCACGGAGAGAAACTAAAGTAGGTGTTCATGAACGTATTAAACATGAGCAAAGAGCCGCATGATAGAACGCATGGTATGGCTGATATTGTGCGCGAGTAAGAGCTTCCGGGGACAGTCGAAGATCCCGTGTTTTACCAAGAGTTTTAGTTGTGCCTGACGTACTAGAGACGCTTGATTTACATAACGCCAAGTTTCATTCTAAGCAAGCATAGCCGAGTCTTCCCCCCTTCTCTTGGGTTTACCTCTGTGGAACTATTTCTAGGTATTTTGCTTGGACGCCGGCGGAACTTTGGCACCTTCTAGGCATCGCTCCAAGGGCAAGTGAATTAGCTTTTCGTGGTTCCTCAAGATGTTCCATCAGACAGACGTACTCAGGACCGTCAGCCTAGCAATTCTGCAACATGCATTGACAATGCATAAACCGCATTGACGCCTTTGAAAGAAATCTAGAGAATTCTAGAATAATATCTGATCAGTCTTTCCCCATTTGATTGTTCATGAGACAAGATGACAGGTACTCTACTCAGACAGTGTGTATCACGTGATTTCCCGCAGCCCGAGATTGCTCATGCGCCAGAAGTGATGCACTGTGGCTTGGGGAGCTGATAATACTCGCTGATGGTGATGAAACTTTGATTTCTAGTAATGACCCTGCTCTAGTGCCCTGGAAGATCTGGAAACCTCAAGAGGCAACGGGGATGTTAGCGCCACTAAAAGACGGAGCGACACTGTCCAGAATGATGGATTTTGTGGTTATGCTGCGTACAGAAGAAAGTAAAAGCACACTCGGATGATTTCAGATTACTCGTCACCCACACAAGAGGAGTAATCTGATCTCAAATGAGGGTGTGGGCATGGGCGGGGGTTAATGGCAATTCGAGACCCATGCGAACCTGTGTTGGTCTCTTCTAGCCGAGTCACCAAGAGGGACTCCACGTGGGCAAATCCAGCCGAAAAAAGTTCGAGTAGCTGTTGCGTTATGCAATTGATCTCACATATTGTTCTCGTCTTTCTTCTTACCATTTTGAGACCTTCGCCCAAGACGTCATATAGTGGCATAGTAGCTAGAGACATGTTTCCGGTCTTCTATCCCCACCTTGTAACTTTATTGCGACGCGCTCATGCTACCGATCTAGCAGGCGGTCAGATAGCTGTCGAATTGAAAGTCTAACCCTAAGCCAAAGGAATGCAAGCAAGATCCTTGTCATCGGCAGTCGATTCGTGTTGCTGCCGAGGCGGTAGAACGGGTAGTCCTAGACTCCTAGGGGCCGACTCGAATATACTGGTGAGGGTTTAGAGCCATGCCAAGAGGCCAAGATAAATAATATTGGAATGGGACTTCGATTGAGAATGTGATCATGAGCTGAGTGTTAACAATGCATAAAGGCAAGACTAAACCCATAATGGTAAGCCAAGGGTCTTGCTCAACACACCATGATGAGTAACTGTCCCGAATCGCCAACAGCCAGCGCTGTCATCATTCGATGTGTTGCAAATTCTTAACCGACGCCATGCTCGTGGGATGACTCACACGGGCCATTAGTGCGAGACCTGACCCAGCATGCCGGACTAGTTACAGGAGTAATCGGACGATCGTTTCGGCAGGCTAGAATCTGTTCCGAACAGATACGCATACATCAAACTTGACTATGTCTGCTAACGTATTTCTAAATAAAGAATTATTCTCTGATCTGAACCATGGTACACGGACTAGTTATCATTCATGTAGTAACTTATTCAACAATTGCTCATCAATCGCCACATTGCCACCTCGCCTTCATTTGGCCCTGTTAACCCGCTGCCTAGCAAGTTGAACGCATCAGGCCCCGAGCTGTTGCCACATGACTGATGATCACCCCGCAGGCATACTTCCACGCTAGTGTGAAGACATGCTAGGGCAAGATAGATAGCACAGACCTTTCGAAATAACCGTTCATGCATTCACTGAAACGGAGCGTAAGAGCATGTAAGGTAAAGAAAGTTTAGCCGCTAAGTAAAACGAAAAACGATCCAAGGCTAGCCTCATGGCTGTCAAGTGATAGCTGTCTCACAAAAGAAGGCTAGGGGTGGTCAGATCTTGATGAGCCAGACATGATGTAATCATGTAGAGTCTGGTGATATGGATTACGGAGTCATGAAAACTAACTTTGTTGATAACGAGATGGCATAGGAAGAGATCAACGGCTTTTCCTCTGGGCAAAGATGGAATGACTTAGTGAGGGGCAAGAGGATAACAAAACAATCGTCATGCTAAGTCCATATGATGCCCAGTCTAGATGAGGGGAACGCTCATCTTCATACTGCCAAGTCTAATCTAAAATGAGTCATTCTACACGCGGAGACTGGAAATGTCCCGGCCCTCTGGTAGAAAAGAGCACATAGTCATTCAAAGGCATAGTATTCATGACATGACATTGAGCACTGTCTCTATTCTCTATGGGCTCTGAGTCATCAAAACACCTTGCAGGCCATGAGCTGATCGATCTCAACCCTCGCGGTGTCTGGCCTCGGCGCCAGGTCATCTCCACTTTGAAAAGGCGACTCTCATCATGGAATCATCCTGTAGTAAGTTGCGGCTTTGACAATTTGAAGCCGTAGCCCTATGTTGACTTTTTCCTCGGACAGATATATTTTCCTGACTCAACCCAGGAGAGATCAAAAGCACTTACACCTCCAGTTCAGATCGGACCACGACCCAAGAGGTAGGGCTGAGAATTTACGATGAGGGCCCGTTGTATATAGACGACGCTATGACTTGCTCAATTAGTAAGCTCATCGAAGATCATGTGGAGAAAGCGGTACACAACGTTGTTATTAATCTTGTGCCACTTGACGGTAGACAGCATCTTTCAGACGGACGCTGCGGGTAATCCATATGGCACCATGAAATCCGACGCGATATCAATGACATGACCATTATTTTGGCTGCATAGTTGCGTCAATATAGAGTTCCTGATGTTGGACGATCCGGTCGGCGGAGCAGACTCCGCATACGCGTGTGACGTTGGGCTTCCGCAATTAACTTTGCAGCCTATTTCCAGCGTCTCCAGCACCACAATTAGTGGCCCAGAGTTAACGTTGTTTAGATGAAAATCTCTGAAAAGTAGAAAGAAAGAAATAGAGAGACTTTATCAATTCTTGACAAAGCTCAACTACAAAGCGTGATGGGGTAATGACAACGACAACAAACCTTGGCCTGGAAGTATGGTCTGTAGAGTAAATTGGGGTTGGTTGTCGTTTTGGGTTCTATTGACGTCGCGATACACAGAGTGACTAACTCTTCATGTCGACTTTTTGAGATGTGCTAATAAGGAATTCGGTTCAATAACGTGGGGAGATGAGGTTGTTGCCCAGTCAATTACACCGTGCCATCCGTCATCTTCAAAGCATGTTTGAGACTACATTGCAATGCATTATGCCTTCATATTTGGCGTAAAATTGGCTTCGCGCTTCCAAGAGGATGTCATATCTGATATCAAGTTGCCGGTTTCGTAACAAAGACGATGTGTTGCACCTCGTTAAGAGCATCAATTCGCCTTTGAGTACGTCTAGTCTATGCTTCTGAGGCCTATCTTCTCAACTGCTGCCGCCGTATGGCAAGCCGGATACTACGTAGTTGTTACTAGCTTTTTTGTGGAGACAGCATGTCCATTGACTCTCTTTCCCTGGAGAAATCCTCCGCTACATTACCACGAATATCTACAGAGTTACAGCAATAGATTTTTTGAACATGGCGTGCGCTTGATTGCAATAGGCAATATAAAATATGAGACTGTTTATGTTACAGCACATGCATTTTGTGGGCAGATGTCATGTACCTATAGCGGCCTGGCCCGTAACCTTAATCAAAGATACCCCAGGAAAACTCTTGATTAGTTTCATTGGAAGGGAATCTATGTCTCGCACGTGATAGTCAAATTCCAATTTGTTGACAGGGGCTACCATCAAGCCCCCTACCAATTGACGGATTTCTGCAGGCTAGCACGCAGTCGCGGCTGTGCAGCTGACCGCATTTGGTTGAGATGCCGTATTGGTTCTGGGCTCTGACCGGAAGCACCGATGGTTGAACTAGTCATACGTGGAACGGAAACAAGCGTGGCGATGCTCAACAGTCTACCAATCCGGACTCTCTGGATGTTCATACAGTCGCAGCTTCGGATGGAGCGCTGCGGTTTCGACATCTTTCCGTGAAACGTTTCAAGGAAAATAGGCTATAGCCGCTGCGGAAATTTTTTGAAGCCGCAGTCTGTCAGTTGTGTTTCCGCATATCCCTGTTGGTTTGAAGTTTTGTAAACACTGTGCGAGTTTCGGTGCCGAGCTTTACAGCTGCCTGGTCGGTTCCGCGACTTTAATAAGTGACTGAGACATTAGTGCTCGGCATTGTCTTCATGCATCCTCGACACTCAGGGGCCAGACATGGTGGCAATGCAGAATTCAAGCCCACATCACATGGGGGACCGAAGCGTAGCGGTTCTTGGAGTCTGCACATGCAGTGTGTGTGAATTGGCTCGATCTCTCTAGTTGGCTCTTTGAATTAGAACTTGCTGTGTTGGCAGAAGACTAGCACCGATTCTCGGCTTGCTGTGGTCATACTTGATTGGTGGAATCGCTACCTCCAAAGTGTCTGTCGGGTTTCGCCCAACCTCATTGGCAACCAGCCCCTGCTGAAATAATCAACTTGAGCCATGGCACTCGCTTGCCTTGTTCCGATCTTTCCTTTTGCGTTTACCGCGTGGTTCCCGTGACGAGATGCTACGCCCGGAAGAGAGCCGATAGAGCCATGCCAGGCACACTGTTGGTTGTCGTTGTGTCTTGGGTCGAATATTGAGTAGGAGTGATGATTGAGGCAACAAACAAGGCTTCTGGCAAAAGAGGTGTACTTTTATAATAAATATGAATTAGGTTCCTAGGTCTGAGCAAGTCGATGGTTCAAAGTCATCAGTCTCAACAGTGCTTGCAACACCGTTTTTGTTACTCTCGCAACAGCTGATTGCCAAAGTTTCAGATCATTCCTCCAAAAGAAGCAAGTCTTTAGGGAAGAACTTTAAGCAATATGCAAATTGCTGCCTGCATTCTGGGCTTTGCGGCTCTCGTCGCCGGTCACGGCTACGTTGACAATGCTACTATCGGTGGAACCTACTATCAGGTATGTTTACTCCTGTACCTCGCACCAAGGTCAGCAACAAATCTAACGGCCACATAGTTCTATCAGGTGAACAATCCTATCTAGGTGTTCTCTTTGGGAGAGGTATGCGCTATCAAAGCATAGAAACTAACAATACTAGCCATATTCAGATCCCTACATCAACCCTCTTGTAAGTTGCACTCGTTTCCGTACCGAATGAGTCGATTGACGAACCAATATGGCTTCTAGCCCAAGAGAATCTCTCGCCCTATTCAGGGCAACGGCCCTGTCGAGAGCGTCACTTTGATCGATCTCCAATGCGGAGGGTACACGGCAGGAGGCATCTCTGGCTCGCAGCCCGCAGCCCTCCACGCCCCAGCTGCGGCGGGCTCGACCGTCACGCTTCGCTGGACCCTGTGGCCCGATTCCCACGTCGGACCTGTGATCACCTATATGGCGCGGTGTCCCGATGCCGGATGCAATGACTGGCAGCCTGGGACCTCGTAGGTAGTCTGAGGGCTCGGTAGTAAGCATGACTAACACGTTTTTACAGTGCTGTCTGGTTTAAGATCCAGGAAGGTGGACGCACCGGAACCTCCAATACATGGGCATCGGTAGGTTCGGACCCGGGCATGAATCACAAGATGGCGCGTATTTGCTGACTCGATACTTCCAACAGAGCCCCCTCATGGTTGCCGGCTCTATTGCGCAATACACCATCCCGTCTTGTCTGAAGCCCGGTTACTACTTGGTCCGCCACGAGACCATTGCTCTCCATGCTGCCTCCTCCTATCCAGGTGCACAATTCTACCCCGGGTGCCATCAGCTGCAAGTTACCGGCTCCGGAGCCAAGACGGCTACGTCTCTGGTAGCCTTTCCTGGCGCATACAAGGCGACCGATCCTGGGGTCACTTACAATGCTTACAGACGTACGTAGCAACTCCCCATGAGATTACCTTTGACGAATGTTAACTTCTTGAAGCGTCGACTTACACCATACCTGGCCCTGCCGTTTTTACCTGCTAAGACGCCCGACTTTGAGTTTTACAATGGCAGCATTCGCGACTGAGCCCTTGAAAAAGTATAACCTTCGTGTACATAGTTAACACCGCGATAAACATACCTATACATTATATATTATAAGAAATATTCTACGCACCTACCTGTCAATAGACTTTGAAATCTTAAGGCCGCTCAACCGGCTTGGAAATCGCCGCAATTAACCTAATCCTCTCTCCCTACCGGCTTTTGTAGTACTAGGCATACACCCGGTGCTTGGCTCTAATGTCTAATAGCTTAGGTAAGAATTGTGTGGCCTCTTTAAACCTTGTACCCCCTCAAAGTCTAGTAGGTTAGTATCTACTCTTGATTTAAAGTCGTGAGTGATGAGGTAAGCTATTTCTCAGACAATATAATTGATGTAGTCACCCCTTCCCCCAACCCGCTATCACTGGATGAACACATCCAATCATTCCCCGATAGTCTAGTGGTGAGGATATCTGCTTGTCAATCCAACGATTCGCAGGGGACCGGGGTTCAATTCCCCGTCGAGGAGATTCTTTTGCTTTTTTGGGTGACCTTGGAATTTCCGGGCTTTGTTTGTGTATCGTGTTGCGGATGCGTACCCAGCATTTTGTGGCCCCAGTGGAGACGGGGATCCATTCTGGGTCCAGGGATGATGTGTCTAGGGCCATGTCATCGAGTCTACTGCGTACTGCTCTGCGTTTTGGACTTGATTTACCGTTGGGTGATTTATGAGCGACAGAATAATTAACAAAAACCAGTTGCATTGCATCTGCGATGTGGTCTTGATTAGGTACTTGGACCGCGGCCAAGAGTATACACGAACAACGTAGCGTCAAGCTGGAATTCCATCCCAAAGCACGACTCACTGGGTACAAACGGGGCCTAGTAGAGTAGCGTATTGTCATGTAACAAAAACGACGCTGTTAGTTACGGGGCAGTAACAAACGCTTATATATCTCGTGACACACACATATCGACGTTCCCTGGGCCATGCCCTGTATATAGCAGGCTGCCCAACTGTGATGAACCGCAGTGTCTGCAAAATGAAGTGTAACATAGTCGTTATATCGAGAAACTAACTATGGCCCGCTAATCGGGGTGAAATAGCATTATAAGTAACCCGTGCGGTAGGTAAAGTACTAAAGCCACGTCTGCGGCGCCTTCACGACACCAACGCATGTTTTGGCTGAGACCCCGTTTGTAAGAGACATTCAGCAAGCAGCGCCGCTGCCCTCGGGAATGCCGGTGCAGTTGGGGTAGCTTATGCCGCCAGTGACGCTGACGTTGGTCCACGTCCAGTCGCTGCAGGCGCCGGTGGCGCAGAGGATGTAGACGTCGATGGCGGAGGAGGCGACGGTGCCGGTGACGTTGCTGAGGGTGAGGTTGGTGATGGGGACGCCGTCGGTGGGGTGACCGGTTGGCTTGCCGTTCTCGTAGTCCTGCTCGACAACGATGCCGTAGTTGGCGATGTTGGACAGGGCGATGTCCTTGTACTGGACGTTGGAGACGGAGCCGGTGGCGCGGTAGACCGTCTTGACGCGGACGCCGTTGGCCGAGTTGGAGATCCTGGAGTTGGAGATGAGGACGGTGTCGACGACGTTGCTGCTGTGGCCGCCGACGGAGCCGATGGAGAGGCCGTGGCCGCCGGAGCAGTCGCCGCCGGTGAAGGTGATGTTGGTGCCCGAGTTGATGGCGAGGCAGTCGTCCTGGTTCTTGACGACGGCGCCGGAGATGTAGACGCCGTTGGAGGAGCCGACGTCGAACGCGTCGGTGTTGTGGCCGCCCTGGGTGTCGCCGAGGGAGTTGTCGAGGGTGACGTCGTAGACGCTGAGGTTGGTGACGCTGTTGATAGAGAAGGCCTGGACGGGGGTGTTCAGGACGTTGATGCCCCTGATGATGGAGTTCTTGAGGCTCTGGGCCGAGAAGAACTTGGGCTTGACCTTGCCGCCGTTGCCCCCCTTGCCGTCCCACCAGCGCTGGCCCTGGCAGTCGATGACGTGGTCGCTGGTGCCGTCAATGATGATGTTGGAGCCGGAGAAGGAGATGAGGGGGCCCGTCCACAGTGTGTAGCCAAAGGTGGTATTGCCTTGGAAAGTAACCTATACTCGCGTGTCAGTCAGCGGAGCTGCTCGATAGACCGGTTGATTGGCTCGAGGCTCAAAGCTTAGACGCACGTGGGTGCCGGACTTGAGGCCCGTCATGTCAAGAGTGGTACCGGCGGGCACGGCAATGTCCTTGAGGACGATGGTTTGGCAACTATTCTTGCCCTTGATGGCCGAGGCCGCATCGGTGAAAGTACAGTTGGCAAGGGCATCGAGGGGAGCAGCAACGGCGGAGGCGACCAAGGCGCCGAGAGCGAGAAGGGAAGAAACCATATTGGCAAGGTAAATCGGCTCTTGTTGAGAAAGCGACTTAATACACAGTATCAGAATGTCTTGGATAAGATAAGGTAGAACAAGCCAGGACAAGGTGTCGAATGCGCCAAGACGGGAGAAGGGTAAGCTGCACGTTTGATGGCTTGGATCATCCTCTTGGCGGCGACCTGGGGGAGGATTGGCGGTTGGGTTTATATCCAAAGCCACCAGATCTCTTGGCGTAGCCTTGTCGGGATTTCTTCACCAACGGCTCTTTGCTTTTACCGCGACATACAGGACGCCACATTCACGCGGAAACGCTGGCCGGATCAAGTAGATTGGTCATGGAACCATTCCACTGCATCTCGCGAGTGCAGGGGGGGTTGACCCTTGCACGACTAGCGGCGGATATAAGTCTACAGAACCCCACAAAGGCTCCTAGAATTCGGCAAACATGCCAGATTCCGTGGCTCAAGGGGCGCCGAATCTCCCTTCAGCCGACTTTGAGAAGCTCCTTTTCCCTATGCCTCTGAGAGGCATCACCCGGAACTTGTCCTGGCGGGATCCAACTGATGCCATTCGGCGCTTCTCCTCAGCTTCCGTGCCGTCTCTTCCAGCTCCAGTGGGGTATTATTCCGTTGAGATCAGTCGAGCTACCAACGCACATCCGACGGATGCATACGAAGCACAGGAAAGCGTAATGGAACAATGGTTCATCAGGGATGACAGTGACATGGCGCAGTTATTGGTGGAAGTTTGCTACCAAGCATCGGGAACTCTAAATTCAACATATTACGTATTACCACCAGTATGATCGACGACCGGGTAGCCTGAGCAAGCATGTATACTAACTACATACTACCGTATGGTATGATGGGTAAGTTTAAACTCCATAACAGGTAGTGTGGAGTTGTGACCCACGTATGAGAGACTCTCACTGGCCAGAATTATGATAGATGTGCACAAGAACCTCAAAGTACCGTCGCTAAAATAATAATAAAAAAAGCACGGCCACATTTACCTGACGAGGGGGTTGAACTTTGGCCTGATACCATAGTAGTATGTCGCTCGGGGACTTCTGGTGGTGGGGGTCACCCGCTAGGTTGCAACCGGATTGGCTTTCCGGAAAGCAGCGTCTCCTCCCTAGTATCAGACGACGGCTTCGTTTGGTCTGTGTTGATTGGCGGATATCTACTTTACGTTATGCGTGGCAGCGCAGGGAGCCCAGGCTTGTCTTCCAACGACCTTCAAGGGAGACTTTGGCCTTGGCCATCTAGCGATCACGAGGGTGGCATGATTTCTAGTCCCGTCGAACGGGAACGTTGCGTGACGGACTTGCCGCTGCGTAACTCTGCGTGCGTATGTCACCACGACGAGCCGCGTTTCCTGTCCCTTGCCGCCCCGATTCCGAGATAGAGTTTGGGCTGTCTCGTGTCCACGCGACGAACGGCTGCAAGGGGCCGGATTGGAGAACCGCTAGGTAGTGTTTTAACTTCCAACGTGGTCGCGTCTAAGTCTGGATTCGCCGCATCGGTGGGATGATCGTCGATCGTCCTCGAGACCTCGACGCATCTTCGGTGTCCATACGAAACCCATCAGACCGCGAAGACGTCGAAAACGTCGCTGCTTGGCACTCATTCGACTCAACGTTCGTGTTCGTGGTAACCTTATGCAGACCAATAGTAAACGCAGCAAGCGACAACATCAGGCCCGAAAGGCCCGGCCTCAAAGCCTCGGTTCCCGTTGCATCCCTCTTCGATCAGACGATGCCTTCTCCGCCCAAAAGCCACCGACATCCACCGGAGAAAAGTGGACTTATTCCGCTCCCTGGATTCTCAAGGCTGGTCTCACGTCAGACACAGCCGGGAAAAGCACAGTATAATCATCCTGCCCGGTGCTCAACACAATTGAAAAAAAAGGTTTCTAAGTACCATGGAATATCATAACTAAACCCTCCCTATCAACCAAGACAGAGCTTTGGGGTGGGGCACAATACGTCGGCACAATGGGGGGGCTCCTCGATGCACGCGGGCGTGGCAGGGAAGCGGAGAGTCTCGAGGCAGATCAAGTTAGTACTTCGCGGGTATGGCCTTGTTCAACCCATTCCTCATCTCCCAACTTTTATTACGCACGTATCCCCCCCACTCGAGAGATGGAGACCGCCTAGCTTGCCAGAGGTGGTCTCCGGAGTCTAGAACCTCGCGGTCGAGAGATGCTGCCTCCCGCCCGCCCGCCCGTCCGCCGCACCTCGGTGACCGGCATCTTCCGTCTGGGCTCACATGCGTGGAGCTTTCCATTACGTTTAGTCCAGCAGCCGCGCGGGATACGCTCATAGCCATCATCACGAAAAGCCAATTTCAGAATTCTCGGCGCACTTCTGAGCAAAGCAGGTCGTGTTGTCGGCACTTTCGTCAGTTGACAGAGTTTCTTCCTCTCTTACGCCGTGGCATTCTCAAGCTGTCGCGTGATGGGCAAACGAACGATATGGTGAGAGGTAAAGTTTTATCCATGTTTGGTTTTCTTCGTCACAGTGAATGTCTCCCACGGGCTTCCCGCCATCCACCCTCTTCGAGACGCGGGATCACGGCCATCTCAGCCAAAGTTGCCGAACCAGAGGTCGTCGCCCGGCCGGACCCCCTTCTCGACCCCCGGCAGCCCGCACAGCCGCGTCTCCTCCTCGCCTGCCCGCCACCCCCTGGACGTCTCGACCATGGCCGCGATGACCATCATCATGCCGGCCTCGGCGTGCCACGCGTTGTGGCAGTGGAACGCCCACATGCCGGGGTTGTCCAGCACGACCCTGACGGCGGCCCACCCGTACCCCTGGACCGTCACGGTGTCCCTCCTCAGCGGGTTGCCCAGGACCCCGGCGGCCGCGAGCTCGGCCTCCAGCTCGGCCGCGCTCCCCGGCGGGTACCCCGTCGGGCCCTGCTTGAGGACGAAGACCTTGTGGCCGTGCAGGTGGAAGGGGTGCGCCCCGTCGTCGAAGTTGCTGATGACCATGTCCACCGTCTGCACCCCCGTCGTCTGGTACACAAACTCCCTTTGCGGGTCGAAGGTGACGTCGTTGACCCCGGTCGTTAGGGGCAGCAGGGTGCCGTTTTCGGCCTTCGAGGCCTCGATGGCCCGGTACAGGGCCGGCGACGTGACGTTGGCGTGCCACGTCGAGGCGTTGAAGAAGCCCCGGGAGAGCCGCCAGGCGCCGATTTCGAAGTTGGCGCGCAGGAACATGGACGCGGTGGCCTTCGGCGCCGGCACGGCCTCGACGGGCCTGAGAATGGAGGCGTCCATGTCCCGGCATTCGACCTCGGGGGCTTCGCCCCAGCTCTTGCTCTGCGGCTCCGCGTACGTGTCTGCGGCATCCCGTGCAGTAGTGCTCCTCATGCCCTTCGGGCGTGCGGGAGAGCTGTACCGGACGACGGCTCTCACTTCGGGGTCGAGCCAGGGGTTTTCTCGCGCGAAACAATGGGTGACCATCCTGGCGCGCATCCAGAACGAGTCCCCGACCGTCGCGTTGGTCTCCAGCATGACGCTGTAGCGCTGTGCCGGGAGGACGTTGAGGCGATGAAAGGGCTCGGGGTGGACCGCTGTGCCGTCGACCTCGGTGATGTAGAAGGGGTGCTCGTCGATCTCGACCTGGAACTCGGCGAAAGCGCCCGTGTTGATTATTCGCAGTCGATGCCGTTCGTTCGGGGCCAGGTCGAAGGACTCGAGCGACTGCAGCCGAGGAGCGTTGTTTTGGCAGTCCCAGCCGTCGAAGTCGGAACAGTCCCGGTAGTTCCTCCCGTTGATGAGGCCGCTGGACGGCACGGGCTCCTCGTTCTCCCGGTCCGGTTGGAGGTAGTCCATCAACAGCTCGGCGGAGGTGTTGTGGTAATGATCCTGGATCATGACGACGCGGTCGGTCGCATACGTGTTTTCCGGACCTATCTCGGCCGCCGAGTGGATGACCAGAGGGCCGACGATGCCGTCCGAAGCCTGCACGCTGTGATGCGCGTGGTACCAGTACGTGCCCGACTGGTTGTCGACGGTGAAGCGATACGTGAAGGTCGCGTTGGGAGCGATCGGACACTGAGTGACGCCGACGGTGCCGTCCATCGAGTTCGTGCCGTTTTGCAGCATGCCGTGAAAGTGGATGGCGGTAGCGTTCGCGGCTTCGTTGCGGACGTGGACGACGATGGTGTCCCCTTCATTGCACTCGATGAGCGGCCCCGGAAACTGGTTGTTGATCAGCATCATGGGTCGAAAGATGCCATCCGGATTCAAGGTCGCATCTTGAATGGTCCAGTGATATTCCCTGATGCTGCTGGCCGCACCGAAATCCCAGGAAGAGCCGAGGACATATTCGGACGTGTCCCTCAAGTGCGGCGTGGATGGGATAGGTTCTTCGACCACGTGAACTGGTGCCGCAGCCGCTGAGCTGTGCGTTGAAGTCGCCGGGAAGATCATGCCCGACGCGTAGAAGACGACGAAAAAGACTACGGCGCCGAACACGGCGGCAGAGAGTCCGGTCTTCCGCGGGGCGTCTCGTCGGCCGCGTCGCTGATGCGGCAGCTCATCGTCATCTTCGTCGTGACTGAGACGGAGGAACGGCGACTTCTCGGAACGGTCGTCCACTAACACGTCAATGAACGCTTCATCATCATCATCATCATTATCCGAGTGCCGGTCCAGCACCGTCAAGCGGCTTGGTGGGGCATCCGGCGGTATCTCATGAGTGCTTCCTCGTTCAAGGTCCATGATAGCCTCTGCTTGTCATCATCGCCGGCGCACAACGCTGAGAGCAATGCAGGATGGATAAACGGTGTTGAAGGACGAAAAGCGGTTGCCGCTGGGTGGAGAGGGGGGGATCAGACCGCGCTCGGCGGTTCCGTCTGCGGGATGTGATATGCGGATCTTCTGACCCGAGTGGCAGTGTGTGTGTGTGTGTGTGTGTGCATTTGTGGCGCGGGAATCTTGCAATGTCAGTGTCATTAAGCCCACAGATGAATCGGCATCACCGTGCGCTGCACGTGTTCTAAGCAACGGTTATCTCTAGTCCGACCACCACCAGATAGATCCCAGGGTTCAGCCCAAAATGCCGTTTGATCCATCCGATGTGTGGCGGCATAAACGTCAGGGGTAGGGGAGGGGTAGGAGAGGGGATCCCCGGCCTGCAAGAGTTTCCCCCCTGTCCTTGCTTGCTGCGGTCTGCCTGCAGGAATAAGGTACTGATGCAGGCATGTCCGCTTCGGCGAGATACATAGTATGTAAATAAGATGTTCGGGGGGTCCGGCGTTTGAAGGCGGGCGTCCCCCTTCGTCTTTAGGCCTGTCAAGAGACGTCTTCATCTTGTCTTGTCGTTCCTTTGGAAAGGGGGCTTTTTGCTGCTTTTCACCGACAACTCATCTCACACATCCCAACATGCGTTGCGCCACTCTCGCCGTTCTCTTCGCGGCGACCGCTCGCGCTGCCGTTGTCGACGCCCGGGCGACGACGACGTCCATCAACGCCTCCTCCTCCGCCACGACGGACGGCGGTTGGGAGACGAGGTACACCGCAACGGGCGCCGCAGACGTTGCTGCCGCGGCCGCGACGGCCAAGACGAGCAGCCCGACGAGCAACGTCACTGGCAAGGCTTTCGACCGGTTTGTCATAATCTGGAACGAGAACACCGACTATGAAAAGGCTCTCGGTGATCGTAGGTCCCCCCCCCCCTTCCTTTTCTATTACTCCGTGATGTGTATATACGGACCTACGACGGGAATTTGCTAACAAATCCCCCACCCCCAGCCAACTTGGCCTGGCTGGCCGAGAAGGGCATCGTGCTGGACAACAACTTCGCCGTCACGCACCCCTCGCAGCCCAACTACTTCGCCTCGGTCTGCGGCGACTACCTGGGGATGCAGAACGACAACTTCAACCGCGCGGACCGCAACGTGTCGACCGTCTTCGACCTCCTCGACACGCGGGGCATCTCCTGGGGCGCCTACATGGAGGACATGCCCTACTCGGGCTTCGAGGGCATGGCGTGGGTGAACCGGCAGAACGGCGCCAACGACTACGTGCGCAAGCACAACCCGCCGGTCCTCTTCGACAGCGTGGCGTCGTCGGAGCAGCGGCTGTCGCAGATCAAGAACATCTCCATGACGCAGCCGGGGCGGTCCCAGTTCCACGCCGACCTCGCCGCCGACGCGCTGCCGCAGTGGATCTGGATCACGCCCAACATGACGGACGACGGCCACGACACGTCCGTCACCGTCGCCGGCGGTTGGACGCGCCGCTTCCTCGAGCCCCTGCTCTCGGACGCCCGCTTCATGCGCAACACGCTCGTGCTCGTCACCTTTGACGAGAGCGAGACGTACACGCGGCAGAACCGCATCCTCGGCCTGCTGCTCGGCGACGCCGTGCCCAGCGCGCTCGTCAACACCACCGACGCCTCCTTCTACAACCACTACTCGGCGCTCGCCACCGTGCAGGCGAACTGGGACCTCCCGAGCCTCGGGCGGTGGGATGTCGGCGCCAACGTGTACCGCTGGGTGGCTGAGAAGACGGGCAGCGTCGTCCGCCAGTGGAGCGCCGCGGCGACGGTGCCCGACCGCTTCTGGAACCAGTCGTACGCCGGCGTCTTCAACACCGACGCCCCCGCGCGCTACCCCAAGCCGAACCTGGCGCTGGGGAGCAACGCCGCCGGGAGGGGCGTCCTCGACTCGATTAAGGAGATCTGGAAGGACAGCACGGCGCCCACGTACTACGAAAACACCATTCACGTCCCCGACGGGCTCAACCCCCCGAGCGGCTACGCGGCCTGAGTGGGTTTACTTGATAGAGTAATACGAAGACAAAGACGGACGTTATGGTACCGCCTCATAGTATATAGTCCGTCATTAATATACGTAATTAATTCACCCACGCGGGTTTGCCGTCGTGTCATCACTCTCGTCCAGGTCAGGTTTTCTTTTTATCGGTTCACGCACTTAGTGTCACTCATCACCCTGCCGTTTATGTCCCTTTCTGCCCTACAGAGGCACGAAGAGTAAATTTCCAGACCGCCGTGGAAGGGTTAGGGGCAACACGCATAGAGTAGAGAGAGCGACAGACAGATGCACGCGGCTAAGCTACTCCCGACAAAAGTTCCCAAGACTTGCACCGGTTCCCCACAGCAAACGTCACCCGGATAGGCAGGTGAGCATATTAATCCACCTAGACACACACACGCACACAAGTAGGTACGTAAAAGCCCCTGCGGTGTAGGGAATAGCGTCAGTAACGGCATACATACAATTACCTAATCACATGTAGACGAGTCATCGAAGGGGGCCATCACTTCCGGGGGGCGCATCGGGAGTGGATACGGACCCGGAACCGCCCCCACATGGTCCTTTGCCCGCCCGCTTTAGGAAGGTCAGCGGCGATGCATCCCCCGTGACTGGGCGGGCGAAACCAGCGACGGTTCCCCCGGGAGTCGGGACTCCCACTCGGCGGCGGGGGGGCAGTGGGAGTGGCGTTTACGATGTGCAGGTGTCCCCCGTTTATTTATCCGTATTTAGCATCGTCGCGGGGCCCCTGGTGAAAAGGCGGGCCTTGGTAAAAAAGCTTGTATTTGTTTCTGCTCCATAATAATGCCTCTTATCTGCTGAGGCATCGCATGGAGCGCGATTTCACGGCATGGAGTTGCCGGAATGCGGTGTTTTTCTTCTTCTTCTTCTTCTTTTTCTTTCTTTTATCCCGTCAATACATGGGACCACCTTGGTGTTGGCTTTTGTAGCGGGGACCGACTGCCTAGGGCGGTTCGAAGGCGTTTGCATCCCTAGGACCAGTACTATTACCGTCAATTTCCAGACCCAAGATTATTAGGCCCTCTCTTTAAATTTTCTTTAGGTTGTCCTTCTTGCTGTAAACAGACTTTTGACCTAGTACTGTATACGGATACATACATACTGGTTACAAAATAATGTGTGGGGGAAAACAAAAAAAGAAAGAGAAACAAAAAGGAAGGTGAAAAAAATCTCCTCGACGGGGAATTGAACCCCGGTCCCCTGCGAGTTGCTGCCTTTGCAGTGACAAGCAGATATCCTCACCACTAGACTATCGGGGAATTGTGGATGTTTTCATCCAGTGATAGTTGGTTGGGCAAGGGTGAGCCGCGAAGGATACATATAGCCTGCGCACTGGTCTCCTCACGCAACACAGGCACACATTCCCGGGAGCCGACGATGGCACCACTGTGCCTGGTCCACTAATACATTCGGTGTTTCTTCTTTCTTCAACCCTCTCTTGCCATCCCTCCCTCCCTCTCTTCTTTTCCTTGTTTCCTCTCTTTCCTTGTATGTTTCCAAATCACCGTAAAACAAGTCACATCTAGCTTACACATTGAAACTCGTCCCCACCCGGGCGTTTCGTCCGTCAGATATACCCGGACGGGTTTCCCCGGATCCAGGTTTCATGTATAAAATGTCAACGGTCTCTCCCAAAGTATGACAAAAATAGAGAATGGGGGGGGCACAAACTATCAGACGGGGGTTTCGAATGCCCAAGTCTGTGGTCAGCGTCATTGGTTCTGAATCTCGTCCATTGACGTCAAGCAAAAGGTATCTTGCCAGGTAACGGGTATTTGACTATCAACTCATGTTCCAATTTGCCAGTTCCCACAGCAAAGAGAAAAAGGCTATCAAGTACAAGTCCAACTCGCTCATCCATGCACGCATAGGCATCCCCTATCAACGCCTGCAAAACAAAAGTCTCTCCTAAAACATCGATGATGGCATGCGTTGCCCTCGTCCATTGACGCCGGGGTTGGCAGGCATGGAACTCGGGGGGATAGACCGCCTTGCGCTAGCCGACCTTGCCGTCGCCTGGTTCGCCGGCACGCTCTTGGCCCGCGAGCTTGCCCTGGGTGCCCTGGTTTTCTGCACCCGACCGGAACTACGCCCGAGACTGTTCCTCCTGTTGCCGTCCTCATAGTCGGCATCAATACTGTCCTCCGCGTAGTCTTCCTGGGGAGGTGAACTAGATGGGCTCGACGACAACGTGACCACTTGAGAGCCAGGAGGAACCGCGAATGGAGAGCTCTTGTGCACTCGCTGTCGCAGCAGTCTGCCGCCCTGCTCCCCAACAAGAGGTGAAGATGCCGTCTTCGCGACTGGCTTTATGTCGGGCATGTCTGCCGACTCGGACAGCGGCGATTGGTCTGGCCGGCCGGAGGCGGGGAAAAGCCGCTTTCGGGTCTTTCTAAGCTCCAGAGGCGCCTCGTCTTTGCCGTCTTCTTCGTCACTGTCGCTTTCGTCAATCCGTCGCATTGCCGCCTCGTACTCCTCGTTGCGCGGCAATGTCGAGTCGCGAGACAGGAATGGGACCAATGCTTGGGCCTTGGAAGGGCTTTGCGTCTGGCTGTGCAAGTTCTGTTGCGAGGCGGTCCTCGCCAGACTTGCCAGCGACGGAAAAGACTGGTCGGTTGAGGGCGAGGCAGAAGTTTCCTTGTTCCGAGTAGGTGTTTGCCCTTTGGCTTTCGGTGTCGGCACATCGTCGTCGAGCACGAGAGAGCCGTCGCCCATGTCGCTAATCTGGTGGAGATCGTCACCGCTCACATTAAAGCCCAAGTCGTCGGGATCAAGCTGACGACCGCTGCGGATGCTACTCGCACAAGAAGACGGTGCCGCAGCCCCTCCGCCAGCGCTTCCTGCAGTAGGGCCGAGCTCTTTGTTGGGCACTTGCGTCGCAACCTTGACCATGCTTTCCTGGGAAAGGGGCGACCTCGACGCAACGCGGGAATGGCTGGCGACCTCCGCCATCTCCAGCAACTGACGAGAAGGGCTGCTGGTCTTTTGACGGAGGACGGAGGGTGAGACGCCCTTGCGGAATCCTGCGTCCTGGATCATGATGCTGATCTCATGGCGGCGGTCCGAAGTGACAGAGAGAGCGCTATCGTCGGAATTCTGCGACTCCGCGTTTTCTGTTGTTGGTGGTTGGTATTCATCGTGTGCATGGGTGTTTGCTCGAGGGGTCGACATGTTCTCTTCGTCGATGGCTTCTACATTATCGGGCTGGGCATCGGGGCTGTGGCTAAACCGAGGGTCTGCGACGATTCGAGGCTGTTCGTCATCCGTATTAGCCTTGGCTCGACCGTCTTCTGCATCGATTGGTAACTGACTTCCATCTTTATCCGCCTCGGACCGGCCAGCATCTTCTCCGTTAACCTGGTACGGCTGGCTGTGGTCATCGTAAACGGTCTCATGAACAATGCTGTCGGTCAGAGGGACGCTCGATCCCTCGTTGTCTGCGGGTTTTGCCCGGTCTTCCAGTGGTAATTGCACAATTTTGGGCTCGATAAGCTCCGCGTACGTTAACCTGCGATAACCCCGGTCGGGCTCATCGTCCGCATCGTCGTCGTCATCGTCATCGGGTGCCTCAAACCGGTCGTACACCCTCTGCCCTGTTTCTTCATCGTACTTTTTCTCCGTCCTGTCCACTTCTCGATCTCGGTGGGCCAGGAGAAACTCGAGATCAGTCGCCTCCTCATCATGTACTCTAACAAGAACGCCGGTCAGGTTGACGACCTCGGGTTGCCAATTAGTCGCCGGAGACAAAAGCCACTGCTTCCAGGTGATGACCATGCCCAGCTTAGCCTCTCCCGGCCGGAGATCGGGAAGCTTAGTCAGGTCTGCGGGCAATGATGGAAGATCATCAACGTCCGTCGCCTGGCTTCCTTCAGCTGCGGTCTTGGGTACTAGAGGTTCTTCAGGCGGATCATCGTAGTTAAGCGTCGTATCTCCTTCCTCCAAAGACTCGGCTGCATCCGAGAAAGTCACGCCCATGCTCTCTCCGGTTACCCGACGCTTCTTCGACGCTTGAGGGTCTCCGTCTTCGTAGAACTGCGCTTGATTGCGCTGTGCGCGCTTACGTTTCCCCCCGCGCTTATTCTTCGAACCGAACCATTCGTCCACCTGCTGTTGGGGGTCCCACCGCTGGACAAAAGGAAATGGCGGTTCTGAGAGCTCAATCCCGTCGTGACAGCATTCTACGGCTCGGTAAGCGATTTTCTCGCGCCAGGCTTCGGCATCTTCCTCTACCGATTCATGTGTCTGAGGAGGCTCGTCATGCTGCGACGCCGCTTCGGCCAGACGGGCGTTGGTGTGCGGACGAACACCCTTCATCAGGTCTTGTCGAATCTTGTCTTCGTCGGCCTTGGTCTTGGGGTTTTTGAGGCCGAGAGACCCCATGAGCATTCGACGCGTGGCACCAATGTTGGGCTTTATCCGACGCTGGGCCGAAGCCTCGGCTTGTCCAGCTACACTCTGCGAAGCCACCATGGGGCCAGCGCCGGCGGAGGAGGGGAGGCTATGTTCCCTCTCCCGCGGGGTTGAGTCGGAGAGTCCCTGGAAACTCTCCTCGCTGGTATGATCGACCGGACGGTCAGAGGCAATGGCGTTAAGCAGTGCTTGCTTTCTCGCGAGGAACGATGCCTCTTCTGCACTGGCCCCTATAGCCGGGGTCTGAGAAGGCTCTTCGCTGCCCTGAGCCGACCTTGACTTGCCAGCCGCCAACTGCTTGGCAAGCTTGCGCCTGGCATTCCTTTTCTGGGTTTTGGACAATCCTTGTCCAGGAGGGACGGTAGGCTGTTCGTTGGCAGGTGCTGCTGGGGCGGCCGGTGTGGCTTGAGGCAGCTTGCGGGGCGCCTGTGGTTGGGAATCCTCCAAAATCTGGCGCTGGCTGGTGAGGGTCTTGCTAGGAATCTCCTCGGGCTCAGAGTCCGAGCTCGAGTCATCACTGCTGCTGTCCTCGGACGAAGAATCAGAGGACGAGTCTGATGAGATGGAAATCGCAGCATCGTCCTTTGGGGGGCCGTTGTTTGCGGCTGCAACACTTGACCCATCACTGCCAGATGCCTCCGACTCGGAATCATCATTCGAACTGGAGGCATCCTGGTCCACAGAGTCGGCATCCTCTTCATCCAAGACGGATCCGCCATCTTCCGGCTCACTTGATCCGTCATCTTCTTCGTCTTCATCTTGGCTGCCATCGCCATCATCGTCATCGGAAGAGGAGGCCTCCGAATCGTCGTCAGAAGAGTCCTCGGCCTCTCGATCAAGGTCGGATGTTGCTGCGGCGACGTCAGAGCCAGAGTCCGAGTCCGAGTCCGATTCGGACTCGGAATCAGAATCAGAATCAGAGTCTGATCCCTCTTGGCCACTTCCTGGGCAACGGTCCGTAGCGGTATTATGGTTCAGCGTTATCGAGGCATCCTCGTTGTCTTCCTCATCCTCATCCTCATCATGCGCCGTAGCATTGGAGGCCCTCTCGGATGGGCTCGACTCTCTGAGGACGAGTTCCCGTCCCGTGCTCGCGTGCTTGTGCGCGTGCCGAATAGGGCTGCTGGACAAGCTTTGCGCCTGGTGATCTAGGGTTTGCTGGAGACTGAGGCGGGCAGCGAAGGTTTTGCGAAGTTTGCGATACGTCCTAGCCGAATCCGCATCATATTTCAACAGAGTCTCCTCGATGGCGGATACCTGCGCACCAGGGAACGCCGCTTTCAAAGCTGCTATCTTGTCAAGGGTGTCGAGACTGAGGCGGTGTCTGGTGGCTTGTCCTCCGGACCTGACAAGGGCGTTGCCGGCCGAAGGTGCGGGAGAGTCACCAGAAGCCTCCGCCGAACGACTGCTGCCCGGTCCACTCGACGCCCTCTTGTTCCGGATGTCGCGGAGTTCTTCGAGGATGTCGCCCTCGCGGACAGCAGCGTTGTCTTCTCTGAGAAGGCGCAGCTCATCCTGGATTTCGCCGTCGTCCGAGTCCATGTTGTCGTCATCGTCCTCCTCTTCGGCTCTATCCACGTCGGGGTCATAATTATGCTCGACCTCAGAGTCGCTATCGGGGTCGGCATCGTGGAAACGTGTGCGCAGCTTGACGCTAGCCGGGTCTTCCTGGGCTCTCGTGGATCCATACTCCAGCTCCAGCATGGGGCGTTCCTCGTCGTTTTCAGGCAGAGAGTCTTGTTCGTCTTCGCTGCTGTATGCGATCCGGGCCTTCTTCCTGGGTGGAAGGGTGACGGCAGGGCGGTCTCGGGGGGCTCGGAGCCAGGGTCGTCCAAAGGCAAGGCCGTCGACGAGATGTCTTCCGTCAATCGAGATTTGATGTCTGCCGCTCAGTCGTCGTCTCTTGAGATCGCCAGTCAGGAGAGGTCGAACACTAAGTGTAGAGCGTTAGCTTGTATCGAGTAGCAGAGTGGGAAGTAGGGCGGAAGGAGCTTACAGGACTTGGTCGTCGTCCTTGAGAAGCTTGGACACAAGATGGTAGTGGACGCATTCGAAGGCGTCGCCGGAGGCATCCTTAAGCTCCACGGCGTAGTCCTCCAGGCCCCATTCGCCGCTCTCTAAGGGAACGACTTCGTTGATCTGGGCGAGGAGCTTCGAGATGGTGAGGTCCTCGTCGGCGGTTGTGTTCCAGAGGAGCTTGACGTCGGGCACACCATGACGTCGCACCACGAGGCGCAAACGCAAATCCTTCTCCATCTTGGCCGGAGATGGTTTAATTCGTGGCGCGTGGGGTATAATGCATGGAGGGTGTTGTGACAAGGTCGCCCGCTGTGTGTCGCAACAACGCAAGGTGCAATCGGGAGGGATTAAGAGAAGTTATAGCAGTGAAACAGAGATGCAAAGGGAGGTAGAAGAGAAGAGACGAACTTTTCCGATTTGGGGGGAGGAGGGGGATTCTGGGATTAGACGCGGCAGGATGGAAGGGGAGAATGAATCAATTAGACGCGCGTGGGTACCGTATAGGTTAGGGGGAAAAGGTAAAGGTGAAGCTTCCAACCGCGACTGACTGACGCAAATTTCTGGAAAGTGGGGCCGGGCCGTTGCGGACGGCCGCCTAGCAGACGCCACCCTGAAGGCTCCCATACTGCGTCGTGGCTGGTGGAAGTGGCTAGCTACTAGGTATGTATATGCAGTGTCTCACCCCAACACAACACACAGGGTAGAACGGAACGGAATTATAGCCATAATCTGATAATCATATAGCAGGACCGATCAATGACACACCAAATCTTGTGCCGGCCTGTCTTGGCCGGCTGCGCACGTATATCTGACGGAAACCAGCCACCACCTCCATGATATTTTCCATGCATGAATTGCCATGAGTCCAGTATCCAACAGGGTCTCCATGAACAGTCCCCCGGGTTGTCGGGGGTTCCAGATGACAGAATATGCCACAATGCGCCAGTCCCAGGTATTCGTCTCAAAAAAATCAGAACGCCGTATCTACCCATATGTTTTCATCGCCCCAGCGGCTTCCCCGTCTCATCTCGTCTACTGCCAGCCCTCACACAGTCTCTATCGTCGAGCATATTCATGACGGCATGCCGCCCATGTCGAGCATGTGTCCCATCTTTTCAATCTGTCACTGAGTTAGCCGCGGCACCACACACATACACACATACACACGGCGCCGGGGCGAACGTACCTTTGTCTTGAGGTAGCCCTCGACCTCGTTGCTCCTGAACCCGCCCCTGCCCTTCCAGGACAGCGGCACCATGGCCACGCGCTCCGTCACCCTGACTTCGCGGTTCGGGCCCTCCACGGCGCGGATCTTGTCGGGGTTGTTGGTGAGAAGGCGCACCTCGTGCTGGCCCAGGTCCAGAAGCATCGAGGTCGCGAGGCCGTAGCTGCGAGCGTCGGCGGGGTGGCGCAGCAACAGATTGGCCTCGACCGTGTCGGAGCCGAGGTCCTGCAGGTTATACGCCTTGAGCTTCTCGCCGAGGCCGATGCCGCGGCCCTCCTGGCGCAGGTAGATGATGATACCGCCGTTGGTGTTGCCGGGCAGGCTCATCAGCCTGGCGGCCTCGTCCAGCTGCTCGCCGCAGTCGCACCGCGCCGACCAGGCGGTCTCACCGGTATAACACTCGGAGTGGATGCGCACAAGCGCGGGGCCGCGCTGGGCGGGGGGGTCCTCGCCGACGGGGGTGGCGACGCCGCCGGGCATGCCGCTCGTCGAGCGTCCGGGGAACAGGCGCCCCGTGTAGGCGCCGCGGATCATGCGGTCCATCTCGGTCTCGCCGGGACGCGGCGCGTCGAGCGACTTGCTCCGGATGTGGGGGCCGAAGACGATGGCGAGGTGCTCCTTGTTGTCGACGTTGTTCTGGTACAAGTGCAGGAACATCTCGGTGCCATTGACAGTGGGGATGCGCGCACGCACGATGCACTGGACCTCGGGCAAGGTCTCGAGGAGGCGGGGTCGCTTGGTGCCGCAACCGCCAGAGGGCACGGAACTGTCGACAGGAACGCCGCGCGGGGCGTCCTCGCTGGTGAGCGGCGTGGATGTACCGGGGGTGGCGGGGGGCGTGAAGGCGGGCGACAGCAGGGAGGGCGGCGGGATCTGGGTGGCTGAGGCCGTCGGGGCAGCATCGTCGTCAGTCGTCGCGGGGGCGGCGGGGTCGGACAGATCCAACTGTTGGGGCTCGGGGTTCTCGGCATTGACAGCAGGACCGTCAACGGGCTTCGTTTTCGGTGAGTAGAAGGAAGGGAGATGTGTGGTTTCTTGGCGCCAGTCCTTGGGCGCATCGGCGCCGTCTTCGAATCCGGGCATGGCGGGGGGGTTGCGAGATGTCGGTTCGTAATGGGGAAGTGGGGGGTGGGTTGTTGATGCGTGGATTGAGTCGAGATGTGTGGGAGGGCCAATTCTAGTAGGTAACGGTCGATCGGGTATAGCGAAGAACAGACAGCAGAAGGGAAGTCGAAAGGAGGAGGAGGAATCTAGATGTCACGAGCGGAGAGCAGAACAGAGGTAGACGGCGAGTTTAGTTGCATTGAGGAGCGGTTCCGCTCGGAGCGGCGAGGAGTGAGTGGTGCTAGTGTAGATACGGTAGCGGAAGCGATGTGGTGTACGGAGTATCGGTAGAATAATGGATTAGTCAGATAGTATCCGTATGTGGTATGTACCGCCGCCTGCAATTGAGGGACGTTCTTCGCCGAGGTTCCAGGGTCTCTTTCTCTAGTGGACCCCTATGGCGGGGTCAGCAGCAGTGTCTTTCGTACTACCGGTAAGCGTTTTGTGTGCTAGGTATCCGTATCCGTACAGGCGTGCGAATGACCCTGATTACATCATCATTGTGTGATTACATCATCTCATCCTGGAATCGGCTAATCCAAGAAATCTGCATCTCGCGCCGCCCTTGTCTCCGGTCTTCGCAGTGCGTGCGCCCCCCCATATGATTGATTTGATGAAGTTGCTCTCGTATCCTCACAGTTGTGTCGTCTCGTAATTCGATACGCTTTGTTTGTTTACTCACGACATGTCGCCGACAGCCAACGACGAGATTGACTCCCAAGACTGACTGGACCATGAGCAGCCAGCCAGCACGTACATGCACACACACATTCATAGGTATTTAGGTATAGGTACCTGTATGTTTCTGTTGTGTATCCGTATACGGAGTATGCTTGAGGACATCGCTAAAAGCTGGACCAATGAAAAGCCTCGCCATGTCGAGTATCCAGGATTTCTTCAGTCAGCATTAAAAATCACCCGCGCGCTGCCAAAGCCCTCAGTCAGCAGCCAACGACAGGAAAAGGAAGAAGAAAGAAGAGGAAAAGGAAGAGAGAGAAAGAGAGAAAAAAAGAAAGAAAAAAAAAAGGGAGAGAAAAACGGCCTTGGAAATCTCGGCAGCCCCATCGCATCGCATCCACCGCATCGCGTCCATCGCATCACATCCATCACAGCAAGTCCATTTGTGCCCTGCTCCTGGTCTACGGATACTGTGTTATCCCTTCTCCTGGTGGTATCGCGAAACATGATCTGTACCGCAACATACTGGATCCAACTTCCTCAACAGGTCATCGGCTTCCCGTCGTGCGGGTTCCTGCATCAAGTGCATTCATTCTCCTTGGCTCATCCCGGCCTCCCGAAACCCTTTTTTTCCCCTTCCTGGTTTCCCATTCTGAGAATTTGGACATGGCACATTTACAGTAAGTAGTAAGTACTCCGTGATCTACCTACTGTGAACTTGAGGCCCTCCTCTCTCTATCCACTTCCTCGGCCCGCATCCCATGACAACCAACGCGCACACGCGCAGCGGGAGGGAGGCGGAAGGCGTTTGGCTGGCGTTCGTCGGTCGCGTTGCGTCTGGGGGAGGACCGGGGGGGGATTCATGGATGTGCTGTCAAGGTGAGTCACATCCGCATCGCAGAACGCGGCCTCTCGCCAGAATCCAAAATGCCAGGCCAACAGCCCCGTGCGGGTGGCGCAGAAACCATTGGCTATCGCGCTCCCGTCATGCCGCAGCCTGCAAAGCACTCACTCGTCCCCTTGGACCCGTTTCACGCTGCTTGCATGTTGGGCATCTTATGAGAGGGCCCTCTTGACCCGGCTGGCGGGACGGTTCGTCGTTGATTGTTTACCTTTTGTTTACGGTTCCGTGGCACCCACAATCCCAGTGGCTGTCGTCGTCTTGTTTCTTGTTTTGTGGCCAACAACACGCTGCGCTCATCCAGTGGATAGGACCCCCTTCTCATGCAGCCGGGCTACCAAAACATCGCCAGCTGGCTCACACACACACTCACACACACACACACACTCTCTCTCTCTCTCTCTCACACACTCACTCGTGGTATAAGAAGATCAAGTGACTTGAATATCTTGTTCGTATATTTCTTGATTTCTAAACATCAGACTTTGCAGTCATCAGACAATCATACGTCTACAATCATACCACACTTCACTCATTCGAAGGCCTCGATAAGATCGACTATTCAGCAGGTCATCACCCCAAAGCGACAGCACAAATTCTTAGCTCGCTCACCTTCACTCAAAAACTCTTCATTTTTTTTTTTTTTTCAAATTATCTTATTTTATTCTTTGCTGTATTTTCATTCCTATACTTTCGCTCACGCAAGCCAACTGACTTCTACTTCATCATATCCCCTCGTCAATACTCATCAGCCTTTCCCGTCTCTCTCTTACCCTCGACCACCTCGAACTTATACACACACACACACACACACACACACACACACACACATCCTTCAAAAAATGGAAAACACAAACGTAATCGCCTGGCTGCTCCCCTCCAGCACCAACCTGCCCGCCATGGAGGCCGTCCGCATTCCCCAGAACGCCGCCAGGAGGGTCGAAGCCGTACCCTCGTCCTACGACCCCGTCGTCCAGACCCCGAACCCGGACGCCGCCCCCTCCACGCCCACCATCGATCCGTCCGTCCTCACCAGGACCTCATCCCCGTCCGGAAACCCCCGTCCGGCGCTCGAGCTGTCCTTCACCAGCCCCCCTAGGAACCACGTCGGCTTCGTCCTCGGCACCGACCCCGACGTCTGCGACGTCGTCCTCCCGCCCCTGGTCGGCATCAGCCCCGTCCACTGCCACATCACCTTCGACGCCGACAGGCGCCTCGTCCTCCGCGACACCTCCGAAGCAGGCACCGCCGTCTGGTACGACGGCGCCAGCTCCGGCGACCGCCGCCGCGAGTCCTGGGCCCTGAGTGCCGGCTGCACCTACGCCTTCCCCGCCATGGTCGACCGCGTCGTCGTCGACATCCAGACCGTGCGCTTCCAGGTCCTCGTCAACGAGTCCCACATGCTGCGGCCCGACGCCTACCGGGACAGCGTCGACGCCTTCATGGCCAGCCTCGCGAGCGGCTGCAGCGTCGTCGAGGAGGGGGGGGAGGGCCTCGTTGACGAGGAGGAGGAGGGGGGCCTCGTCGACGGCGTCGCCAAGAGCATCGTAGGGAAGCTGCCCGTCGTCACGCAGCGGGACGACGAACTGTGCGACTTTTACTACAACTTCGACTTCGACCTCGGCTTCGGCCTGACCTACGGCGACCACTACGACTACGGCTACGACTTGGACTACGACATGTTGGACGACGACGACGCCGTCGACGACGTCGATGACTGCGACAGGATAGACTTCCTCCCGTCCGTCCCGTCCGTTGTCCCGCCCGTGTACGTCAAGTACCTCCTCACCTCGGACGACGGCGCGCCGCCCGAGACCTACCTCTGGAACACGACGCGGCCCTGGGAGCCGATGATCAAGGTCGCTTGCTGACGCGGTCATGACGTGCCGCGCACGCCCCGTTGCCCGAGGGTGACAAGTCTTACATACGTTAATTCTTTTTGTTTGATAAGCGTGGGGGAGAGGAGCGTTGAAAAGCATTCCATGTACCACCAAGTACTACGGGGTAAAGCAATACCCTTTTTTTTTTCTTCTTCCTTTTGTTCGAGCGAGCGTAGAAGGGGGCGTATGTTTTCCGCAGGTTCACCCGGGATTATCAAATTGTAGTGTATATGAGAAGGGCGAAAAAGAGCCTCGTGTAGGAAAGTGAAACCCCTTAAACACCAATAAATACCCAATTTGAACTCTTGAAATGAAACCAAACAAACAGACCTACCAGCTCAATGGGAAAAAAAAAAGATTATTAAAAGTCGGTTCCCTTGATATCAAACTGCCAGGCCAAAATATTAAGGTGGACAACGTCAGCTCTAGCCATTAGAGACGAGACCATAAACTCGCCGAGTATCCTCTCCCTCCCTGTTTTTGTCATTCCTAAGAAAAGCTTCGACAGACCACAGAGACGTCTCCCCTTGGTATGGACGCAATCAATTGGCATATCCCCAGCTGTGGGTTCTCTCTCGCCTGTCCTCCTTGACACTAGTCTCCGTCGTGACGACGATGTTGTGGCGGCCGACGCCCGCGACCTGACCGCCGCCGCCGCCGCCGCCGCCGCCGCCTCCCTGCATCGGGTGGGCCGTGAACACCGACGACCCACCCCCGGAATACCCGAGACCGCCGGTGCCGGTGCCGCCGAAGTCCTTGAGCACGAGGTCGTCGGTGCTGGCCCCGGCCCCCGTATCGACCTCGTCGCCGCGCCTCGCGCTGCCGAAGTCCCTGGACTTGCCGCCGCCGCCGCCGCCGCCGCCATGGGAGAGGCCCGAATGGCAGTCGCTCGACTTGCGCGCCGACGAGAGCCCCGCGCGCGGTAGCCACTTGGCGAGGAGGGGCCGGATGGTCGGGAGCGAGGCGGCGATGATGGACGTGTTGAGCTCGATGACGGACCAGATGGCCGCGCCGATGTTATCCCACGTCGGGTCGTCGCTGAAGACGGCGGTGCGGAGGGTGAACATGCGGTACATGGATATGATGCAGACGCTACATCAGTGACCATATCAGCTTGCTTGAAACCCCGACGGGCCGCCATGACGGCGGGTTACGGGCTGCGAGAGAAAGAGAGAGGGGGGGGGGACGAAAGAAAGACATACCCGAAGCCCAGGCAGAAGATGCCAAACAGCATGAACTTTTGCTTCCTCGGCAGCTGGAGCTGCAGCACGGAGCGCAGCGGGATGCAGAAGATGGCCAGGTCGGTGATCAGGCTCATGGCCGACGAGAAGTACCAGATGGGCAGCGTGTCGAGGCAGAAGCCCGCCGTGCTGGGCACGATGAAGGAGATGGGCAGGCAGCTGAGGCCGAGCAGCGTCGCCTGGACGCACGCCCAGACGGCGACGTATGCCATGGCCCAGGCGCAGACGCGCCTCACGACTCGGTCGACGAAGATGCGCCGGTACTGGAGCAAGAACGAGACCTTGGCGACGTTCATGCCCATGTTGTAGTGGAGGATGGTGATGAAGAGGTACTATGTCGCTCATAACCCGGCGACGGTCAGCTCCGGTACGGTTCATAAGGCCGATGATGGGGGAGGTGTGGGGGGTGTACGTGTATGTGTGTGTGTATGACAGGGAAATAATGTACGCACCTTGAGTTGTTCACGCATCTCCGCCGCAGAGACGTTCTCGGTATGTTTTCCCATGCCATATCTCACCTCTGTGCCGTTGGGGGGGGAAAAGTTGTTAGTCTCATCTCAGACCCCGCCTTTCTCAAGAAGAAGAAGAAAAGAATAAGGGAAAACGACGAGCTCGCTCTTGCAGACGGCTGTCCACTTACCCATGCACGTTGACATTGTGACGACCACGGCGCAGACCTTTTCAGCGCGCGGTCAGCATGATGCTCAGAGACCCGTCGTGGGGGGGAAAGAGAGAGAGAGAGAGAGAGAAGAGAGTGAGTGAGTGAGAGGGGGGGAGGGGAATAGGCCTCACCATCGCGATACAAATGGTCCAGTCATCTTTCCCGGCCGTCTTCAGGAGAAAGAGCCGGGTGTAGAGCCGGAGGGAGAAGACGGCGGCGGAGGCGATGGCGAAGCCGACGGCGATCCCGGTGACGTACGGCCCGTTGGTCTCGGTGCGTATTTTCGGGGCGGTCGCGTTAGCGGCCATTATATATGGACTTGCTCTTCTCGCCGAGAAGTAGGCATAGATCTGAGAAGACAGAGGAGACCCGCCGGTGATGTCAAGTCCTTTTGCTGTCTCGATTCTCTTGTCCTTGCTTCTTTTCTTGATTCAAGAGGGGGAGGCGGGTTCTATAGCCTCGGTAGCAGCCTCCCCCATTCCTCGCTGGGTAGGCCCTCTCGGTGTTAAGTATCTCGGACAAAGCGAAACCGGGGAGGGGGGGGGGGGGGGGGGTCACCAAACCCGAGGGCGTTCGTAGAAATACACGCAGCGGTCTTTATCTTGCCAGGTTGGTTCTTCTTTCTCGTCTCTCGCCATGCAGTTGGGTATCCGACGGCTTCCTCTCACAAATAACACTGGTGCCACGAGGAGAATGTGTCAAGTCGGGGGAGCATCAGATTCAACCCTTTAGGGTACTGCTCGTTTACAGGGTAGCCGAGATGGAGCCGGACTACGCATAAGCAAGAGCCAATGAAAGGTCATTTGCGATCTTTTGTCTGAACTTTTCAGCATTGAAGATTGGAGGGATGAGGAGGATGAGACTGAGGAGGTGGTGGAGGAGGTGGCGGAGGAGGTGGGCGCTTGAAACTGGATAGACTCTGGTCCACCACGCTTCATGGAAACAATATTTTCTCGCCAGGGCGGTTCGGGGTTGGCGGTGGCATGCTCCGAAGAAGTTTCCATGTGGCCGAAGCGGAGCTTGCGACGGCTGATGGGGAAGATTGGGACGATGGAGGGGGATCGTGCTCGAGCCGCGAAGTGGAGGAGGTCCTCGCGTCGAACATGTCTTTTGGCCCATGATGTTCCGCAACAGGCTACAAAAGTTTATCCCCCGCCCCCCCCCCCCCCCCAGTTGGAGGGGCATCTCGACATGGCTCTTTCGTGTTCAAGCCGAAGTTTGCGAGTATACGAACACTCGTAAGGGAGGGGGGAACGAAACAAAGGCAGTTGGGCCCGATGACGGCGCGGACGATTCCCATACGACGCTTATTTTTTTGGAAGGCAACACACTCGCGCAGCGGATTGGGGACGTGTGATCCCTTTACCTTTGTCTTGGTCGAACGCCTTCTGCGGCGAGAAGGTCAGCCGGTCTCATTTCCGTGCCAGACGACAATTATCGAAAGCCATCTTGCTGTTTTCTCATCCAACCACTTGTTACCTACCAAGGTGTTGATACCAATGCCACCGCCGCCCGATGTATCCCGCAACCCTCCCTCAAGGCGGCTAAGGGTCGTAGCGAGGACGTGCGAGGCCGCGCATGTGGCGTCTGCACCAAGACGAGCACCAGCTCCAGTATCTTATCCGCAGTCCACCTATTTGATTCTTCTGTCATCCTCTGTTGGGGGCGGGCAGATATACATCGTATGTCTTGTTGACCCTTACTGCAAGGGCAGGGCAGGGTAGGTTAGGTTTGGGTAGCGAGGGATCGCCCGTCAACGGAACCCACTGCCAATGACACCAGGTCAGAAGTTCCAAAGCGGGAAAGTGAAGAAAAGGTTTTAAACTGCGTGACGTCGACTCGGCTAAAAGAGCCAAAACCTTCGTTGTTGCTGTCACACGAGATCGAACAGGGTCCGCGGTCCACCAAAAGAAGGGGATGCACCATCAGGATAAGGAGACGAGGAGAGGAGTCTATCCCGAACCTTGACCGCTACTAGGTTGAGTCGAAGGTCACGCTATGGAGTCTGGCAACTCTGGATTAGACTATGCGTACTTATCATGTATGTGTGTCTGCTGTACTAACACTTTGGCACGTGTTATGAACCACTTACTGCGTACTACCTCGGTGTCCTGTGGTTTAAATAAGGATGTGGCCTGAAAGAGATCCCCCCATCCGCCCCGGATTTGCCCTATAGAATGAATCATTGAGGTAGTACTTGATCGCCGATGCGTTATATCTAGTAATCTGATCTGACTAGTGCACCAACCTACCAAACAAGCCGAGTGGAAGAGGCCTATCGTTTGCAATTATTACCACTCCTCGTTGCGCAGACCTGTCCTGGTCCATGGGACGTGCCATAACTTACGTACTAGATATGCGGTCAGCAGCCAGGGTTGTCGGAGTGTTGCCAGTGGCCGGACGTTGAGGAGGACCACGTTTCCATGCTGACAAGACGGGCGTTTCACGCGTCAATCACACTTAGATCCCTGCTAGGACGGGTTCAAACAAACTCGCGGACGAGGGCGTTTAGACTTTTCGCACGTCCCTATACATACTATGTACAGGTGCTATCAGCAGTATATCCGCCGCCTGGACTCGCCTCCCCAATACTTTGCAAGGGGACCGTTGGAAACCTCTGCGCCTCGTTTGCGCTCCAGCACGGCGAATAAGTGGCCGCGCTCTCTCGTTTCGTTGCGCCTTGTTTTGGGTGCATTTCCGTCACAGGATTCGTCATCTTTGGGACCGCCTGCGAGTCTGAAGAAGGGGGACAGGCGGAGAAGAGTCCGCGAGGCCGACCCGGAGCCACCCTCGTGGGCTTTCGGAGAGAGGTCTCAAACCCGACTTGAGTCAGACCGGAGCCCCGTGAAGGAGGGGAAGAGGGGGAGGTCATCTCACCAGCCTACTGCCGAGTGCTCTCCAAGATCCCTCCTGGCCCGGACATGACATGTACCCCCGTTCGATCCGTTGCCATTGGCCCAGGGAGACCGGCAGTGACTGGAATCAGGCGCCATCAAACCTTCGGTGCACACGAGGCCACACCACTCCGATGATACTCCGACAATGCTCCGGCGTAGCAGAGTCGTCGTCGTCGTCGTCGTCCCCGTCGTCTCTGGCGTGTTCGCCGCCGGGATCGGGGTCTTCAACGCTGCCTTTCGCTCGGGGCCCACGTCTAAACTGGTGGTTTTGATCATAGCTGGGAAACTCGTATTCCGCTTACAACCTCCCCCGCATCGGTTAGGATGCAATATCTTGGTAAACTCTCCCCCCGGTCCCATCGCCCGAACGAATCATCGTAGCTGGCGTTGCGTCAATGTACACGTAGAGCGTTAGGCAATTGCCGGTCGTTCGCACTGCGGGGGAGGGGAGGGCTAGACCGGATTGCCTTGGCCTCGTCCTGACCAACGACTTTTCGTCCCGACTCCGAGGAGCGTTACGTTAATAAAACAACCATATATATGCAGAGATGATGTGGCCCCCTTCGGCAACTACGCGACGTCCAGCTCGGGAATAGCCACGTTCGTCTGACTGTCGCACGCGCGCGGGCCGGTTCCCGCGAAAGAGTACGAGTTGCCAAAGGGAGTGTAAGATACACGCGGAGAGCAAAGACCCGGCCGCGTACAAATTGGAACCCCAACCCATCAGACGACGACGACGGCCACGGCGACGAGAAGCGCGCGCTCTTCACCACCAAACCTAGAGCCTCTTCCTCTGCCAGCCTCGGGCGAAGCATCGGCTGTCTGTTCGCTCCCGCTTCCGCTCCCACCCACCCCCTTCTGTCTAGATGGCTTCCTTCAAGCATTGGCTGACCCTGCTCCTGGTGGGCACGGCTTGCGATGTCTCGGCCAAGTCCTACGACTACGTACGTCTACCTCCAGTGCACCTTTTCCACCCATGACTCTCCCTTCTCCAGGGAGATGGCCGAAGGGGAGGGGGGGCTTTGACTAACACGAAACGAAACGACCAGGTCATCGTCGGCGGTGGCACGTCCGGCTCCGCCCTGGCCGCGCGCCTGAGCCTCGGCCTCCCCAACGCGCAGATCCTCCTCCTCGAGGCGGGTCCGGGCGCGCCCGACGAGCTCCAGATCAACGTCCCCGGCCTGCGGGGCTCGCTCCTGGGCACCAACTACGACTGGAACTTCACCACGGTCCGCCAGGGCGGTCTCGGCGGGCGCCGAATCGACGTCAACCGCGGCAAGGTGCTCGGAGGCTCGTCGGCCTTGAACTACCTCTGCTACGACCGTGCCGCCGCAGTCGAGTACGACACCTGGGCCGACCTCGGCAGCAAGGGGTGGACGTGGGAGGCCATGATCGACGCCATGACCCGCTCCGAGAACTTCACCGGGACGGACCGGGACACCCGCGGCCGCGCCGGCCCCATCCGCAACACCTACAACCGCGTCATCTACGACGTCGTGGCCCGGTGGCTGCCCGCCGCGCAGGAGCTCAGCCTCCCCATCAACGAGCAGGGCTACATGCACGGCAGCCCCATCGGCTTCATGTTCCAGGGGGCCAACGTCGACGACCGGACCTACACGCGCTCCTACAGCGCCAACAGCTACCTGCCCCTGGCCGGGCCCAACCTCGAGGTAAGGACCGGCACCCGGGTCGCCAAGATCAACCTGGAGAGCGACTACAGCCAGATACAAAGGGCGACGGGGGTCACGCTGGACGACGGCACCATCATCGACGCCGCCGCCGAGGTCATCCTGTCCGCCGGCTCCATCCAGAGCCCCGGCCTGCTGGAGCTCTCCGGCATCGGGCGGCCCGAGGTGCTCGAGGCGGCCGGCGTCGCCCCCGTCATCGCCCTCGACGGCGTCGGCGAGAACTACCAGGACCACGTCCGGACGTCCAACATCTACCGCCTCAAGGACGCCGTCGACTCGTTCGACGCCTTCATCTACGACAGCGCCGGCGCCAACGCCACGGGCGAGCTCAAGAAGTGGACCGACGGCGGGCCCTCGCTGTACGACTACACGACGGTCGCCTACGGCTTCCTGGACTGGGGCCAGGCCGGCGGCGCGACGCGCGACGTCATGGGCGCGCTCGCGCGGGCCGAGTTCGGCAACAGCACGAACCCCGTCGACCGCAAGAAGCTCGCCTTCCTCGCGGACCCGTCCGTGCCGGACTTTGAGCTCCTCGTCGAGGCCAACTGGGTCGGCCTTGCCGGCTACCCCGGCTCCGGCAAGTACCTCACCATCATCGCCGCCGTCATGCACCCCTTCGCCCGCGGCAGCGTGCACATCAACCCGGCCGACCCGGAGGGCGCGCCCGTCATCGACCCGGGCTACCTCGCCAGCGAGCACGACGTCCGCGCCCTCGCCGAGGCCGCCCGGTTCGCGCGCAAGATCGCCAACACGGGCGCCATGCGCGACGCGTGGGAGGTCGAGGCCGAGCCCGGCCCGGCCGTGCAGACGGTCGACGACTTCCGCAAGTTCGCCGCCGACAACGCCCTGAGCTTCTACCACCCGATCGGCACCTGCGCCCTCCTCCCGCGCGTCGAAGGCGGCGTCGTCGGCGCCGACCTGCGCGTCTACGGCACCACCAACCTGCGCGTCGTCGACATGAGCGTCGTGCCCGTCATCCTGTCGGGGCACATCCAGACGGCCGCGTACGGCATCGCCGAGATGGCGGCCGGCAAGATCATTGCCGATGCGGCTTGTTAGGTGCATGTAACCGAAAGTTTGTGCTCGACCTGTCACGACCCTCCATTTCTCATGTTGGTATATCTATTATATACTTTAATCACCCCGAGCGCCGCCATCGAGCGGGAATTAAGCCTACAAGGACGCCTCCCTTGTGGATATAAGCTACTCACCTAGGCTATAATGGATTGCCATCTCCTTGCCGTAACGAAAGCTCATCGAGCACCTGTCATCCTCGTGTCGAGATCTGTACGGGGTTTTGTTGACGATTTACATCATTAATATAATGTAAACAGAAATATGAAGTGTATATTCCTAAAGCCATTGGTGCTTTTGAAAAGACAGCACATGGTTTTCCGCCTCCGCGTGACTATGTTACTCCGCGGAGAAAGAAAGTAATCAAAGCAAGACCGCTCTTTTTAGGTTGAGAACTCCGAACAGCTGGTTAAAAATAAAAATAAAACTATAGCCCAGGATAGTCTAGCGCAGACATTCGGACCAAACGCAGAGAGAACCCGTGAAGACGGGCTGGGCTGACATCACTAACCCCCGAGACCTTATCTGTCACGCAGCCGCTCGCCACATGCGTATCTCCAATCTCTGACCTCCACAATCTCATGGCTCCCAGATCTCCGCGGACATCTGAAATGGCGTATACACCATAGAGGAAAGAAGGGGGAAGGGAAGGGGGGGTCATCGTAGGCGTGTAATGTTTATAAAGACTGTATCCGGTGATCGAAACCGAGGTGGGATAACTTCGACGACAAAAAAAGGCAAAAAAGCGCTGGCCCTAACGCTGCTCTCACCTTATAAGCGCACGTCGGTGTACACCGCCGGCCCGCAGAAATAAAGAGCAGAAAAGCGACGGCCGCTGAGTTAGCGGATACGGGACGAACAAGAACCATGGCGTCCGAGGACCCGCCGCCGCCGCCGCCGGCCGAGACGACCCCACTGCTCCCGAAACCCACAAGCCGCATCTCCATCCCCGCCCGTTTCTCCTCCTCTCTGCCGAAGGCTGACCGCGCCCCCGACCAGTCGCCGCCGTCCCGGGGCGACCGCCTGCCCTACAACGACTACACCGCCATCGACTGGCTCCGCGACCTGACGCGGGACGCCGCCCGCGCCCGCCGTCTGCACGCGCGCCGGGGCCTACGCGGCCGGTTGGCCCGCTGGTCCGACCAGTGCCAGGGCTGGATCGCCGCCGCCATCATCGGCGCGCTGACGGCCCTCGTCGCCTTCGCGGTTGACGTCTCCGTCGCGACCGTGAGCGACTGGAAGGAGGGCCGCTGCGCGAGGAACGCCCTCCTAGACCGAGGGCGGTGCTGCCGAGGCGTCGCCGGTACCGACGCGTGCGACGCGTGGCGGCCTTGGGTCGTCCTCGGCGACGACGACGACGCGCAGAAGGGCGGGTACGTCGCCGGGTACGCCGTCTACGTCCTCGCCGCGTTGCTCTTCGGCGCCGTCGCGGGCAACGTGACCATGACCACCAAGGCGTCCCTCCCGGCCGTCACCGCCGACGCCGACGACAGCGCGGTCGCCGCGGCGGGGGGCAAGACCATGTACATGGCCGCCGGCAGCGGCATCCCCGAGATCAAGACGATCCTCTCGGGCTTCGTCATCCCCCACTTCCTAGGCCTCAAGGTACTGGTCGTCAAGGCCGTCGGCGCCACCTTTGCCGTCTCGACGGGCATGTGCCTGGGCAAGGAGGGCCCTTTTGTGCACATCTCGACCTGCGTCGGCCACCTGGTGGCCGGCTGGTTCCCAAAGTACCGCGACAACCCGCGCAAGATGCGCGAGATGTTGAGCGTGGCGTGCTCCGCGGGCCTGTCCGTCGCCTTCGGCGCGCCGATTGGCGGCGTCTTGTTCAGCTACGAGGTACGTTGCGGGTGCGATTCGTAGGCTTTCTTTCCAGATGAGAAAGGTACAGTTCAGGGCATTGACAATCCCGGGAAAATAGGAAATCAGCACGTACTTCCCGCGACGCGTCCTGTGGCGTGCGTTCCTCTGCTCCCTGATTGCGGCCATCGCGCTCAAGGCTCTCAACCCCATGGGGACAGGGAAGCTGGTGCTGTTCGAGACCAACTACGACGTCGACTACGATCCCGTGCACTACCTCGTCTTCGTCTTTCTCGGCGTCTGCGGCGGCGTCTTTGGTGGCGTCTTCTGCCAGGCCAACTTCCTCTGGTCGAAGCGCTTCCGCAGGTACGACATCATCAAGGAGCACCCCGTCCTGGAGCTGTGCGGCGTCGTCCTCGTCACCGCGCTGCTGCAGTACCCCAACGTCCTCATCCGCGACACGGGCGACGTGTCGCTCTCGAAGCTACTGGTCGACTGCAAGGACCCGACGGGCGAGTGGATCTGCGAGCAGGAACGGAGCGACGATAGGACAGGGTACATGCTGCGGCTGGCGGGCGGCGCCGTGGTCAAGCTCGTGCTCACCATCATCACGTTCGGGTGCAAGGTTCCCTCGGGCATCATCATCCCCGCGCTGGACGGCGGCGCGCTGTTCGGGCGGCTCGTCGGCCAGGTCATCGGCGACATATCGCCCGGCATCTTCGCCATGGTGGGCGCGGCGGCGTTCCTCGCCGGCGTGAGCAGGATGACCGTGAGCCTGGCCGTCATAATGTTCGAGCTCACGGGCGAAGTGACGTACGTGCCAGCCTTTATGTGTGCCATCCTGACCGCCAAATGGGTCGCGGATGCCATCTCGACAGAGTCGGTGTACGATCTCTCGCAGCACCTCCTGGGCCACCCGTTCCTCGACGCCGAGCAGGCCTACGAAGTCGTCCGTCACCGGGAGGCCACGGCCCGTGAGCTGGTCCCGCCAGCGGCAACGATGGCGGAGATCACCCTTGGAGTAGGCAGGGAGTATCAAGTGCGGCGGGACGTGCTCGCGGAGAAGCTGCGGAAGCTGAAGGCCAGGGGGTTGATGGATGCGGGGCTCGTGCTGGTCAACGCTTCCGGTTTGCTTTTTGGCTACTTTCCTGAGATGGAGATCGAGTACGCGTTGCAGCTCGAGGACGAAGCCGATGAGATTGACGTGCGAGACGAGATCATAAGGGAGCTAATTGACCGGACGCCGATCACGGTCAGCGCCGAAATGCCCATGGAGCACGTCCTCGAGGTGTTTGGGAAGCTCGGGCCGAGGTATATCATCGTTGTCGAGCCGGAGACTGCCAAAGTGATGGGTGTCGTTCTCAAGAAGCGACTGCTGGACTATTTAGATCGGGCGAAGGAGCAATGATCGATCAGGCTGTAGCTGGTTAACCTGGGTCGTCTCGCCGCCATTCCGGATTTTGCATCATTGTGTCTGGTTCCGTTCCTTGCTCGTAGTCGAGATGTAGCCAGCCTCCGGCTTCTTGATTACAAAGTGGCATTTCCGTATCGCGCGTTGACCTGCCGGTTGGGGCGTGCTGCAATGCCGTAGTAAAGCCCTTGGGATTGGGTGGTTCATCCTGCCGCGCTTGTTCTCGCCCTGACACCCGAGTATTTTCTGGCCGTTATCCTGTCACTGTCACCTTTGCCAACCCGATTCCTTTGGTGACCGCCGAGGATAAAAACTACATATTAAAGGTCCAACGATCAATCGGTTGCAAATCGCAAAAGACGTAGATTCGGCTCCATCTATGGCCCACGCGGCAAGACCAGCACCCCCCTTGTGCTTTTCTTTTTTTTACTTTGCCCTAGTCCCTCGTTCTGGTCCTCGAATAATGGGTTATGTACACAGACGTCGCACCGCCTCCGGGCCCCTCTTGTCGTCGTCCCACAAATGCTTCTTCTCTTCTTTAGTTGCTTCTCGTACCCTTCTCGGCGCGGAGCTCGTTCATCTTGGCGACACGCTTCTTGAACTCGTCGTACTGGCACTTCTCGTAGCTGTGGCGCTCGTCCTATTCCAAGACGGTTAGCGAACGTGGTCTCTCGGCGGCGACTGGGCCGGTAGATGGGGTCGGGGCGAGTTCAGCGCGAGCGACGCATGATAGGAAGCCTTCAAGGCGCGGAAGGGGGTAACGAACGTTGCACTTCCACGGGAGGTACCAGGAGTCGACACGGCAGCGGTTAAGGGGGATGAGGAGGTGGGCGCAGCTGTCGCGGTAGGCGAGAGGGAGCTTCGCATCCCGCATCTCCTCGCGGGTCGCTTCTGTAAACGGATTGTCAGCCATTGCGTCAGCGGAGAGGGGATTGCGACAGGAAACAGGAGGTAAGGGGGTTAACGGACCCCTTGGTGTCGAGTCTCCGGCCATTGTGACGATCTGTGATGGGCGAATGAGGCTATCGACGGTGGTCAATTGAGATCTGGATCTTGAAATGTCGTCGGAGCTTTGGATTGGACTGTGGAGCCTCGCCGACGGTAATTCCCTTGTGGCCTGGAATGTAAGGCTTAAATGTGGTGATGGTATTCTGGTGTCTCTGATTGGCTGGAGTGATATTGGTGGTGCACGGGCCGCCTGATACCTCCTTCAATGCTTAGTCATTTATCTTTATTTTATGCTTATTCTATCATTGATTCCCCTCCTAATATCTTGTGTCTCTCTCGTACGATCAACAATCAACAATCAACACATTGCCACTTCTAACACGGTTCAGCATGACTTGGCCACGCAGCGCCCGAAACTTCTGTATCAATGTTCGCTGCATTGAAACATTTTGTTTCGGCGTGGAAACAAATAACAAACGGGGTTTGTTTCTAGAATGACTCGATGCTGTCTGTCGTGGAAGACAATGCTCTCGGTGCTGTGCTTTGTTCACCTGCTAGACCGGGTCAAGACCCAAGCGTTTGTGTACCCGTTTGTTCGTCTCATGACGGTGACAGCTGGTCAATATCGGAACCACGCCTGCGGCTCGGGAGGTACACGGAAGGTTGGTATACTTATGATGCTATCCAAACTTCTGTCAGTTAAACTCAAAACCAAAAGACCTGGATCATATCCGGGGAACTCTCGTCTACTATGTAATTCATATCAACCCCTCAGCGTAAACCTCGTTCTGCCTGCTACTTGGAAAAGCAACTCGGTTAATGGGACGCGAGACTTGAGTCGTTCATCTGAAGATCCATTTCTCTCCTTCTTGTCAATACTTTACAGAGTATACACCAAGTATGAACTAACGGCGGGTCCGTAGGGTTTAGGGCGAGGATCATCGAGCGGGTTACGGATTATGGCCACTATTTCACAATCAACTCCGCCCTGAACTGATTTAACCTTTCCCAAAGTAGCCACCTTCCCATTACCGCAGGTCGTTCACTCGTATTTGCATGAGCCCGAAGGCAAAGCTTCCCAGTCGGAACGTCGATGTCGAACGGCCCGTTCCTGGTAACGGGGCTGTGGAGTATTCCTAGCGCTACCTTCCGTTTCGGGCTAACACGTTCGCGGCACACCATCCATAACCGGTCACCCGCATCAAATCAACCCTCGTTCTCTTCACCGGCCTTTTAACCAAAAGAGCTTTATCTATAGCAGCTGCATCGTCACCGGGGTCAGGGTTAAGCCGAGCCCCTGTGTTCATCTCTTGGAAAGCTTGTTCCTACCGACGTCGTACGAATCACTATGAATCGTACGCATCGCCTTGGCATGTTGGTTGCGCTGATCAAATGGTCCCCCCATCATTGCTTCATCTGCCGTTGGCAGGGGCGTCAAGGAGGGGGAGGGGAGGGGGGAGTAGGAGGAGGAGGGGGGGGAGAGAAATAGCTCCACGCTCTTATCTAGACCCATGGTCACCGAGTCTCTTTAAAAGATGGCAGTACTCCCCGCCGTGTCCCAGTTGACGAGGCTCTTCTTGTCTGGTTGACGTAGTCGCGAAGCAGTCGTCGTCCTGTGTTGTATAGTCTGGTTCCTGATTTCCCTCCTAAGCATTGTCTCTGCCACTATGAAGGTCCCGCTCGCTCTGCTCACCTGCCTGACGGCGGCGGCTCAGGCCCGTTTCGCCTTCCGGCCCACCCAGCCTCCTTTCAAGGCCGACGATGTAGACGGACTTCTCTCCAAGCGCGCGCTCGGCAGCTTCGAGCAGCTCATCGACCACAATGACCCGGAACTGGGCACCTTTCAACAGCGGTTCTGGTGGAACAGCACTTTCTGGAAGGGACCTGGCTCTCCGGTAAGAACCAACGTCCCGCCGAGAAGTTGAAATAGACATCCCAACTGACCAGCTGTAGATTGTCCTCTTTACCCCTGGCGAAGAGGACGCCGAGGAATACACCGGATACCTGACGGACCGCGCTCTCACGGGCGCCATTGCCAAGGAAATTGGCGGCGCCGTTATCATGGTTGAGCGTATGGAAACACAGGCCACGCCCATAGTCCACGGGGTTCCAAAAGACTGACGCTTTGCAGACCGCAACTGGGGCACCTCCCTGCCGTACGCCCTCCAGGACACGAAGAACCTCCAGCAACACACCGTGGCAAACGCCGTCCAGGATCTCGTCTACTTCGCTCGCAACGTCGAGCTGCCCTTCGACACCAACAGCAGCAGCAACGCTCCCCAGGCCGTAAGTGCTTCATTCCTGTGCCCCCGATCCGAAACCCGCCGCCTGTGAGACTTGCTGACGCCAAAACCTCCAGCCGTGGGTGTACACCGGCGGCTCCTACTCGGGCTACTTGGCCGCCGCCATCGCCAAGCTGGCCCCGGGAACGTTCTGGGCCTACCACGCCAGCAGCGCCCCCGTCGAGGCCATCAACTACTACTGGTCCTACTTCCTCCCGATCCAGGAGGGCATGCCCAAGAACTGCAGCCGCGACTTCGAGCGCATCATCGAACACGTCGACACCGTCTTGAACAACGGCACAAAGGACGAGATTTACGCCCTCAAGAAGAAGTTCCTCATGCAGGACCTCCCCCACGACGATGACTTTGCCTCGTAAGTCGGACCTTTTCTATACCTAAACGGCCGCAACGAGATTTATTACTCCTGCTGACGCGGCTCAGCGCCTTGTCTTCGCCTCTGGGCTTGTGGCAATCCATCCAGCAGTACGACGGCTACTCGGAGTTCTACCAAATGTGCGACACCGTCGAGGGCGTCGCCGGCAACGCCACATCCGGCAACTCCACAGCCCCCGGCCCCGACGGTGTCGGCCTGCCCAAGGCCCTCGACAACCTGGCCGCATGGTGGCGCGCCAATATGATTAAGAATGGTGAGCAAACACCCTTCACCTCCCCTCCCCTTGTGGTTATATGAGGTTGTCCTTGAAGCTCACTGTGCCCCCCCCCCTCAGTTTGCGCGTCCTACAGATATAAAGATTGGCAAGACCCCATGAGCGTGGCCTGCTGGGACACGTACAACGCGTCGAGCCCCGGCTACACAGACTGGAGCGCTGCAAACGTCTTTGGCCGCACTTGGTACTGGATGTTGTGCAACGAGCCCCTGTTCTACTGGCAGACGTAAGTTTGACAAGTCCTTCCCGCGTAGCTTCCCACAGCCCGATCCTGACAGGTTTCACAGTGGTGCTCCCGAGGACCGCCCGACCATCGTCTCGCGCCTCACCACGCCCGAGTACTTCCAGCGCCAGTGTGGTCTCTTCTTCCCGAAGCAGGGAGAGTACACTTTCGCCGCCGACCTCGGCAAGACCGCAGACGACGTGAACAAGGTAACCGGCGGATGGGATTTCACCAACACCACTCGCCTGGTCTGGACGAACGGGTAAGTTCGGGTTCTGCCCTCCCCTTTTGTCGGCACACACACACACACTGGTCTTGAACTCAATACTGACTATTAATCACCAGTGGATTCGACCCCTGGCGCTCCGCCTCCGTGTCCAGCGAGCTCCGCCCCGGCGGTCCCCTCCAGTCGCGCCCCGGCGCGCCGGTGAACCTCATCCCCGGCTCGCGCCACTGCAACGACCTGCTCACCGAGAACGCCGAGGTCAACGCGGACGTGAGGGCCGCCGTAACGGCCGAGGTCGCCCAGCTCAAGACCTGGGTCGCCGAGTTCTACAACGGCAAGGTGACGCAGAAGCGCCGTATCGCGGCGACGTCTAGCTAGGCTCGGAGCTTGATTTAGAGTTAATAATCGGTGGCTGTCAAGGATGGGGGGACGTTCCCCAGCGGCCTTGCAAAAGGGGTGCGCTCCCCCCCACCTTCTACTGGCAGGTGGCGCGAAGCCAATAATGATGACGTTTTATATATTCTCGACATAGATATTTTCACAAAACGTACATAGATTCACGGCCCTTTTTTCCCTTTCACGAACCCGTTCTGTTTGTGACGTATGTGGAATAGTATTATATAAATTAAGTCTGACAAGTCTATCTATAGTGAGTCGATAACCCCCCCCCCCCAACACTCCGAGACTTCCAAATCACCAAGGCAGACCAGTGCCGTCGTAGTTCTTGAACGAGCCGGTAATCTCCTTGTTCGCCTTGTCGATGGTGGCTACCATGCCCTCGACGCTCTGCTTCACGGTGATGGAGCCGAAGGCTTTGAGGTCGGCGCCGGACTTGCCCGCCAGCTCGAAGGCCATGTCCGTCTCCACCAGGCCCGGGTGGAACACGAAGGCCGTCAGCCACGGCTCCTCGAAGCTAAGCCTCCGCACGAACCAGCTCAGGGCCGCCTTGCTGGCGCCGTACGGGCTGACGCCCACGGGCATCCGCGCGATGGCCCCGGCCGCGCCGTTGCTCCCCATCAGCGAGGACATGCCGACGAACACGGGGTTTCCGCTCGCGCTGGCCTTGAGGAGCGGCTCGGCGGCCTTGAAGAGCACCGCCGGCGCGACCGAGTTGACGGCGAAGTGGTCCAGCGCCGTCTTGAAGTCCACGTCGGCGACCCTGGCGGTGCCGTAGGAGATGCCGGCGTTGGCGATGACCACGTCGAGGGCGGTGATGCCGTGCTCCTCCCGGAGGACCGAGATGGCCGACGCCGGGTCGGACTCGACCGAGATGTCCATCTTGACGACGACGACCCTGGAGCCCTCGCCCTTGGGCAGGTCGGCGAGGGCCTTGGAGGACGCGCTCGACGGGTCGCGGACGGCGGCGACGATGGTCGTGGCGGGGCGCTGGATCAAGAGGGACACGAGGCCGAGGCCGAGGCCGCGGTTTGCGCCGGTGATGAGGTAGGTGAGGCCGGAAGACATTGTGCAGGTGGCCAAGGAGCTCTTCGGCTGTCTAATGCGATGTTGTGATGGGAGGATGATGGTGAATGATGTTGCTACTGATGGTGGTTTGTTTCCCAGGAGCTATATGGGCGGACAATCATCACCTCTTAAATAACGACATGTTGCCGATGCACCTAGAACCGATTCTGTAGAGTGACACTCTTACACGGCCGTAGCAGAACAGAATCGACATGGATTCATAAGCAAGAGAGCGCTTTTTCGGCGTCGGGTATGCAGACTGACGCGGCAAGAGAGCGTTTGTTCGGCGCCGAGTATGCAGACTGACACGGCAAGATTGTTAATCAACAATTTGCTTCTCCCAGCGAGCATCAATCGAGGTATGGTATGTCAGTGCCGGTAGGGCTGGCAGGGTTGGTGGAGAAAGCACCGTGCCAGGCATGGTGGTGTGCTATCGCGAGATGACTTATCGAAATGTACGCAGCGCCGACGATGCTAGCTACGTACGAGAGTGTTGCCGACACGACTAGCATGAGATTCTACTGGCTTGGATACATCTTAGAGACGGCAGACGCAAATAAAGACACAGAGATACGAATACCCATGGGCGGTTGTTGTTAAGCTGCAGATGGAAGTCATGAAGTATCAGGCACGGCGTGGAGAGCAAGTCAGAAACCGATATAGGCAGGAAAAAGAAGAAGAAAAAGACCCGGTCATCGTTATTTTTTCATTGGGAAGAATTCGGCCAACAGGTTGAATCGTCAAACGCTAGGCTTCTACGGAATGTGAGTGGCTACTATTGGTGTTCAGCCATGTGTCGGCCGATTTTGGTGTTTACTGATCGCGAAGCCCTGCCTCGCATTGGGCGGACGGGGCTGTTCACTAATCGGTCCGGGAGCTTACTCAGCACCCATGCGATACTGCGCAGGTGTCGTCGGCGTGATCGTTTTCAACATATGAGGCGCTGCATCCACATCACAGACAAGTTGTATTGTTCAGATCCGAAAAGTCCTCTGTGTAGGTCTCACTCAGAGAACCCAACGGTACAATAACAGGGGTTTCGGTATACCATACACTAGTTTAGGTGACGAAGGGGACAATATTGTTATTGTGCTATTTCTGTGGAAAGAGGCAAGTTATCTAGGGGCTGGCAACTTGGCTCATGAGCCCAGGTCTTCCCTTTCGGCCGTAGCTATCCCAGGCCTGAATAGATTCGATTGGCCAAACTGTGCGGGATAGCTGGTATCCAGTGGTGTCTCATTCCGACCGTGCTAAACACGTGCGTTCCGAACAACTTGCTGGTAATCCAGGCCAGTTCTGGCTTTGTTAGTGACTGCGACTAAAAAGCGGAATTGACGAAGCTACATAACCTAGGCACTACAGACTGCTACTAAAGATGTTGAACCATTTTGCGAAGCCTAGTTCGCGGGATTGGGGATCTCTCGACGTTATGCCGATGTGGGGAGCACACAGACTATATAAGTAGCACTGCAACGCTTAACCCCCAACCAACTATCAATGGATGATAACATCCACAATTCCCCGATAGTCTAGTGGTGAGGATATCTGCTTGTCACTGCAATAGCAGCAACTCGCAGGGGACCGGGGTTCAATTCCCCGTCGAGGAGATTTTTTGCATTCGCCATCTGTTCCTCAATTGGTAAAGTGGTGCTTTGCATCTTTGTTTTGTTCTGCTTTTGTTTTACATAATGGCGGCGGTGCTTCGTTCGTTGGGTGAACCGGCTCGGTTGGTCGGTCGTCTGGCAGTTGGCCAAGTGTGCTAGGCGTAGTCGGGTTGGTCTTGTTGTCTGCCTATAGTCGACTAAGTGCGTCGGGAACCAGACGGTCTTTGCCTGGCTTGTGGAGCATCTTGAGGTCGAATTGGCTGATGTATTCCACTGCTCTGACGAGCTTTTTGTTCGCAGTAGTGCGTGCGGTCGAATTCGCAATGTCGTTGACTTATCGTGATTGAATGTCTACAATAGCTTTGTGGTCGGTGAAAAAATCATGACTGGTTCAACTTGGGTGCTCCATATCCAGCGAATATGATTTTTTTTTAAAACAAAAGTTGCGTCAAGAGACATTATAATAGACACTCGTGGTTTCGATCCTATAAACAGATTATGCCTCATGGGTTTTGTTTACTCTTCGAGTCGAGCTCCTATAGCCGATTTTGTTCCTTGAAAGCTGAGCATACGCGAAGTCCAAGGCCTGGAAACAGCCGCTTTAAATGCGTTGCTGTAGACATTACAATGAACCTTGATATCGGCGAGGAGTATCGAGGAATAACAGTTGTCGGCTTCGCTAGTAAATGCAGAGCCTCATGGACTTGGCGCCCTCTGATGTCCAGTCTCTTTTGCCATCTCTTCATGACTCCATGTCAGGATAAGACACCTCGTCGCCAACCTACCAAATACGCCCCGATATCTCTGCCCACCGGATCCGCCGCCCTGCCAAACCAGCACGCAGACAGACGTGGCCATCCGGCCCATTCTCGCCATGCATCAAAGAGCCCCGGAAACTCCGAGCAACTCCGAAGATGAGCGGCGGGCATGGCTGCCCCACAGCCGTGTCACAGCCCCAGACACAGGGTTGGTGCCCTCTTCTGACTCCACGATATGAGCCCCCCATTCCCGCCTCTTCCATCATCCGAAGATAGCGGCGGGCATAGCTCAGTTGGGAGAGCGTCAGACTGAAGCGGATCTCGATCCGAGAAACTTCATTCAATCAATCTGAAGGTCGTGTGTTCAATCCACACTGACCGCATCTTCACTTTTGCTGTTTGGTCAGCTTTTTTCATTGATTATGTATGATCTGGCGAGACCTGGTTTGTGTGCGTCTCACTCATTGTGAGGATGCCGCTATAGTGTGTGTGTTGTATGTAAGCGAGGCGTCGAGTTGGCTAGATATTCAGACAGAATAAGGAGCCAAGGGGGAGACGAACAAAGTTGAACAGAACTAGAAAAGACGATAAAATGAAAACCAATTAAACAGCAAGCATATCTATTCTTTCAATACCTTGATTGCTGAGTTGGCAGAGAATCAATACCAACAACACCTCCTTGTCGTCCATCCAGAAGAGAAGTGAGCCTAAACTCAGCGGCCGGAAGACCCTGGAATCATCAGCCTCTAGCGCCCCGTGGACCCACCCGATCCGCTGAGAGCGCCAGCCAGCCCACGTCACACCCCAACGCAACGCACCCCCCCCCCCCCCCGTACGCGAACACGCGTTGACAACTTTCCCATCCCGCTTCAAGTCGATGAGCCTGTGAGCAACATCCATCCCGCCCGCCCTCAACCGCCCACCATGTCGCGACGACCGGCGAAAGGAGACTACATCGAGACCGTACGTTGATTTGTTTGTCCCCTCCCCCCTCCTTGCGTCCCGATGCGCACCGAAACATCGCACACCGCCCGCCCCGACTGACCCGAACCGAACCGCAAAACAGGACACGGGCAACAAGGTCGCCCGCAAGGCGACGCTCGTCGGCACCCAGAACATCATGCTCGGCGGCAAGACCGTCATCCAGCCCGAGGTCATGATCCGCGGCGACCTCTCCCGCACTGCCCAGCCCTCCGCCGCCGGCGCCCCCGCCAACAGCACCGCCGTCGCCATCGGCCGATACTGCTTCCTCTCGAGGGGCGCCGTGCTCCGGCCCCCGGGCCGTATGTACAAAGGGTGCGTCCTCTCTCTCTCTCTCTCTCTCTCTCTCTACCTCTACCTCTCTACCTCTCCCTCCCCGACATCCACCCCAGTCTCTCTCTCTCTCCCTCTCGCTAACGAGCGCGCAACGTCCCCGGCAGCGTCTTCACCTACATGCCTCTCCGCATGGGCGACCACGTCTTCGTCGGCCAGAACACCGTCATCCAGGCCGCCTCGCTCGGCTCCCACATCCACATCGGCCGCGACTGCGTCATCGGCGAGTTCGCCATCGTCAAGGACTACGTCCGCGTTCTCGAGGGCACCGTCGTCCCGCCCAACATGGTCATCCCCAGCTTCAGCGTCGTCGCCGGCCAGCCCGCCCGCGTCGTCGGCGAGGTGCCTGAGGGCGGCCACGAGGCCTTTGAGCTGCGCGAGCTGTACAAGACCGTCGGGAACAACCCGCAGCCGCTGACTGTCTAGGTAGGTGCTGGGTTGAGGAGGAGAGAGGGGAGGAGGGCACCAGCGGCCACACGGAAGGTTGAGAGGGCGGAGGGCGGGAGTCATGCGGATACTGAGTGAAGCGGCGTTGAAGCGTGTGTAGGTCGAGCCATGTGCTCAAATGATACCCCTGTTTGTTTGTTTATCTTCTTGCAGCAGCAGCAGCAGTCTGAACTTCACGTGGAGTGACTGACGTCCAGTGAGCGATGGATGGAAGCCGTCTATCTGCTTGCATCAAATACGTCAAGACATATATAACCGTGCCGAATCGTGAAGTGTTTGCGGTGGGGACAAGTCATATTCGATTCCTCGCATTTAACACGAAATTCTGCTTTGAAAAATGTTGCATAACCCAGCAGGTCACCAAAAGCTGATTGGCAAAGGACTTGCTTCCCCCCCCCTATCTGGAAACCATATGATCCCACAATACCACCCATCACCCTCGCCATGCACCTCACGCCGCAACACCCACTGCTTCGAGCCCACTTGGCGCCCCTATCTTTCACGGCTCGCCCGGCCATATCGAGTCAGCCAGCTGCCGCACCAGCTTCAGCTTGTTCACCATGTCCTGGTGAGAGACCGAGTTGCCCAAGTGATGGCTCGCGAACCCGCACTGCGGGCTGACGCCTATCCTCTTGAGCGCCTGCGCGCGCGTCTGGCCCGCGCCCTTGGCCACATGATCGGCTGCCTGAAACACCCGCTCCTTCGTCTCCTCCAGGTCCTCGAGCTCGGAGAACTTGGACGTGACGACGCCCAGGATCAGGTTCTTGTGCGCCGGCAGCGCCCTGAGGGGTTCGAAGCCGCCGGCGCGGTCCGTGTCGTACTCGAGGAAGTAGGTGTCAGCGTCGATCTCGCCGAACAGCCGCGGCGCGATGCGATCGTAGCCGCCCTCGGAGAAGTGTCGCGAGTAGGCAAAGTTGCCGCGGCAGAGGTGGATCCCGACGTGCATGTCGGCAGGGCGGGACGAGATGCAGTCGTTGTACAGCTTAATATAGGACTGCAACAGGGCGTCCGCGTCCTCGCCCGCGTCCTTGAAGCCTTGGAGCATCTTTTCCGAGCAGAAGTCTTGACCGCATGGTTGTTAGTCAAGATGCCATTGACCGGGGGCAGTGTTTGGGGAGGGGCGCGGGTTTATTTACACGCCAAGTTGGGGTCATCTATTGTGATATTCCGAACGCCATGGCTGTACAGAATCTCCAGCTCTGTGCGGTATGCTTTGGCAATGTCCGCAAAGTACTCTTCGTCATTGGCATAGACGTCTTTGGGATACGCATGCCCCTTCTGATACCGCAGGTGATACCACTCGGGCGCAGGCAGAGTTAACTTGGCCTCCTTGACGCGCTCAGGCGGGATGAGGCTCTTCAGGAAGTCCCACTCCCTCAGATACGTGCTGCCCTTGTGCTTGATCTTGCCTGTGCAGACGATGGACTCGCCGGGCTTGTGGTCGCTCTCGACTGGGGATTATGGCCGTCAGAAATCAGACGTACGTACGTACGCGCGCAGGCACGCCTTCGGCAATCGGAAGAAGAAAAAAAAACTCACCAAAAGCCGCAATGTCTGGGACGAACATGCGGAAGATATCCCAGCTCGGCGTCTCGACCTCCTCGAAGCCCTCGAGACCGGGGAAAAAGTTGCCCCAGAACTGGTGGCGGCGGTACTCGCCGTCGGTCACGGCGTGGAAACCGAGGTCCAGCTGAGTCTTGACAATGTCTCGCACGCCTTGCTCCTCAAGCTGATTCAGCTCCTCGTCTGCGGCAATCTCGACGGCTTTCTTGCCGTCCAGGGCTGTGCGCTTCTCGGTCAGGGCCTTGGGTCGCAGCAGCGAGCCCATGTGCTCGGCGCGGAAAGGAGGCCTCTGATGATTCTTGGCAGCCATGATTTCCTTCTGCACAGACGGAGCGAGGAACTGCATTCTCAAAGATGTGTCGGAATGAATCCAAGCAGCAGTTATTATGTAGACCTCGATACTCGAGACGGCTTGGGAGTGTAGGTGGCCTGGTTTACATACGAAAATACATTTCGATGATGCGGGTTTCGAGATTCGGCAGCAAGCCAATGACCCGGCCGGCAGGGTTCCTTGAAGAGAGTCTATGTGATCCAAGTGACCATTTTTCGCCTTCCGGTCCTAGTCCCCCGGCCTCGACGATGTCATCTCGATCCATCATCGTCATATTCCCCAAGCTTCGCTAGCGCACCCGCCTCGGTCCCCGCTTTCCCCGCCCTTTGTGATAGGTTAGTCGGGCGTACGGACTGTGTGTGTTGTGTGTGTGTATTGCTGACAACAAATGACATGCAGTAGTGGCCGCTTGACTAGATGGGGAGAGATGGTTGTTGCTATTGGGACATGCATCTCTGAAAGCCCGATTGCCATCAAGGTACGGATTGGGAGGAATAGGAAGGAAGGAAGGCATGAAGCTCTTATCGTCGTCTTATCGAAGCTTGAGTGGGGCTGGGCTGGCGGTGGCGAAGGCAGGCCTAGCTAGCTAGGCCTGTACTTGGCTGTCTCAAAGGACCCCTAAGGATAGACCCCGCGATGACATTCATTGCGAACCTCCAAGCTACAATACATCACACAAATCTCGGCTGGGCCGCGGCGCAACATCACAACTATCTATTTGCAGCCACTCGACCATAAAGTTTCTCATTCAAAAGACAACGCTGTGTCGCCGCAAACACGCATCACGTTGACACCCTGTTCAAAGGCCAGAGTTGCTATCATCCGAACTTGAAACTTGCCTCGGCCGTAACTCTTCCGTGAAACAGATCGCCCCCAAGTTTAGGTTAACGACACGGCCTCCAAAGGCTCGTTGATGACATCCATATCTGTTCAGAATACCTGTCACCCACACATCCGACGACATTCTAATAGCTCTCAACATGGTCGTCACCATCAATCATCTCCCGAACGAGATCCTCGATCAGATCTTCTCCCACTTAGATCGCCCAGCGCCGTCGGACTCGAAGCTTCACGACCAGCCATCCTCGTTTATGCTGCAGAATATCTTCTTCGATCGAGACCTCAAGACCACTTCCCTTGTATGCAAGCGATGGCGAGATGCTATACTGCCCACTCTGTTCCGTCATGTCGTATGGACCTTCGACCGGTTCGAGCTGCCGCTGATGGAAGAGACGGGAGACCCAGCATCCGCAATCGACTTTCTTGTTTTCCTCAGGACTAACAATCTGACCAATCATGTTAAATCACTGTCACTCTTTGTCGAGGATGCCATGGGCGGCATCTCGAACGGCACCAGCAGCGCCACGCTCATGGAGACCGGTTTCGCCAACAAAGCCTCCTACAGCGAAGATTACAACTGGCTATGGAGGACCATCTTCGACCATGTCGATCCTATCCGGTTTACAATCATCGCATCGCCGCGAGTACTGGCACAATTGCTATCGCGCATGCTCTTCCTCGGAGATGCGTGGAACTTCTCCATGCCCCAGCATGTCCTTTCTCTCTCGCGGAAAGACAGGAAGATGCCCGCAACGAGACACAAGTCTACCGCTACCGCCTCGTCGAGCCAGTCACCCCCTCCAGAGGCATCGCACCAGAAACGTGTCCCCTGTGACCTCTTCACCATCCGCCCGTGGCAAGCTCTCCTGCTCAACGAGGGCTCCTCGACCCGCGTCTACAAGACATACGAGTTCTACTTCAAGCGTCCGCCGTCCATCCTCGGTGCCCTCCTCGGATCTGAAGAATTCCCCAATGACGAGTCGATGGTGCCGCCGTCCATCCGCGACCTGTCCTACGTCGGCATCTTCCCCCTCTCGAGCCACTTCAATACCCTCGTGCAGAACATTCCCCGCCTCGACCGCCTTTTTGTGCAGCTTGTGCCCCGGAACGACATCCTGCAGGACGCTGACGAGATGCGCAACGTGGACCTCGTCGACCTGTGGATGGAGCGCAACACAGCCTACTCGATGCTGTTCCGCGAGCTCTTCGACCCGGACATGGACAGCCCCTGGCTCGACCTACAGGTCTTTGAGAGCGGTGATGCAGCGGACAAGGAGGCATGGGAGATGGCTGTGCAGTTCGTGCAGTTCAGCGGCGTCCAGGGGTGGAAGGTCGAGAGCGAGGGCGTCTTCGTCCGTGATGGGGGGGAAGGCGTCAGCGCGATCCTCGGCATGTCTCAGTCAGTGGTGCCGGAATCACCATGATGAACTCGTAGAGGTACTAATTCATGCCAAAGCCTCCCAGGTCGACTTAGACGCATGGCGTTTAATGGAATCACCGTGTTGCCTGTTTCCAGTGTATCGCTCTATATGGGAGACGCAGCCGCTCCATAGACGGTGTTCGTAGGGCAATCAACGGCTCCGCATCAAAGAACATTCAGTGTCACGGACCAAGTTTATGTCAAGAGCTTTTGCTGGTCTTCCCCTGTTAAGATTCTGACTGCTCTATACCTAAGGAGAATCTTCTAGGCAGCGCCTCGTCATACTGTATTTATCATGACCTTATGGGTAAGAACTACCAGCTGATATGATAGACTCGGCCCTAACCTTGTCATTCTACCCGCGGTGGTGACTAGTCCAGAGGTTGGCTTCTGATTGCCGTCACGGATAGATTTTATTGACGGCCTTATCCGTGTGTATACGTTAAGAGAGGTAGCGGGTAATCTCAGTGGACTGAGCGAACTCTGTGCCTCTCGGAGAAGAAATCTGTATGCCTGTCCACACCCAAAAGCCGTGAGGGCATCAGCAACCCCAGCACGCAGTGTTCGACTGACCGGGAGAAACCAGCGGCATGTTCTCAATTCCCGTCTGTGGGCCAATGTTGGTTAGTGTTTTATTTGACTGAGGGCTTCGGAAATACAAGGTATCGGCGGGGTGAGATGCATTCGCTGTGCCACAAACAACTGCATGGTTTATTGGTTGTTGTGTGGGAGATCTGCAGGACAGCTTGCAGCGCCTTGGCTAAGCCTCCCCGTATCCATGAACGTGACGTCTTCATGAATTTGATCAAGCTGGGCCTCAGCACCCAGGAGACGACTGCATTTGGCTACCCAGTGTTAGAGGAATTGTGGTTGATGGAACGCAGTGCAGAAGAGGTTGTCAACGCGATGAGACTGCTTGTTCTCAGCGGCGAGCTTGACGAGTATTTGCCGTCGCTGTTTCAGAGAACAGGCAACTACATTGCAAGCGATTCCATTGAAAGCGAGCTCTTTTCACACGAAGCCATGATAAGGCGTATGGTATCACAACTGGTATGGAGTTTCCCAGGGGTTCTTCAGATTATGGCCACCGAGTTCCACGAGTTCCAGATCGACCCTAAGCAGCTCCCGCCAGTGGCCCGCTTCGCCTCTCTCGACTGGCGCGATGCGAACCCCGACCTGCTACTCGACGAGATTGGCCGTGGAGGGGGCTGGGATACTGCGTCGTTCGAGGCTGTCCTCCGCGGGCCCAACTTCAACAACCTCGACGCCTTTGCCGAGGCCTACTTTTTCGGCGTGCAGAGTTTGACTGATGGGGTACACGAGGTTTGGAAACGAGACTTTGGAACGGAACCGAAACTCGAAAGCTGGCGCAAGCTTGCGCGACGGGTCTTGTCAGCCGCGTCAATGGAAGCTTTGACACAGACCGATCCTGTGTCGGTGTATCGAAAGCACAATCTATCGCCGTTATTCCGTGGCTTGTTTTACTTGAATTCTTACTTTAGATGGTTCGACATAAAGAAGCGTAGATGGCGACGTCGTATGTCCAGAGCCGTGGTCATGTGGCTCGAAGATGTTCCGTCTTCAGGCACAGACCTAGACGAATACGGTGCGGCAGTGCGAAAGCTATACCTCGACAACGCATGGCTACATAGCTGGCGGTGGCATTTGTTTGGAGGCAGGGGGCCGCGGTTAGTTGCGCTCACAAGTGGTCCCAAGCCTGAGGACTGGAAGCTGCACTGGGACTGGGACTGGCACTTGGACGACGACAGGTTTGCAGGTGAATTCTGGGAGATGACGGAGAACCCGCCACTGCGCATTCCGGGAGGATGGGTTGACTAATGAAGTATCGGGGGTACGGATGAAGCTTGAATGACATGGCGTAAGAATCTCTATGACTCGAAGAGCTCTGAGCTGAGAAAGAAAGCCCTTGGTGGAATGATTCAAAGTATGAAAATGAGTGATGTTGTGTTTCAAGGTGGGGCGGAGGTGAGGCTTAAACCCAATTTAGAGTTAGTAGCACCTACCCAATAGCCTGAGTACCTACTGCATAATAGTTACTACCGTACGAGTGACAGCTCACCCGAGCTCTCGGTGAAGCTCGGTGTGCTCCAAATCATGTGACTTCGCCACTAGGACATGGCCCAAGCTCGCATGAGCAAAAAGCGGGGTGTTGCATGATCGACCGACCAATAAGGGGCTTTGGCTTTGGCCAGCAAAAGCCAATTGGCGCCGTCCCTCAGTGGCTGCTGGCAGGTGCCGCTAGTGTGCAACGGAAACAACGATTTGGCCGGGGAAGGGACGGATGGCCTAGACCAAAAAACAGTGTCGATCGTCGTCGCATTTCTCCCCCAAAATCAGTCGACCTATCGAACGACACACACACACACACGAGCACGAGCACGAGCACTACATCATTATCTGCCACCTTCTCCTCCCCTCTTCTCCTCCTACTCCTCCTCTTTTTACTTCCCGTATCTTCGTCATCACCATCCCCCCTCTTTCCGCAGCGGCCGCTTTCTTCGTTTCTTCCTCTCCCTTGTTTGAATCTCTCTACCTTCACCACGACAGCAACTTGTACTATACCAATCCCAGAGACGCTGATAAAAACCGTCGATTCGGTGCCCGAGCTTCCGGATATAGCTTCAAATTCTCCCCAAATTCCAAAAAAAGCAACCCTGATACTTGCCTTGGGTCGCCCACAATAGGCTATTCAATGTCAACGCCTCTTTCATCCCGAAGAAAGTGAGCGCCGTTTCGCACACCAAGGACGGAAATAAAGAGCTCGAGATACGAAGAACGATACAGCCGATACCCTCCTACAACCAACAACAACAACAATCCCAGACCACTCCATCTTCAAGCCAACATGGTCCTCACCCACACGACGAACCACACCTACTCCCACCCCTTCCCGACCGTGACGCTCGCCTACTTCCTCCGCTACTCCTCCCCCAAGCTCAACCCCTTCTCCACCCATGTCCTCAGCACCGACACCATCGACAGCCACCTCGACCCGGCCACGGGCAGGCTGCACACCACCCGCATCCACCTGAAGAAGTCGCGCATGCCCGCCCCCATCTTCAAGCTCCTCCCGGCCTCCATCACCGGTGGCGGCTCCGCCAGCGAGAAGGCGAGCTACGTCCTCGAGACCTCCGTCATCGACATGCGCGAGGGCTGGATGACCACCGAGAGCCGCAACCTCAACTTTATGAATGTCCTCTCCGTCGTCGAGAAACAGGACTTCCGCCTCCCCGCCGAGGCCCCCGCCGATGCGGCCACCGACGTTACCACCACCCTCGTCTACAAGTCGCGCCTCGGCGACCGCCTCCGCGGCGGGAAGAAGGACCTGGCCCCTTCGGCCGTTGACCAGCCCGAGCAGAAGGACGGCCGCTGGATGCCCGGATGGATGAGTGGCATCGGCGCTTGCGGCGTCCAGCGCAGCATCGAAAGCATCGCCTCGAGTAAGACCCAGGACCAGATGGGCAAGAGCCGCGAGGGCATGCGCGTCGTCTTGGAGAGGCTCCGCAAAAACGGTGTCGTTGGCGTATTGGAAATGATGAGACGGGAGCGCCAATTGGCTTGAAGGCCTCTCCCGCCTCAATGAATGCGGACATTGGAGCGTGATCTGGACCGGTGGAGGGGAGAGAGAGCGCGAACACATGTATATCACTCGCGACGGACTCTTCCTCTGACGGCCAGGCAGTTCGCGGCTCACGCTCCGGTGTACCCCCTTGTACCCCTAACCCAACCCACTTGTTGTACATTACTATATGACCATAGCGCGGCGTCTTTATGGCTTTCTTTACGGCGGTTGGAGGACACACGGCACGAAAACGGACTGTGGACTGCCGGGAAACAAAAAAAATTATTGGGCTTGCTCTGTCATGTCGTTTCTGCATGACACCCCCTCTCTTGTATTTGGCACGGATGTAGTCAAACATGTATTCAAATAAAACAAAAACTTTGAATGTTTCAATGCGCAAGCGCCACCGGCATCTCGTGAAAACGTGTCTTGTGCATGGGCGAACACCGCACACATATATACACACATACACACACATACCCCTGTGGCAGACTGGTCAAACCGAGAATCATTTACTCAGGCTGGTCGGCGGACGCCCCGGGAGACTGGCTGGAAACCCGGCTGGTTTAAAGCATACGGCCCCGGGGTTTGGCGGCCTGCACGACATCCGGAAGGGTTGGACAATAGTTCCTGATCCCACCCGGTCGACTCCAGCCGGTCTCGTGACGGGAAACACATGGAGTAGCAGATGGGAAACAAAACTCATAGGCCAACATTGTCTGTCTGTCTGTCTGTCTGTCTGTCTGTCTGTCTGTTCTTGTCTGGATCACTCGCCCGTATGTGGAAAGGTAGGCGGTAAGGTTGGCTTCGGAACGGACCCTTTGCGGTTCGTCGTCGGCGGGCATTTCTTTCGCTGCTCTACATAAATACATAGTCTACAATATGATACATGAACCCCTCGCGTGCGCCGCCACCGCCGGCATTGGAACATCCCCCGCTCTCTATTTCTGCAACTTCTTGGCCTTGGCCTCCTCGTCCGCCATCATGGCGGCGATGTCGGCCGAGACGAGCCAGTCGCGGACGGCGTCGACGATCTTGTCGAGCGACTCGCCGCCGTTGATGACGTCGTCGAGGTTGTAGACGTCGAGGCCGGCGCGGTGGTCGGTGACGCGGTCCTGGTTGTAGTTGTAGGTGCGGATCTTGTCGCTGCGCGAGATGCGGTGCTGGGAGAGGACCGAGTCGCGCAGCTGGGCGGCCGCCTCCTCGCGCGCCTCGCGCCGGATCAGCGCCACGCGCGACCGCATCAGCTTCCAGGCGTCCTCGCGGTTGCGCGACTGCGACCGCGAGTCCTGCATGCTCACCACCGTCCCCGTCGGCACGTGCGTCATGCGGATCGCCGACTCGGTCTTGTTGACGTGCTGGCCGCCCGCGCCGCGCGCCCGCATCGTCTCGATCTTGACCTCGGCCGGGTCGATGTAGAAGTCGCTCTCGGGGTTGTCCATGTCCTGGGCGCCGCCCTCGCCGCCGCTCTCTTGGAAGGACGGGAGGACCCACACGGCCACGGCGCTCGTGTGCACGCGGCCGTTCTTCTCGGTCGCCGGGATGCGCTGCACGCGGTGCATGCCGGCCTCGCCGCGGAAAAGGTCGTAGGCGCCCGGGTCGTGGATCTCGACGATGGCCTCCTGCAGCGGGCTCTCGCCGGCGGCGGTGGACTGGTCGCCGGCGGCGTCGGCCGTCTCGTACTTGATCACCTCGGCGCGGTACCCCTTGCGCGAGCAGTACTGCTTGTACATGCGGAACAGCGTGTCGGCGAAGAAGCGGCCCTCGAGGCCGCCGGGCCCCGGGCGGATCTCGAGCAGGCAGGGCATGTGGGCGTAGGGGTCCTTGGGCGTCAGCGACGCCGAGAGCCTGCGGGAGACGGCGGCGAGCTGGTCCCTCGTCGACTCGAGCTCCTCGGCCGCCATGTCGCGGAGCTCCTTGTCCTTGGAGCCGAGGAGGCCATTGAGCTCGGCGACGGAGCTCGTCGCCTGTTCCCACTCGCGGAGGGCTGTGACGACGCTCGAGAGCTCTCCGAGGCGCCGCGCCGTCTTGGTGTCGTAGTCTGATTCGAGGGAGCGGGCGAGGGCTTCATGTTCGGTGGCGATGGTACGGGCTCGTTGGAGGAGGGCCGGTGGGAGGTGTGCGGATGTGTCTGCGAAGGAGGGGAAACAGGGTTAGCTCACGAGCGCTTGGGTGTAGAGACGGTGACGACGGAGGGGGGGGAGCTTGCCTGAGCTAGCACGGCGGATGAATTGGGTGCTTCTGGGCTTCAGGAGCCCTCCCAGGCAACGCCGACACACCCATGGCGCCGCGAGCATAATCGAGTAGAAATCGGAGGAGCTGGCGGGGGAGAATTGGTGGGATTCGGTCCAAATTGAGGTGGTCGTTAAAAGAATTGAAAAAAAAAAAAAAAAAAAAAAGCTTGGTCGCAAATGGTCTCGACCCTGCATGCAAGAGCTTCTTCGGTACATTTTCCAGCTGCATCGTCTTTGCTCAGAAAACCTGTCTTATGTAATATGTACGTATTTTTCCATCGCATTACCATATATCCGTACACCACCACCAAAGGTCCGCCAGGTCTTCCATTTCCTTTCGTCCCAACTCTTCTCACATCCATACGGTCCCAATCCTCTGTTCTGGTCGTTGAACGATACAGTTTACCGAGCCCTTGCCTCAGTTTGACTCCAGCCAAAACTTGACGGCATAAGCTGTCGTATGGCCTCGAGCGAAACCACACAGGCCGTACCGGAGCGTTCGCCCCGGCTTGGTTGACCTCCACTTACACGACACGAACAAGGGCAGGTTCAATTCTAGCGATTGCACAGTCCAGACCCGAAACACTCGAGAGCTGGAGCTTCTAACCTCGTCTCCGAGTGGCAGAGCTCCATAGCTGGCTTGCCGGGGGCCCACAGCGTTCCCTTCTCGCAGCGCCCTTTCGTTGACATACGCTTCAAGCGACAGCAGCACGCGCTCCACAGATAACCGCATCTATGCGGATTGGCGCCGGCTCAGCTACCTACACACGCCTCTGCAACACGGGTAACCCGCAGTCGTTTTAAGCTTGGCTCCTCGAGGCCTGTTACCAACAATTACCTAATTTTGGCCCGTGTCCGTTGTCGTTCAACACCTGATGGCTCCGCCTGCGTGATTCTTCGCTGCTCAAACCGTGCGGAGCGAATGAGGTATCCGGAGACGGAGACGGGTATCGCCATGTGAGTCAAGCCGCTAGCTGGTGCGATATATATACACACACCAAGTTCCCTCTCACGCTCAGTGCCATCGAACACCATCCGACTTGCTCTTCATCTTTATCGTCACCCTCCCTTAAGCCAATCTTGGTCCAAGCATCTCAGACAGCCCCGAGACACTTTTTAGTCAAGCCTCCGTCACTCGCAATGGGCCTCGTCCTCTTCATCGCCAACAAGCGCTACTCTTCGTGGTCCATGAGACCCTGGGTGCTCCTCAAAGCCCTCGACGTCCCCTTCGAGGAGCGCCTGCAGACCTTCGCCCCCGGCCACCGCCAGCCCGCGTTCCTGTCCTTCTCGCCCACCGGCAAAGTCCCGACCCTGGTCGACGGCGACGTCACCGTCTGGGACTCCCTCGCCATCGTGGAGTACATCGCCGAGGCCCACCCGGCCGCCTGGCCACGGGACAGGGCCGCCCGCGCATTCGCCCGCTGCGCCGCCGCCGAGATGCACTCGGGCTTCGAGGCCATCCGCGACCAGTGCTCCATGAACGTTGCGCTGCGCATCGACCTCGGCGGGCCGCCCGACGCGGCGCTGCAGCGCGACCTCGACCGCCTCGACCGGCTGTGGACGGACGGCCTCGGGCGGTTCGGCGGGCCGTTCCTCGCCGGCGGGGAGTTCACCGCCGCCGACGCCTTCTTCGCGCCCGTCGCCACGCGCGTGCGGACCTTCGGACTGCGGCTCTCGGAGCCCGCCATGGCGTACGTGGAGACGCTGCTGGGGCACCCTGCCGTCAAGCAGTGGGTCGAGGAGGGCATTGCCGAGACGATGCGGGAGCCGACACACGAGGAGGACGCGCTGAGGGGACGCAAGGTCCTGCAGGACTTGACCCAATCCCGGTGAAGGTCATTGTGTGTGACATGATGAAGTACGTATATTCAAGTGCACTTTTTTATCCTCTAGCGAGCGTCTTTAAAGTAATAGATGTGGATTGCGTGCGTAACGTGCACATGACAGACGGGAACATGAGATAGATCCTTGGGCAATATGTAACACAATATGGATAACGGTGGGGGCTGTGGCTCATGATTCGGCTCTGTTTTGTGGGGGAGCAGTCGGCGTTTCCGCTCCCGCAGAAAACATATTTTCATTTCCGGCCCAATCAGTCATCCAGCAGCAAAGCCTGCAATCAATCCAATCAGCCCTGATGGTCTAGCGGTATGATTCTCCCTTAGGGTTGTCTTCACGACGATTCATCCTGGGAGAGGTCCCAGGTTCGATCCCTGGTTAGGGCCCATCTCTTTTTCTCTCAGAGAGAAAAACACCTTTTTTTCTTGTGCTGGCTGACCTGACTGACCTCGTAGGTGAGAGGGGATGAAAGAAAGTGAAAGTGGATGAACGAAAGTGAGAGGGGATGAAAGAAAGAAAGTGTGAGGGAGGGGAGTCCACAAGATGGTGTGGTTTTGGTGTGGTTGGTGCGCGTGAGATTATCGAAATCAACGGCAAAGTCATTCGAGTCAGACCAGTGGCTTCGTGGAAGATGTTCAAGGACGTACCGGATGAACTCGCTTGCAAATCGATGAGTCAAATCTTCAGATCCTTGTAGTAATTTGACGGCTTCTTCCTAGGGGATGTGTGATTGCGACGACGAAAGATGCCGGGATGGCGAGGATGATCCGATAGCTTCAGTCAACTCTTCTCTGTTGTACGTGGGTGCGAGCGGCGCTTGGGTTGCTTGCCGTTTTGGACGTTGTTCGTTGTTTGCGTAACAGGCTAGATCCTAATAGAATATGATAATGCCTTATAATCTAGAGTGTTAAATAGGCACTACTATTGATTACTAAATTCCCTACTTGTCTCTAGTTTCGTCTGCATTTGATCAAAGTTGAGTTCAGCCTGACCGGGATTGCAGGCACTCTCTCTCTCTCTCTTTCATCTGATTAGAAGTTTCACTTTCCCTATGTCCCCTTTCAAAGGCCGGCCATACCTATTTGACTCGATAGGCGGGCGCTATAGTATGATGAAGCAACTTCTGATTCTGACTGGTGCTGAGGCCTGCGGCATGTATCGGAGTGAAGGCAATATGCACCCGCCTGCTGCCTCTTGCCGTAAGTGAGGAAGGAAAAGGCATACGAAGGATGTGAACAGCAGGTCCATGCGGAGGTCAGCGGTTGTTGGTCGGGTCTTGCTTGGTCTTGTCGGATCGAGGGCAAGTTGTTGGTTGGCCAGATTCAAAGTCGGGCCAACAAGACGTGCATGAGAATGGCCCTCGACACTGGTCGGCGGCAAGAGCATCGACGCAAGGCAGACTTTTAGTTTGACGCCGGAGGCCGTCCACTCCAGTCCACGCTTTCCCCGAGTTGGACAAGAAGAGACTTTATAAACCATATCTCGGTAGTTCAAGACATCGGCACCAACGTCTTCTTCACCTTCAGCAACTAGAAGAACCATATCAAGACTTGAAAATACTCCTTTTGCCGGCCTCTTTTTCAGATTACCCCGGTTCGACAGCTCAAACATAAAATCACACAAAGATGGACTGCAGCCGCTTCTTCGAGTGCTTCCTTCTCGGACAGCCCCCGCGGCCGCAACGGCAGCAGCAGCCCGCCGTCACGGAGAAGACGTCCGGTGTCATCGCCGACCAGCCCGTCCGGTCCGCCCAAGAAGCCGCCAGCGAGTTCGTCGACATCCTGCGCACCGCCGAGAAGGGCGGCAAGGACCTCGAACGCCGCCTCAGGAACGTCGTCACCGCCAACTCCTGGACGGAGGAGATCGCAAAGCACATCCTCCGGGGCGTCGAGGCCCTCGTCCGGCACCGCGACACCATCGGCCAGGTCGTCAGGGAGGCCACGGACAAGGCCGCCGACGCTGCCGAGAGCATCTTCGACTTCGCCGCCGACCACCCGGTGTTCGTCACGCTCGTCGCCATCGGCGTCCTCGTCGCCGTCGCTCCCTGGGTTCTCGAGGCCCTCGGCTTCAGCGAGCTTGGCCCCGTCGCCAGTAAGCCCCCCCACGTCGCGCGACGTTTTGTTTCTGTTATTATTTCCCCCCGAGTTAAGCGCTGATTTTCCTACCGCAGACACCTTTGCCTCGTTTTGGCAGGCCCGTTACGCGGGCTTCGTGCCCAAGGGCTCCCTCTTCTCCTTCTTTCAGCGTCTCGGGATGGTATGGAAATGACTCCTGGCTCCGATATGGAAAGTGGTGCGGGTGAGGTCTAGATTGTAGTAGTATCTACATGGACGCCCTGTTGAGAACAAGGAGAAGCCAATGCATATATGTATGGAATAAAGACAAGGAAGCATACGCGGCCATTGGTCTTGTTTTGGCCCACTACCAACTCACTTGAGACGAGTGATCTTTCACACGCGCTTTAAGCCATCTAACTGGCATACCTGCTTGTCTGCCCTCTCAAGAGAGGACTATGCGTATATCATATGACCTCGCTCCCCCTCGCCAACCTTGTTTCAATCCCAACTTCACTCTTTACACTCTCAAAACATACCACTCCCCATTGAAAACTCACCACACATCACGCCACAACCTACAACAACGATCAGAAGACACCACCAAGATGTTCGCTTTCTTCGCTTGGCCTGTTGTTTTCGTGCTTAAGCTCTTTGGCTTTGGACCTCTCGGTCCCATTGCAGGTCAGTCCTCGTCCCGGGTAAACTCCTCTGATCGATCTACTGCTAATCTGTCCCATACAGGATCATTCGCTGCCTGGGCTCAGGCCTTCTTTTACGGCGGAGCTGTTCCTGCCGGCGGCCTCTTTGCGTTGTGTCAGCACATCTCCATGACTTGGTTTCTCTATACAGGATCATTCGCTGCCTGGCTTGGGAGCTTCTTTTACGGCGGATTCCTTGCATGGTTTCTCCGTACAGGACCATTTGCTGCCTTCTTTCAGCGCTTCTTCTACGGCGCAGGTGTTCCTCTCGACGGAATCTTTGCGTGGTTTCGGCGCACTACCATGAATTGGTTGCTCCGTACAGGATCATTCGCGACCTTCTTTCAGCGCTTCTTCTTCCACGCCGCAGGAGTTCCTCCCGGTGGATTCTTTGCGTGGCGTCAGCCCATCGCCATGACTTGGTTTCCCCGTACAGAATCATTTGCTGCCTTCTTTCAGCGCTTCTTCTACGGCGCAGCAGTTCCTCCCGAGGGATTATGTGCGTGGTGTCAGCGCTTCAATATGACTTGGTTTACCTAGCCTCGACATCAAGTTGAATGCCACGCCGCCTTCCGAACCATGCGGTCTCATGTGAAGCACAGGGGAAAGGGCAGAGCAAGGGTAGAGGCACCTGGTAACATTGGGAACCCTGGAATGGAGCGTTTGGGGATACTTTCTTGTCTCTGGCGAACCACGATGCCAGCAAAGATAGCACGGTAGCGCTACTTGGACGTACTTCAGTACCCGGAATGTCAAACTTCCTACCAAAGATCTCTCATCTCACCATTGTTCTCCTCCTGACTTGACCCCCGATGTGGTGGGTTCTCGATAAGGTTCTGGTTAGCGAAGGCGAAGACGAAGGAACTGGCAATGTCTTGGGAACACCGAAAGGCTCTTGAGTGTATTGTTTCTGATGTCGACGGCCTCCCGCGTTAGACCGAAGTTTCCCTTGCTCGTTGCATTTTTTGCCGCTGTCTAAAATCGGCGGCTATTCATATGCATGCCTCGTTGGCCCGATCCCGAACCTTGATAGCCAACTTACTCTCGTTTCGTCAAGGCCCGGCTAGGCCAACGCAAGCTGACCTCTGTACCCTTCCTTCATGTGATGCATCTCTTCAACGCCTTTCAAATATAAAAAGACCCCTTTCAGAAGGCAAACGTAGAGTGTCCACGCCAAGCCACTTCTTCCATAACCAAGACACTTCTTCCATTGCCAAGACACTTCTTCCATTGCCAAGACACTTTGCTCCTCATCGAAACGCCGCATATTACAATATCGACATAATGGGACCTTTTGCAGCTATGCTTGGGCGTATCTTTTTCTATTTCGCCATGTCGGCTCTCTCGGTCATATTTCTTCATTTTTTCGGGTTGTGATCTTTCGGTTTCAGCGCTGGTCAGTCTCTCCTGGTCCCAGCTATACTCCTCTGGCTGACTTGATGATGGCCTGTTTCACCTAGACTCCTCTGCTGCCTGTCGTCGGTCGTCCAAACATGGAGCAAATGTCATTGCTAGAGGACTCTTCGTGCGCCTCCAGGGCGTTACCACAATTGGGATGACGCCTGCCGCAATGTTGCGCCTCTGAATAGTTTTAAATTCCGGTGTGAAGGTAGCCACTATTGGTATGCTGGCGGCTGAAGGGTTGAATATGGTATGAGTCTTTCAGTCTTGCCGACAGAAGGATGTTTCGAGGGGTAGTACGAGTGGTATTTGGCTTCAAGTGAGTACGGAAAAAATCAAAAGCTTCTTTTGGAACCTCGTGACAGTGTTGTATTGCAACCTGTAGTGGATCTGTAATCGCGACTCGCTATTCAACAATTCCACATTATATTGGTTCCGTCTTAGTGCCAAGTTGTTCCTATCTGAGTGAAGCAAGTTAGTAGGACTCAGCCATAGCGATTTTTATTAAACAGCGGAAGAACAACGCTATCCTAGCCATGTTTCCAGACGCTACTCGAATCACTTCTCTCCAGGCCTTATCATGTCTCCTGATCCTCACCTGCAGCTGGCCGTAGTCCGACCCTTGAACTATGACGAACCAGGGAAGGATATAAACCTGCGACAAAGGGAAACAGATGTTGTCAAGAGTTCCAACCCAGCCTTTGCACATGATGATATTAACCGCGAAAAGAGAGGAAAGACCTAATAACGGATTGTTTCTGACCCCGATGCCCGTGATGAAAGGCACACTGCCGGGCCAAGACCGCACTTCTCGGCTCTCTTCCAGATCAGCAGCACGAGGTTTTTCTTCCCTCCTTCTTCCTTACTACGAAAAAGAAAAGGCTGTCAAATAAATAAAAAAGACCTCTTCGTGGGTAAACCCCGAACCAACTCGCGGGAGAAAGAAACCGAATCAAGTCGAGTCCTCCATCCTCCACGAACACACCCCGGAACGAAAATACGCAAGGATGGTTCTCCTGGAGATGACGACCTACCTCACCCTCCTCATCCTCGACTTCTTCAGCTCCCTCTTCGACGCCGGCCGCCATGCCACCCGGACGTTCGCGCACATCATCCTCGCCGTCTTCGCGTGGCTCACGGACATGACGCTCGGGATGGTCATCAGACTGTTCATCACCCCAGTGCTCTCGTGGATGGGCTACGGCCCCAAGGGGTCCATCACCGGTAAGTTGGCAGACGAGCTAATCCGCGGAGCACGCTCCGGGACCCCCCCGGAAGAGAGAAGGAAAAAAAAGGAAGGAAAAAAAAAGGAAGGAAAAAAACCCCGGCAGAAGAAAAGGCTGACGGCTTGGGTTCGGAGCGCTAGGATTCATCGGCCCCGCCTGCTGGGTTCTCTACCGCGACCTCGTGCCCGCGGCCGAGTTCGTTGCTCATCTGCAGCGGATGGCCACCACTTGGTACACTGACTGGTGAGGCGTTTGCGGCACGGGAAGGCACCGGCATGCGACGGACGGGTAAACGCCGTCCCGGTTGCGGGATCGAGAGGCATGTCGGGCAGGGAAACGAGACTGGCCTACACAATTCAGCTTGGATCCGGCCGTGCCTATCGACGCGGCCCTCCTCCTTCATGAACGCCGTTTTCTTGTTGTAGCTCCAAGAGAACACAGGGGAAGGGATCCATCATGTCAACGGCGGCAATGAAAGGGGGGACGATCATCTAGATGTTATGCTACAATAGCTCAAAAGGCACGGCATGCTTCTGCACAAGCAGATCGTCAGATATGGTTTTGGCTCCCATTTCGAGAGCTGCAACGGTGACATTACAAAGTACAGCCACCCTGCTTTCCGCGGTAGTCCGATTTTATCAGGACACGGACGTGCAGGTATTGGTGTCATGATTCAAAAAAATTTCCCTGATCCTCAAAACGCCCGAAAAGTCGCCCCCCAGCCAGGAATCACAGACGCAGAGCCGGGCCGCTCGACAAGACACCATGCAGCAGGCCCCCACTCCTACGCCTCCTCGGTCGAAATGCCCGCAAACGCCTCCTTCTCCCCGGCCTCGTTGCTCTCCGTCGCCGGCTCCGTCGTGTCCCACACATCCTTCCGCAGCGCCTTATCTTCCTCGTCCTCTACTGCGCCAAACTTGGTCACGCTGAACTCGGGCATGCGGCGCCGCTCCTTTGCAAGGATGCCTGCGGCGGCGCCAACGCCACTCTTACCGGCCCGGCGCCTGCGCTCCTGCTCGGCGTCGCGCTGGGTCGCCGCCTTCTCGCCCGCGGCGTCGAGCATCGTGCCCTCGAGGCTGAGGTAGCCGTGGTCGCCGCTGACGCCGACGTCGAAGGCCTTGACGCGGAAGCGGACGCGGCCCTTGACCTTGTCGCCGTTGCCGTCGACCCAGAAGCCCGTGGTGTGGATCTGGCGCACGGCGCCATGCTCATCCTCGGCCTCGGCCTCGGCAGCGGCGGCGTCGTCGCCGTCAAAGGGGTCGGCGACGTAGGACGCCGCCTCGGCGGAGCCAGCATGCACCCACCGCCATTCGGGCGGCAGGCGCGACGACTCGATGCTGGCGTTGAACTTGCCCCAGCAGACGACGCCGATGTGGCCCTCGCTCTCGAGGTTGATGCTGCCCTCCATCCAGGCGCCGCGGCGGGGCACGAAGAGGTCGACGTCGACCGTGACGTAGCCGAAGCCGACGGCGTACTCGTCCACGGACACGAGGTCGCAGTGCTCGCTGTCGTTGGTGGCGGCGTGGCGGCGGCCGGGCTGCTCCGAGAGGGAGACATTGCGGAAGGCGAGGAGGACGCCCTTGAGCTCCGGGACGTAGCGGTTCACGAGGGGCTCGAGGTGCTGCGACGCCGCGGCCGTGCAGGGCGTATCCCAGCCGACGGGGTAGATGGGGAGGTATAGGGAGACGGTCTGGGTGAAGAAGGGGAACTGGGGCTTGGACGGCGCGTCGGGGGGCTGGTGGACTCGGGACGTGGATTTCGTCCTCGCGGGGGAGTCGACGTCCATTGCGTCGTCTTTGTCGTCGGCTGCAGGTTCGGGAGACGCCGTCTTGGCCTTCTTGCTCTTCTTTTCCTTCTTTTCGCTTGCCGGCGCAGCGGCGGCGGTTGTTTCGATCGAGGGCTCCTCGAGGTCGTCCTCCGTCTCCTTTTGTGGCTTGCGCTTCTTCTTCTTGTCCTTCTTGTCTTTCTGCTCCTTGCGCTCGGCGTCCGATGCAGCACCTTCTTCTTCGGCTTCGCCTACCGACTTCTTGTGCTTCTTGTCCTTCTTCTTCTTTTTCTCAGGCGACGGCTCGCCATTGGTGGCCGCTGAAGGGGCTAGCGAAAGGTCCTGGGATCCCGAGGGAGACTCATCGTCATCGGGGACCACGACTGTACTCTTGGTGCGCTTGTGCTTGCGCTCCTCGGCGGCCTCGGCATCCTCCTCCTCGCGCAGGCGCTTCTTCTCCTTCTTGTCCTTCTTGCTCTTCTTGTCGGACTTGTGTCCATTGGTCACCGGGGAAACGATTGCCGCCATGGCTGCAGGTGCTGCTGTGTTGGGTTTCGTTATGTTGTGGTCGTCGATCTCGCCCGGCGGGTCGCGAGGCAGCTGCGTTCCCGATTTTTTCGAAAAATAGTTCACTTTTCTCTCCTTCCGTTTAAAAAAATTTCGAGGGAAACTTCACCGATCGGTGGTGGGGTCGCCCGTCTCCCGCGCTCAGGCTGTCCAGCCTATCAGACAACACCGTGACGGCAGGGATGTCTCAGTGGAGCTGATCGATACGTACCCAGCCCGGTCCATCTCGGGGGTCTTGGAGATTTACCGCCTTCCTCCCCCGAATATTGAACTCCAACACAACTGGCAGCACAGCAATCGACAAGTTCCATTTGGCCCCAGAGGTGGGAGCAGCACGATGTAGCTCTTAATGTGGAGAAGAGCGGTTGGCGGCCGCCTACGCGCGGGAATTTCGCCCTCATTGACTATGACGACAGGCGAGACCAACGACGCGGGGTTGAACGGCCCTCGGATCTCATGGTCTAGGTACTTGCCCAAACAGAGTTCCCCTCCACCTTCCTTTGAAGCACGTCTTAAAACCGGGGGTCCGTCCCGAAAGATTGAAGCACAACGAACGAATGAAATGGGCAGTGTGTCTTACAAATACAGCAGTACTTGAAAGATTAAAATTTGTGGGGGGCGCACTTACAGATATATAGTCCCAGCGGGGTGATGATTCTGGCCTGCCGTTATCGCTTTACGGAACAGACCCGATATCGTATGACTCTAGACGTACTCCAACCCGTCGTAGGAGTCGCGACCACATTCCCAAAACATTGCATCATTGCCTTTTGTGTCGCAGCCCCGCACCTCGAAGAATTATTGAAACTTGACAGCCCGTAACAAATCTTTGATACCATACGTCGACGGGTAACCATGTCAACTTTCAGCCCTTCCAAGATCCTCGTAGTTGGCGCGACGGGTAACATTGGCGTCTTCATCACCGACGCCTTGTTGGACGCCAGCCCGCCCTTCGGCCAAATCACCATCTTCACATCGCCCGCCACGGTAGAAAAGAAGGCGTCCTTGCTCGACGGCTGGAAGAAGAAGGGCGCCAAGATTGTCAGCGGCGACATCGACGACGAAGAACAGGTCAAGGCCGCCTACAGGGATGCCGACACTGTCATCTCGGCGCTAGGCAGGGATGTCATCGAGAAGCAGATCGACCTGATCAAGCTGGCAGAGGAGACCCACTCCGTCAAGTGGTTCTTCCCCTCCGAGTACGGCACAGATATCGAGTACAACTCGAACAGCGCCCACGAGAAGCCCCATCAGAAGAAGCTCAAAGTGCGCAAGTACATCCGCGAGAACGTCCGGCGGCTCAAGTACACGTACCTGGTCACGGGTCCGTATGCTGATTTTTTCTTTAAACTCGCCGCCGTCGCCCCGGAAGCCGGTGGTTTCGATTCGGCAAACCACAAGGCCATTCTGGTTGAAGACGGCGAGGGCAAGATCGGATTAATCACTATGAAGGAGTGAGTGCCGTCCCTGCGTGGTTCATATGTCGTCAAGCTCATACTGACTCCTTCCAGTGTCGGCACGACTCTGGTCGCCTCGCTCCGTCACCCCGATGCATCCTTCAACAAGGCCCTCAAGGTGCAATCCTTTGTGACGACGGGCAAGGAGATCGTGGCCGAGTTCGAAAAGCAAACCGGCGTCAAGTGGGACGTGACGTACTCGTCGCTGCAAATGCTCAGGGAGGCCGAGGAGAAGGCATGGGCCGAAGGTGTGCCGTTTGCCACCATTTTCACTCTGCGACGCATTTGGGCCGAGGGCAGCACGTTGTACGACAAGACGGACAACGAGACAATTGGACTTGGGCCCGACGACGTTGAGACGTTAGAGGTGGCCGTCAAGCGAGAATTAGGTAAGGTTCAATAGAATTGTTCAGTAGAGGCATAACTGACGATTCATATGCCAATGACGGTAGATTCCAAAGCAAAGTTGTAAACTGAGCTGGATTTGTGCACCTGACCAAATGATTCCAACTTGACATGTTATTGTATTTAATAAACGAATGAGTCGTCTACCAAGCAGTACATTGCTCCGGGAGCCATTAATTTCCCCCTTCACACTTCATTCATCTTGCTGCTATGGAACAATTGCATTTGGAGCCAGTTGTACGGATACATACATATAACTATGATTATATTAATTTTGTGCCATGTCTAATTAGGTGGTGCGGGGAGACGACAGCGCTAGCCATCAACGGGTCTGGGCCCACTGGCATAACCCGGAACACGCCCAGTGGGTGGTGTGGTCAGGAATGCGCGGGGCCGAAGCATGTGGACAGCTCCCTGTGCCCCAGATCCGTATTCGCTTGCTTTATCGTCCCAGCTCCCCCTCTACTATGTATGTACCCTGAGCTACCCTTAATTCATTTTCCGCCAAGCCAGGAAAACCAAAGCTTCCTCCCTCATACACAGAATACCTGGATTCGCTTTGGACGGCGTACTCAGTTGCCCAACACCGAGCGTTTCTCAATATGGCTCCCTCGGGTTTTCGACAGTGCATGCGCCATGTCAGCCTCTACCTCATTGTCTTGATTCTTGTCTCGACCTTGGGCCCCCTGCAGTTCGGCTTCCACCTTGTACGTATAGCACCACTCCCCGTCGCCCCTGGTCTTCAACTGCTTTCCCACCCTATTCGCGTTGCGAACGGGATGCCGACTAACCGCGACCGTTTGCTAGGCCGAACTCAACGCACCTCAGGATGTTCTCACCTGCCGGAAGAAGTCCATTGCCTCCAAGAGCATCATGCTGAAATGGGTTCATGCCAAGTCCCCCGACACCGATAGCTGGCTTCCCGACTGTATTCCCATGACCGATGCCGTTTTCGCGACCGTCTCCTCCATATTCACCGTCGGCGGCCTCGTTGGAGCTCTCTGCGCCGGCCCCTTCTCCTCCAAACGCGGCCGACGTCCTGCCATGCGGATTACCGCCATCTTCTTCGTCATCGGCGCCGTCATCGAGACGCTCGCTGGAGGGGCTCCCGCCTTGGCCATCGGCCGGTTCTTCACAGGCGCCGCCGGTGGCGCGTCGACTGTCATCGTCCCGCTGTACATTAGCGAGATTGCGCCACCCAAAGAGCGCGGTCTGTTCGGGGCCATGACCCAGGTCTCCATCAACGTTGGCATTCTGACTGTCCAGACACTGGGCTTCTTCCTGAGCTACGGCAGGGCATGGCGGTGGATCCTGGCCGCGGGCGTCTTCGCTGCCCTGGGCCAGGCCTTTGGTCTCTTGCTGATCCCCGAGAGCCCCGCCTGGCTCGCCGCCAACGGTGACATTCCGAGAGCACGCCGCACCCTGCAGCGGATCCGCGGCAAGGACTTTGACATCCGCGAGGAAGTCAAGGATTGGGATGGAGAGACCAACGCCGAGCAAGAGGGTCTTCTGGCCCAGGCCGACGACGCGCCGCCCGTGTCTCCTGCTCTCTCCAAGCATAGCTCGCCTGTTCATCTCGGCTTCTTTCAAGTTATCAAGGACCCGGTAACCCGCCCTGCCATCGCTGCCGTCGTCGGCATCATGTTTGCGCAGCAGCTGTGTGGCATTAACTCCATCATCATGTACTCCGTGTCTTTGCTGACGGACCTGCTCCCCGTGAGCTCGGCCCTGCTGACGATCCTGATCTCCGTGGTCAACCTCATCACCACCGCCGCATGCTCTCCGCTACCGGACAAGCTTGGCCGTAAGAGGTGCATCCTGATCTCCATCATTGGACAGGGCATCAGCTCGTTCATTCTGGCTCTATCAATCCGGCTTGGAGCCAAGATCCTGTCGGCCGTGTCGGTTGTGACCTTTGTGGCCTTCTTCGCGGTCGGCCTGGGGCCAGTCCCCTTCATCCTTGCCTCGGAGCTGGTTGGACAGGAGGCCGTTGGCGCGACCCAGTCTTGGTCTCTGGGGTCCAACTACATCGCGACTTTCCTTGTCGCTCAGTTCTTCCCCATCACTAACAACGCGCTCAACCATTGGCTTGGGGGTGCCGGCTGGGTATACTTCCTTTTCGCCGGCTTTGCTCTGCTGTTTGCTATTTTCGTCTCAGTCAAGGTTCCCGAGACAAAGGGCAAGAAGGATGCCGACGAGGTTTGGGGCCGAGCTCGACGCCTCGATTAAGACATGCAAGTGATTGGCCGCCATACAAGTTACTTGTGTTACTGTTATTTGGATAGGGTAAAAAAAATGTTTGGCGTTGGATGATTTGCCGGTGTTGGGTATTATTAATAGACGATAGACGACCTAAATTTGGAATAGTCGTCTGCTTCTGATGGTCTGCTCCAATTGCAAGATACCGGCCCTCACGCCGTCGATTACGAAGACCTGCCTGCCCTTGCTCTCACCATACACGTCAATGGCCGAGCTGCGGATGATGTCCTCCAGCCCAGCCATGCCGGCGCATCCCATGACAACGCAGCGCACGTCGCCGTTGCCGAGGAGCTTCTTGGTTGCCTGCTCGAGCTTGCCCCTCACCTCGGCCGGGCTGACGTGGTGAAAGTCCCCGGCCGTCAAGCCGGTCGACGTGACCCCGCCGAACTTGACGTTCTCCGACTCCTCCGCCTGGCCCAGGTAGCCCTTGACCCCCTTGCCGAGGTGCCTCTCCCAGAAATCGCCCGTGGTGACGATGCCCCATTTCGATGAGAGGTACGAGGCGGTTGAGCTGTGGGGCAGAAGCGCTGTCGCGGCGAGGATGCTTGCCTCGAAGATGCCGGTGACGGCGAGGGACGAGTGGAACTGGCGCGAGAGCTTCTCTACCAGAGAGTGGACGCTGTAGCACGCGATGAGCACGCCGTCGTACTGGTCGAGCTTGCCGCTGTTGACGAGGTCCTTGACGACGACCTCGGTGCTCAACTGGATGTCGACGTCATCGTTGATGCTCGCCGGGCTTTCCGACGGCGCCGTGTACGTATGGATCTCAAGGGACTGACACGGAAGTCAGCCTCTGCCGCCTTACGACCCCTTTTTTCCTTTTCTTTTTTTTCTTCTCTCGTTCTCGCTTATGAGTTGTGGAATTCGAGACCCCGGCTTACGTCGTGCAAGGGCATTGCTTGTATGGCCCTCTCCATGCCCCTCGTCATGTCCTCTGACGAGTTGGGGTTGATCACGAGGATCTTGATATTCCGTCGAAGTACGCGGGTTGTCATGGTTGCTGCTGTGGACAAAACAGTTCCTCAAGTGTGAGTCTCGGCCGATACCGAGCCCGCGCAAATTCAGATGGAAAAAGGAGTGTGAGGTTTGCCGTACTCCACGTCCTTCAAGCTCCTTCATCCATGTCCATCCAGTCTTGTCCCGCTGTCAACAGGTGGGGATTTATCTCCCGTCAGTGTGGGGCTGTAACGGGCCGTCAACGCTCTGCACTCCTGCATGAAAGTCTGCGACTTTCCCTCAGTGACAGTGCACACACAGCCCGAGCCCGAGCCCGGCCTGAGAAGATGCTCGCTGCGGGGTATCACGTGACACCATGTAGCTCAGCCACCTCTGGGCTTGACGATCCAGTTGCAGCACAGCAGGAGACTGGAAGGCAGCGAACCCAGCCCAACCCCACTATCGACGACACAGACGTAACAGCTTCCAGGGCGCTCTCCCCAACCACACCTCATCTCACTTCCCCCCCCCCCGCCCTTCCGCTAGAAGCTCTCAACTTGCTAGTTTATAGCTTCTGTTTTCACAATGGCAGCCGAGGCCCCCATCGGTAAGACAAAATGCCTCTGATGCAGCAGCAGCAGCAGCAGCAGTAGCTTGGCTTTAGCAGCAGCAGCAGCAGCAGTAGCTTGGCTTTGCTGCTGTCACGACTGTTCCCGTTCCTTGATGCTTCGATTGGGGAGGTGGCTGACGCAAAGATCCACAGTCCTCGACGGAGGAACAGGTTTCCTCAAGGTCGGCTACGCAGCACAGAACTTCCCCGAATTCCAATACCCTTCCATCGTCGGTCGACCGATCATCAGAGCCGAAGAAAAGGGCGAGGACAACGATGTGACTATCAAGGACATCATGTGCGGTGACGAGGCCGCCGCCGCCCGGACGATGCTCCAGATCAGCTATCCGATGGAGAACGGCATTGTCAAGAAGTGGGATGACATGCAGCATCTCTGGGACTACACCTTCTTCGAGAAGATGAAGGTCGACCCTCGCGGCCGCAAGATCCTGTTGACCGAGCCCCCGATGAACCCGCTGCGCAACCGCGAGCAGATGTGCGAGGTCATGTTTGACCGCTACGGATTCGGCGGTGTCTACGTTGCGATCCAGGCCGTCTTAGCCCTCTACGCTCAAGGTACGTTACGCCCGCAAGCTTCTCGGCCCTTCAATTGCAGATAGCGTACAACGGGTCTGACATTGGTGACCTCCAGGTCTGAGTTCCGGTGTCGTCGTCGATTCCGGTGACGGCGTGACCCACATCGTCCCAGTGTACGAGTCGGTCGTCCTGAACCACCTCACCCGCAGACTGGATGTCGCGGGCCGCGACGTCACGCGCAACCTGATTGCGCTCCTCCTGCGCCGCGGATACGCGCTCAACCGAACGGCTGACTTCGAGACGGTCCGTCAGATCAAGGAGAAGCTCTGCTACGTCTCGTACGACCTGGAGCTGGACAAGCGCCTGAGCGAAGATACGACGGTGCTGGTGGAGAGTTACACGTTACCCGACGGCCGCGTCATTAGGGTGGGCAGCGAGCGTTTCGAGGCACCCGAGTGCCTGTTCCAGCCTCACCTCGTGGACTGCGAGCAGCCTGGTATTGCCGAGTTCTTGTTCAACACGATCCAGGCCGCCGACGTGGACGTGAGGTCGTCGCTGTACAAAGCCATCGTCTTGTCCGGCGGCAGCAGCATGTACCCCGGTCTCCCTTCACGTCTGGAGAAGGAGCTCAAGCAGCTGTGGCTGACGAGGGTTCTGGGCGGCAACCCGGAGAGATTAAACAAGTTCAAGGTCCGGATAGAGGACCCGCCCCGCCGGAGACACATGGTATTCCTCGGAGGTGCGGTGCTGGCCAACATCATGGCCGACAAGGAGGCTATGTGGGTGACCAAGGCGGAGTGGGATGAACAGGGATCGCGTGTGCTCGAGAAGCTCGGCCCACGATGAGCAGCTGCCTCTCTCTCTCTCTCTCCCTCTCTCTCTCTCTCTCTCTCTCTCTGTGTGTGTGTGTGTGTGTGTCTCTATTTCTCTCTCCGGGGTTGGGGTCCGTCTTACTCTTGGTGGTAGACCTAGCATGCATGTGGCACGTTTTAGAGCCTCGTTTTTTTGTTTTTTTTTGACGAAAAAAAAGTTGATGAAGTCTTTTACCTGGCATTGCGTAACGCTTGAACGTGCATTGCTCACTTGAATGAAGTTGCCCAAGCGTCGAGACATTAGATTAGGTAAGGGGAAGGGAGCAAGGGATGGAACATCACGATGGTGCAAGCCGGTTAACACCGTGTGTCGCGGCAGGCCTTTTAGCACTGTAGATCAAGACAGACAGGCGGTGGTCTATCCGTACCACCACTCGAGATAGCGACGCACGCCCTGGCGAAATGTCGCTGGTTGCTTCCTTGTGAAACGTCTTCACTTTAACCTACTCTTTTCTTCCCTCACATACGCACACGCCATCAGGGACTTCATCACCTCATTCGCTTTCGCCAGTCAGTTGCTCTACGACGGGCTCGCTCGCTCGCTCGCTTGCTTCTCCTCCCGTCTTGACAATCTCGTGAACCGCCTCCCATCAGTCGTTCCTCTCGCGCGGGGATTTTTCTGCCCCAGGAGTTCTCCGCACCGAGATCTTCAGTTCCCTCACCCCTCGCTATCGCATGCAGTAAACGGCGAGAACGCGCGAAGCCGACCGTCGCATTGCAGGCATCAAGACGCAAAGCAAATCCTTTCAGGAGAATTGCCATTTCCCCCCAGCCGCGCGGCCGCATCATAAACATAAACGGTGTTGGCGAGTACGGATACTTACAACCAAATCCGCTGAAGATCCAGGGCCCAGTCTGCCCGACGACCCCAGAAGTCTTCCCGCGGCATCCACGCGCGTTTCCTCCGATTTCCGAGACGCCTCGCAATTGAATCAGGGCACCCACGCCCAGATCGGCGACTCTCCCGCGCGCGCGCGCGCACACACACACACACACACACACAGAGATACAGCCCCCGTCAACAGACGCCTAGCCAAACAATTCGTTTTCCGGGCTTCGCATGATCCTTTTATTCTTTTTTCTTTTCTTTTTGGTCTTATCCGCGACGTGCTGAACCGTTTAGATTGGGCATCACACCCTGGGCTTGCGGCATAAGAAGGCTCAGAACCCCCCCCCAAAGCACGCACACCAGCAGCGCCTTGACGCCTTAGGAGAAGACTGCGCCATTCTCCACCTTGTGCGGCGTACGAGGCTCTGGCTGGGTTCTGGCGTCTACGCTTATCCTTGAAGTTGACCCTGACGGACCGTTGATTGAGAGGAACTTGATTTGTCTTCTCTTGGTACTGGTCCATTTACCCTGCTTTGCCAAGCCGCCCTTGGCCTTTTTGGAGACCCTGACCGGAGCTGCGATCTTTCTACCCCCATCTCGGACTCGGATTTTGCCCCGAGTAATATCTGTTGGGGAAATTGAGAGTCGTTATCGCCACGTTTCGGCCAAGTTTATTAGAACAGACGAAAGCAACATCCATCCAGGCTCCCGGGACCGGGCAGTTGAAGCCTGGTAGGATCTCGAACTCGATCCTAATACGGTTATCAAAGCCAGCAGCGAACCCTTGCGAAGGATAATGAGTCTGACCAACCCGTCAACGTCAACCGTCGCCTCGGGCCCTAGCTCGGTTAGGACGGGCAACCACCTCAAGAGAAGCGTCCAGGCAGCGTTTGAAGGTGAGTTTTGACGTTTGCTTTCTGGTCCGGGTCCATCGTACCTACATCAAACTCCACGCCGTCACTTTGCCCCTCCCTAATTCCCCGTTTTTTGCCCTCGTACCTGACTCGAGTTGTGTCGATAATGTGTCATTCTGAAAGTCAACCGAGGGGTCAAGCGACAAGCGGAACGTGAGGGAGACTAGTATCCGTAATGTGTGGCAAAAAAAAAAAAGAAAAAAAAAGAAAAGGGACACCAAGTTCTGGTGGGCGGAGAAAAAGACACAAAGTGAGATAGACGTCGCGGTTTATCCCGTCGCCGCCGCCGCCGCCGCCGCTCGCCGGGCTTTCTCTTACCCTCTATCCGATGCCGTTTCCCTTGTTGTAGGATCTTATCCACACCTTTCTCCTCTTGCCTCTTGTTGATCGACCACCACCACCCCGGGTGTTCCATCCATCCGCTTTTGCGTGTCGAATCGCATCTCGTCAAATGCTCCCCCCCCTCCTAATACCTACTGCATATCTTATGCTCTACTGCACACACCCACATTCCCTCTTCCTCCCTCTCACAAGTACGGATAGACTGTTGGTTCTGGGATCTGCGAGGTGCTCGGGTATCGAGCCTAGCTTTCGTTCTCGCTTGCCGTTCCAAGTCAACCTCGTACTCTACATTTTTGCTTGGACCCATTTTTCTCGGCGAGACAATTCTCGACGTGTACACATCCACACACAGCACATATACATCCGAACAGCAACCCCTCCCCCCATATCCCAATCCTATTCCTTGCCCCCTCTTATCCCGTGCTGTCGGGTATACCGTCCCGTCTTGGAGAGGATACATATATCTTGAGGGGCCTTGCATCTGCAACTGCGGACTCCTCCTTTATCCCCCCCCCCCCTTCTCCACCGCTCCTTGCATCTCACACGATCGCTCTGCCAAGAGGGAGAGGATTCTGGCGCAACCCCGTGAGCGTTGTGTTGTGAATCGTGTATCAGCGGGTGACGGTCTGCATTCTTCCGCCCGGTGCCACTTTCTGCCATTACTGTTTATAGCTTAGAGCATTTTCCGCGAACGCCCCCAAAGCCCGTCTGCCTCATCCGGTCCCCAAACCCCAGGCCTGTTTCCACCTCTGACCAGCGGTGAGCTTTGCCTCCTGCTTGTCTTACGGCCGGCTATCGTCAGCTGCGTGTCGCTTCTGAGGCATCGTCCGGTACTACCTGCTTACGGACGAAAATAGCTAAAGAGAGACATGTGTCGTTGGTACAGCGAGTGCATACCGTGTTTTCCTTCCTGAACAATCTCATCCTCTCGCCAGCCCCACCCGTATAACCTCATCTCGTTCTACCAGAACAAGTAAATATTTTGCATTCTTCTCGGACAACATGTGGAGGGGTATCGGCTACGGCGGCCTACACAGTCACAGCTCCTGTATTTGACATCCTCTCCCGATCTCACATCGGTATCCACTTCACCCGCTCTCGGCCTTGCTGACCGAACTTCTTGCAGACCCGGCGGATCGTGGCCTCGGCCATATCAACTACCAGCCCAAAGTCCGCGTCATCGAGCGGTACAAGGTCGTAGGCTTTATTAGTTCCGGAACCTATGGCCGCGTCTACAAAGCCCTCGGCCGCCAAGGCCAGACGGGCGAGTTCGCCATCAAAAAGTTCAAGCCCGACAAGGAGGGTGAGCAGATCTCGTACACGGGCATCTCGCAGTCGGCCATCCGCGAAATGTCCCTGTGTAGCGAGCTGAAGCACGCCAACGTCATCAAGCTCGTCGAGATCATTCTCGAGGACAAGTGCATCTTCATGGTCTTCGAGTACGCCGAGCACGACCTGCTGCAGATCATCCACCATCACACGCAGAACCCGCGCCACCCGATCCCGCCGCAAACAGTCAAGAGCATCATGTTCCAGCTTCTCAACGGGTGCCAGTACCTCCACGCCAACTGGGTTTTGCACCGCGATCTGAAGCCCGCCAACATCATGGTCACCTCGGCCGGCGAGGTCAAGATTGGCGACCTGGGACTCGCGCGTCGCTTCGACAAGCCGCTGCATTCCCTTTTCAGCGGCGACAAAGTCGTTGTGACCATCTGGTACCGCGCGCCGGAGCTCATCCTGGGCAGCCGTCATTATACACCCGCCATCGACATGTGGGCCATCGGCTGCATCTTTGCCGAGCTGCTGTCCCTGCGGCCCATCTTCAAGGGCGAGGAGGCGAAGATGGATAGTAAGAAGACGGTCCCCTTCCAACGGAACCAGATGCAGAAGATTGTCGATATCATGGGCCTCCCATCCAAGGAGCGGTGGCCGCTGCTGACGTCCATGCCCGAGTACCCTCAGCTGTCGACCCTGCAGCCGCCCATGACACCGCACCACCATGGGCACCATGGACACCATCGCGGGCACGGGTACGGCCACCATCCGCCCGCGCCGAGCGGGTCGAACCTAGAGAAGTGGTATTACAGCACCATCTCGCAGGGAGCCTCGAGCAGCGCGACGTCGGCGTCGCAGGGCAACGGGGCACCGCTCGCGAGCCTGGGGGCCGAGGGGTACAAGCTTCTGGCGAGCCTGCTGGAGTACGACCCCGTGGAGCGGCTGACGGCGGCCAAGGCGTTGCAACACCCCTTCTTCTCGACGGGTGACCGGCTGAACGCGCACTGCTTCGAGGGGCTGAAGAACGAGTACCCGCACCGGAGGGTGAGCCAGGACGACAATGATATCCGGACGAGCAGTCTGCCCGGGACCAAGCGAAGCGGGCTGCCGGACGATTCGCTGGCTAGGCCAGCGAAGAAGTTGAGGGAGGTCTAAGGCCGGGTTCATTCCGTCCGGCGGATGGCCGAGAGGAGTGGAGGATATAGAACGGCAGCATAATATGGCGTTTCAGTGGTATCAGATCATAGTACAAACACAACCGCAGGGTCGGGCTTGGCGGAGAATGGCGTTGGGGGGAGGGGGGTTATTGATTACGGGACTGATGGGTGCACGGATACCATCATATGAGGTTTGATAGAGGAGAATTCACAGGCATTGCAGATATAAAAAGTAGAGGGGGGTAGTTTCGAGGCGATGAATGAAACCGAGGAATCTGGGCTTCTCAGTTTGGATCCCCCCTCCCACCCTCTCGAGCGAGACTGCATCAGTTGGGCTCGTACCCAGGCACAACGGCTTCTCGTGAAGGCAGTGATATGGCACAAGCTTCCCTCCCGTGTGTCTTTGTGGTCGGGCAGACGGGAGACGGGAGACGGCACGAAGAGTGTGTGACGCCCTGGTTGGCCAGTTGGTGGAAGATTATGAGGGGGGGCTACGTGGCTGCGTTGGGAGGGGGGCGATTTGTAACCTGCGTCTTGTGGGAATATGACGACGGGCAGAGAGAAGAATTGTCACTCGAGCCGTCTGGGATTTGATGTTTTTTTTTTTAACCTGCTCCCGAGACGATTAGGCTTCTATTTTTTTTTTTCTTTGGTATGTTCCGACGGGTCAAACATCAGCCGCTCTGGTTGTTGGTGTTGGGTGGAGAGGGAGGACGAATTCAGTAGGTTGTAAGGTTGTATCATGCGTACGGTGCCCAACGATGGAAAGAGAGCAGTCGTGTTTCGAGAAACGGCACGGCGTCTGCGTCGACGGGTGAGGAATGCCAAGGGCCAGCCGCAGGCGTCAGTATCGTAAGAATAACCCAAAGCCGTATTGACATGGAGAGCAGCATCCAGTCGGTCACCTAGAGACTGATTATTTTGGGACATCACCATGTTGAGCGTTAGGATGTCATCGACCCCCTCGGCACATGTAATCGTCATGGACAACAGCCAGAATTTGGGGGAACCGCCGGGGTGCTTGTTTTTTTTTTTTTGATGCATTTCATATTTGAGAGAATCATGAACCCATTCCCCCCGTTTCACGCCGCGTTTGACTCTAGTATTGCGCGGCCGGCCATAAATAAAACCTCTCGGGACCGGCACAGGGACGATGCAAAAAAAAAATAATGCACACACAAAGCCGCAGCCGAAATGGATAACCCCATGAGAGAGAGAGAGGCGAGGGGACGATTCCCCCCCCGGAGTGGAACAACAACACGAGAGCCCAAAGACGACATTTTGATTCGCATGTTCTTTTTTTTTTTTTGATGTTCCACCAACGCCGCCCACTGTTTTGCGGATGATCCGGGGGAAATCCCTCGCGTGCCTTAACCCTAGGCAACAAGGCGAGACGCTTATTCCTTCTTCTTCTTGGCACCCTTGACCTTCGCCGTACCGCGCAGAGTCTTCATGCGGTTCTTGCGCTGCTTGCCTGTGGAGCGCGGGTAATGTCAGTCATGCGGTCTCTTGGATGATTTGATTTTGCCACCGCGGCATGTGTCAAGGCACGTCCGGGTCTCGAAGACGGATGGATATCCGACCCGACGACCCGCCAAACCAGCGGCAGCAATCGGATGGGGAGAGGGGAGGGGGATTCGGCGTACGCTGCTGTCTGCTGGCCTTCTCGATCTTGCTGGCCTGGCCGACGCGGACGAGTCTGTAGTGGGGCTCGAACTTCTTCATGGCCTCGGGGGAGTCGTAGACGAGGGCGAAACCAGTGGTCTTGCCGCCACCGAACTGGGTGCGGAGGCCGAAGACGTTGATCTGGTCCTTGGTGGCCTTGTAGAGCGAGCCAAGCTTCTCGCGGAGCTCATCCTTGGAGATGTTGGCACGGCCGGGGTGGAGGATGTCACTGTGCGCATCGACCGTCAGCATTTCCGTACACAATGGAATAGTAAAAATCCTCATCGATCCCCCGAGAGAGCGCGCGCGCGCGTGCCAAGTCCCTCTTCCTCCTCCCATCCGTGGCTGTCCGAGTAGCTTAATTGGAGGCGTGTGTCGGTATGCCAATTGACGATATGCTTCTTCTTGTTCTTCTTCTCCCCCTTCCATCTTGTCTCCTTTCGATGTTGCCTTCCGTGCGCGCTTCCTTCGTAGGAAATGATATCTGGAGGGGCAAACTCACACGACCATCTGCTTACGGCCAAGCAGGGGGTTACGGATGAACTTGCGAGTTCGCAGGGTGACGGGGGTGTCGACGTCCGCCATCTTTGCGGTCGGGGGGGCTGATCTGTCTGTCGAGATGGGTTGGCGCTGGGACAGAAGAGTCGGAAAGGTGTGGTATCGTCAAAAGTTCGCAGAGTGATGTGTGGTTGTGATGGGGTCCGAGAGTTTTCGCCCGAAACTGTGGGTGGAAGCCCTAATTTGGTGCCTGAGGCCCGACGAGCCGCACCAAAAAACAGAAATCACGTGGGGTCGCTTGCCGGCACGGACCACACCTCTTTGCAAGTGCGAGAATCAGCTGACCTGTCAGCGTCCGAAATGCCATTGCTCGATTGGCAGTGCGGGAAAAGCGAAAAGCCAAGGGCGGCCCACCAGCAAAACGACACGGTGTTTGCACGGTACACCTCTTTTTTGTTTCTTCTTTTTTTCCCCCTTCTGACTCAGCATTGGTTCATTGCCTCGAATTTGGCGAATACCGACTGAAGAAGAGACTTCTACGACTTGTCGCCGTGTAATTACCTCATTGTGTCTTTCAGACCCGGGGTTTTCTCTGTATCTTCGATTCAACACGGGAGAACGCTTGGCTCCTTTCTGTTGGTGAAATCTGTCTTGCGTTGACTCGACCGGGGTATATAAACACTACGAAGTATCTTGCAGGGGGTGGCACTTGAGAGCGCAGACTTGAAGCTTCATATCTCACGGAATCAGGCAGCACACGACGTTTTCACGAGTGAAACGTTCGCCGTGTTACAACCATGGCGAATTCCATTCCTATGACAGATTCCGTCGAGCGGTTCTGCCACCAGTATCTTCAACTGGAAACGACCCTAGACTACCCTACTGCCGAGGTCATACGGGAACAACAAGCGCAAGACACGATTTATAAGAATCTCTTCTCGGACGAGGGGCCCCGTTACAGCCCCCCTGCGAGGTACCGCGTAAAAGTATTGAAAGAGCTTGTTGCACGCATCGAGTCGAGCATCGAGGATTGGGACCAGCACGTAAGCGCCCTCTACTGCAAGGCGCTGTGGCAAGACGGCTCTGCCGTCAGATGCGTGCATTCCCCTCTGACGGTGGCCTAGGAAGTCTCGGAAGATCTCATGGCAGCCTTGTCAGAATCTCTTGCAACCCCAATCCCTTCTGAGATATCCTCTGCTCAGCAGAAGGCCTACGTCACCTACCACATGAGCAGCCTTGCGCAGTACCCTTCCGAAACGCACTTGCATGGGCCTGACATCACCCTGCTCGAGTCCCGTTCGCTGATCTCTGCTTCTGGTACTACGGGCCTCCGAACATGGGAGGCCGCATTGCATCTAGGGCAGTATCTCTGCGCAAACCGGCAAATCATCCAAGGGAAGCGGGTTCTCGAACTGGGAGCTGGCACCGGATACCTGGCCATCCTCTGTGCCAAGCACCTCGCCGCCACACATGTCGTTGCCTCGGACGGGTCGGATGACGTTATCAACAACCTCCCGGAGAGTTTCTTCCTTAATGATATGCAAGAAAGCAGTCTGGTCAGACGGATGGAATTGAAATGGGGTCACGCCATGGTCGGAACAGAAGACCAGCAGTGGAACAACGGCGAGACTGTCGACGTGGTGATCGGGGCAGACATCACCTACGACCAGAGCGTCATCCCGGCACTCATCGCGACCCTCCACGAGCTGTTCTCATTGTTCCCGGGCGTCGAGGTTTTGATATCCGCAACCCAGAGGAACGAGGCAACGTTCGAGGCGTTCTGCAGCCGTTGCCGTCAGCGCGGGATGGGCCTCAGGTACGTCGACTTCCCGATACCAGTGAGGGAGCGGCAGACGGGTCCGTTCTACAGCGACAGCGTACCGATTCGAATCTGTCGAGTGTCGGCGCCATCTAGCACGGGCGTAACGTGGCAAGATGGTTGGGTGGGCGGACGATAATGTTCGGACGTGGTGTCATGTTGCAGCTGACTTCATGACATCTACCTCTCGCGTGATACGCTACCAAGACTGAGGTAGTGCTACAAGGCGGCCCCTCTGAAGGTCGCACATGCAACTGGCGCAAGTCGAGGCGAGATGAGATGCTAGTGACGATGCCCTTGCTCACTTGAATCATCACGAGCACCGGCTCTAGGCCTCCCAGACATCTCTGGCCCGCACGTCATTGGATAGTGAAGAGTACATTGACAGCAAAGTCAACCATTGACGATGGGCTCGACAAGTGTGGGTGGAAAATTATGAGAGAAATCCAGTTTGCAAAGTGAACTAGCGAGTTGACTCGCCGACACTCCAGGCTTGCATTCCAGCGCAAAGGTTGTCTGGAGGCGCAACAAGGATCAGCGATGACATAGATGCATGCAGGTTGTCAAAAGCCCCAGGGTCCAAGGCGAGCTCCGGATAAGTTGATGCGCCTCTACTGAGCTAGCCGGACGCCTCCCGAAACGCAAGAAACTTTGATTCACGGGAGAGGGCTACGGATACTGTGATGAACTTGTTGATACGAACGAGTGTGGACGAGAGTCTCGAGCGGCGAATAGCGTCGTCATCCTGGGCCCCGAAGGATGGAAATTTAGCAGTGAAGTCGGTCGGCACACGGCCCCGACCGAAGTTCCGATGATGAAGGCCATCATGCCATCAGGAACACAAGTTTGATGGAGGTCCCCGCGGACCAGTCGACTTGTCGGGTTTATCGCCTGTCGGACACGATGAGCTTCCCCGGATTTCTAGAGCTAAGCGGGTGTGGTCTGACGCTTTCGGCCGTCTCAGAACGCGGAGAAGGTTCGAAGTCGCTCGGCGGATGGTGTTGGTACCTTCTTCCCCCCTCCTTCCGGTCTGCACCCCATAAACTCAATTCATGACAGAGGGCTTGCTGAGGTAGGGAGGGAGGAAGTTTTAGGTAAGGTTGTGCTGGTAGCAGATACGGAGATGACGCTCCGGCTTGATGAACTACGGAGGTGGCAACGACGACGAGGAGGCAAACCATAACGATAAGAGGTTGGACGTCATATCTTTGATTTTGGACATGTGGCTGGAATCATTGGATCACGTACTGTACGTTGAAGACGACTACGTAAGCTCGGTCAGAGTGACGTTGGAGGTCGTGTGGCTCACACGAAGGAGCCCACTCACCCTTGCACATGATTCAGAAATGCGGGAAAACCAAACTAAGAAAAAGGGTTTGGGGAGCTCGATGATTGGGCGGATTGGGTGGGTTGGGGAAGCATCCCGGATGACAAGCGCATTGCCAATACATGGGGACTGCGGTGTAGCCATTCGGGAGGCACCTTCTCGGACGTTCTCTCTGGCGCATTGGGAAATGATAAGACGGCAGAAGCGCGGGAGCGCAAAGGCGGCGACAAACAGGGCCAGCGTCAAGCGTGTTGAAACGAGGCTATGAAGTCATCCTATCCGCCCCCCATGGATGAGCATCGGGGGACGGGAAAGGTCGAGCTCGGCTCGAGGGCCGGTGCTGGGCTCTCCCCACCCTTCTACGGGAGTTCGGTTGAATGCATTGGGTTGTCGATGAGGAAGAGGTGTGTATGTGTGTGTTTCGCTACATGCCAAAACATGCGAAAGGAGTTCCCGTCATGCTGGGCCCGAGAGGCTTCTCTGCAAGGTACGCAACCCCCAAATCCATGGTCTCGTGCTTGCAGTTGCGTACGCTGGCCGTCGATGACGGAAGCTGGATTGTCAGGCGAGGCTGATGCTGCCCGATTATTTGACGATGCACGTCCCGACTTCCGGTCAAGCTTGCAGCCGCTAGTAGACCGAATAGAGAAGGTGAAGTTCTGTCCGGCCGTGTGTCCGCTTGCATACCCGGTTCAGACGTAGTTGTGATGAGGATTTGGCCACCACACGCAGTGTAGGCGAAAGTAGCTGTCAAGCACCCAAACTAGGTATGTGATCGCCCCTCCCCCCCCGCTAGCCACGCGGTGAGGTAAACTAGGTAGGTACCTAGGTAGTGAGAGGAGGTACCGGTACACATGCGCGGCTGACCGCTGGCTCTCGGAATCTCAAGCCTAGCTGACCACATCATTGGACCTGCCCGGAATAACATGATATTCCATAACCCGGACCAATCCCTGACCCGAATCCTAACCCCAACCCTAACCGAACCCTAACCGACCCTATCCACTAACCCTACTTCGGCTTAGTGCGTGCACGGTCATCATGTCTGGTCAGGTCAGAGGCAGTGATCAGGTCAGGTCAGGTACCCCCCACAATGGTCGCCTTGACTACAGACTCGCTCAAAGAGGCACGTCGGTCTAGGCGTCTTGTCCAGAGGATCTCCCGCACGACGAATGTGCGTTTTCGTATGGGGGGGCAGAAAGGCCAACTCTTCTCTCTGGTGGGCAGCTCGGAAAGCTGGGCCGGACAGCGTTGCTTCTATTCAAAGCACAGGTCGGCGGGGCGTTATGCGAGTGGCCCGTCCCCAGATTAACCAAGATTAAACCAAGATTAATTAAAGGAAAAAAAAACAAAAAAACCATGCCCGATGGGTGCGGTGCATACGTCGTAACTCACCGAGGGCAAATCCAGGCAGGCAGACAGGCAAGGAAACGTGGGATGGATGATTGAGACACGAGCTGTTCAAGGTGAGGGAAGCATGTACGCAGTACGTCACCTTGTACTCACACTCATCTCTTGAGGGATGCAAGTACAAAATGGCACCAGCCTCATCGGCATCAGAACCTACGCAGTAGTGTGTCTACAGAGACAATCTAACAACACACACACACACACACAAACTGTACGACAAGCCATCTCATCCCATCAGACACGAAGCAACGAGACAAGTCTTGATATCGGCCGTATTTCCTTGCATTGATATGTATCACTGTGATATAACGTGGAACACCCCCGATCCCTCGGAAAACCAGCATAAACCCGAACAAGGACCACAATATCAGGAGGAGCATCAACGTCAACAATCACGAGAACAAGTGGCCGTTCCCACCGAGCATAGCCATACGCCCCATCAGCAGCAGCAGCAACAACAACAACAACAACAACATCAGCATTACGACCTTTCCCGCTTCTTGAATCTTCTGACATCCAACAGCCGCGGGCCAGTGCTCAGGTGAAAGCGAAGCCGGTTCCCATTCGCCAGACTATACTGTAATCGCATCATCAGGAACCCCTACGGTACGGCGGCTGCAGCCACGCCCAACGGCGCTAGTGGCTAGCTGAGGTCGATTTCGCCCTCAGAGGCACACTCGCACCTTATCAGGGAACTCTGGTTATCGCCTCCCCCCGACTGCATCGTCCGTCTCACAATCTCTCCAAGCCCGCACTAGCAGCGCCACGCCGACCCGACCCTGCGTATCATCGTCACGTCGTCCCCCCCTTTGAGGAGACTGACGGGCGACCCATTCCTCGTACCAGGGTACCAGCACACCCACCAACTCAAACCCAACCGAGCACACTGTCAGCCCAAGGTCGGACCAAGGAAAGCTAGCGCTATCAAACGTTGCAGGCTGCGCTACGGGGCAGAACAAGGCCTGGCCACGAACGTGGACTCTCTCCCATCTCGGGTTGCATAAACAGACGCACGCTGTGGCTGCGTTGAATGGCGCAACATTGAACCGGTTTATTGCACCACCGATAACGAGCTTGACGCTCTTCGTATTTCCCGTCATCATCCCATCCGGCCTGGCCTCGGGTCTACATATCGATTCGAACCAGGGGGGTTAAGGAGAGTGAGGAGCTTCCCCCCCTTCCACACCCATTTCTCATACATCCGTATCCCCGTCATATCCCGTCTTACACTACGGATACGTAGTATGGATACTCCTACTCCGTACACTGCTACGCTATCGGTTCCCCCCCTCATCCCTCCTTCTCGTTATCCCTAGAAGGAGAGGTAGATACACGCACAATCCGAACAAGGAAGAAAAAAAGGTTTCCGGTTGCCTTCGTCACGGCTGCAAGCACCACCATCAGCACACCACGGCTCTCAGACGGCTAAGGTTTTTATTTTAGTCTCTTAGTGCCGACGGGCTTTGACTCTGCGACGACGACGACGACCAACCTGAACCACTCCATCAAAAACCATCGTGGGCTCTCGCAAAGCTTCTAAAACCTCGTCTCGGTTACCGGACCGGCGCCACTTCTCGTACTCCCCCTTTTTCTCTTTTTTTTCTTTTTTTCCTCTCTCCCCCTCTCAAACCAAGGTTTGGGGGCGCACATTTTCCTCTCTACTCCTGACTACCGAAGCCGCCGTTACCCTGCTTTCCGTCTGCAACGCGGGTACTAATACTCGGTCGTTGTCTTGATTAACAGTGGGACTTGCTCACACATAATAACACTCTACGGAGTACACACACACACACACACACACACATACGAGCATACCACACCCCCCCTTAACTATCGGAGACATCCCGGTCGACGGTAAACGCCCTGTGGCTGAATGTTCCATTTCCACGAGGGGGCGCCTAGGCATTTGTGATTGCCGTACCAGAATTTGGCCTTGATTTCCTCGGCGACATCCTGGAATACCTTATTTCACAGACGGGACACAAGGAAACAGAGTCTCTTCTTCTCCTCTTTTCCTTCGTGTCTCCCGCCTCTTACGCAGGCCGTCCGTCACTTACCGGGCCACCCACAACTGCCTAATAATAAAGTCAGAGGTCCCCTTGACTGCTGACAGGTGTGTGGAAGGGGGAAGAAGTACTTAGCTGCGTTATATCCTGCAACCCCATCTGCATCGCGGCCGCATCGGACGTGCACACCGCAAACTGCAACCCCCCCCAGCAGCAGCCGCAGAAGAAGCAGAGCGAGAGCCACACACCAACCACACACACATACTCCGTATACACACACACACACACACACACACACCTTGGACTCTCTACCTGTAGATATCATTTGTTTGGTTCATACCCCTGCCCTCTGTTCCCCTCCCCTCCCGGAAGACACAAGTGCATTAGTCGTCAACCAAACATCTGCCCGACAGCTACCACGCGCTCCTCTTTCCGCATGCATCGTCTCCTCTTTTTCTTCACATTTACTGCGTAATACCGACGGTCGAGAGGGGCTGTCCAGACCGTCTACCAGCAACCCCCGCAAGCCTCTAACGTACGCCCGCGTGTTCCCCTCTCTCGTCTAGGCATTATACGCCAAACCGGGGGGGTACCGGTTCATTTCAAAGGAGACAAAGGCCGCCGGGTCCACCTGGAGATCGACGCCGTCGACAGGGCCGGGGGCTCCAGACTGAGAGGTGTGCGGTTACAAGGTACGGATACACACATCTCACTTGGTCTCGTTTAGTATTAGTACTCGGCGCCGCCTCCTCTGCCTCTCGAACCATCAGCTCAAGACCACGAGTCAACTCTCTTGGTCAAACCAGCCACACTCACCGTCCGGTTTTTACTCCTTGCCAACGCCTTTGTTTTGTCTGTTTTCTGGTCTTCCTTCACCCGTCAACGAGGAGGACAATAAACAGAAACGTTGGCCAAACATTCACCAAGTCAACAGACGCACATCTATATCTACCTTGTCAGGAACCGCCGTGGTTTCTCAGACCCGTTTTCCAAGCAGCAGCAGCAACATCATCACGTTGACGACATCGGCCGAAGCTAAACCCACCCGCCGTACATCACATCACATCACCTTTACACGAGAACCTTCATAGCGCATATTCCATCGACAACAGCTTTGGGGTATCGTCGCCACCTGGCTCTCTACCATCGCAACTTACAAGCCAAACCAACTCCTCCGTTAAATAGCCCTCAGTCAATTCCCAATGGGCTCGTCAATAGCCCAGAGACACATTACCTGCACATTACAACGACCATATCCACCAACATCAACAAAAATGGCAGCCCCATCTTGCCCACCTGTCTCTCCCCAGGAGCAGACGTCCAACTTCGCCCTCCAGCAATACCTCGTCCTGCACTCCCAACACGAGGAGCTCCGCCAGCACCTGGACCAGATCAGGCCCATGGCGACGTGCAACACGTCGCTCTCGTCGTCGCCGTCCGTGTCGCCGACCCGCAGCACCTACTCGCCCTTCGGGCAGTACCCCAACGCCTCGTCCGGCGGCGGCCGGAGGCACCACGGCCGCAGCAGGTGCCCGTCGCTCTCGGGGCCCAAGGCGCGGCGCAGCAGCTCGCTCGCGCCCATCGCGGACGAGACGACCATCTGGGCTGTGGCCGAGGAGGAGCGGCGCCTCTTCGACGTCAACGAGGGAATGAAGCGGGCCTTGATGGAGCTCCTCAACTGCGAGCAGGTGCGGAGCGACAGCTCGTTCCGCATGTGGGTGCAGTGCCGCCTGATGGACACGGAAAAGGAGTTGCGTTCCGAGCGGCGACGCAAAAGCGCCCCGTGAGGACCATGTCCTTTTTCTCTGTTGGATCATATACACTCACGCACACACACACACACACACACACACACACACACACACACACACACACATACCCACACAAATCCCACGGATCGACACAGAAAGAGGTGCATAGCGGCATCGTCGTCATTTTAATCTACGTAATTGCCCCCAGGGGATTCATCATTTGGAGGCGTTGGACGGGCAGGATATCACCTTATCAAACGGCGTTATGGCAAGGGATGCGGGTTTCCAACATGTGCCTAGAAAAGGCAGTGGCATGGCATTATTCGGGCTTGACGGGGAGCCACCCGCATCAGAAGGATCGGGGAGGGAAAACTGGCGCAAACGGGGGGGGGGGGGGGGGGGGCGGGAATTGTCTTGTTTAATTCTCAATCTCGCCTCGCCCGTCGGGGGTATTGGGTGTCATTTGGCGAAGAGCGGCCTGACATAAAAACAGCCTACCTACACTTTATTCTGTATTCTTGTTTATTATCTCTTCTTTCTCATCAGCCGTACTTTATCGGCATACACGTTTCACTGTTGGAGGGTTGTCGGATACCACAGACACATACAAACCTACGTGGTAGTAGAGCTTGTAGCTTGTAGCTTGTAATGACTGATATGACAACCAGATTACCAAGACTTGGCAAACTTTGCCAACCTTGTTCCCTTGGCGAAGCGAATCAATGGTCTGATCATTATGCTTAGTGGCCCCGGCCATGACAGAGAGCAGCGCTACCGAACAAGCTCAGCAGATTGATCAAATCTCCTTGGCACCGGCCCAAGGAAATGAAAAAGTAAAAGCCAACTTGGATATCCGGATGCGGTGGTGGAGCGGTGTTAGACAACTTGGTGGTAGAGAATACATGCCAATCGGACAAGTTCCAAAGATGCTAATGTAGAAAAGCGGAACCATCCCAGAAGCTCTCGTCACCGCCTGATTCGCCAACGATTTTTTCTCTCTGTCCTTACAGTGCGAAGTATGGATAACATGGTGGATTTGGACTATGTGACGAGGGCTTCTTTGTGTCCGCTGCCTGCCTCTCCCTCGGCCGATTGTTGCTCCAACATCACATCACACCGCCTTCACTGCAAACGCCATCGAACCCATACACACACGCGCACACACACACACACAGCCTCTACCCCCTGTCTTCGGCCGAGCTGCCGATCTTACACTACTTGTGCATTCGACCCAAGCGAAATACTTCGAGCGGCTGGTCTGTGTCGATCACCTTCTTGCGGCGCAGAGGCCGAGGGGGGGGGAACTAGCTCCGGAGAGCTCCGTCGCCGATAAGACAATCAAACCCACTGACGACAACCGCGACGACTGCGGCCATTCCATTGCGATTACCTTCGTTCAGCTACCGAGGCCAACAAACACAGGGCGCATACCAGAGACCCCGGCGCCATGTCGGTCCTCTTGGAGACCAGCTCGGGCGACATCGTGATTGACCTTCTGGTCGACTACGCCCCGAAGCTGTGCGAAAAGTAAGTCGCCGGCTCTCTCTCTCTCTCTCTCTCTCTCTCTCTCTCTCTCTCTCTCTCCCCCGGTCGCCGCGTCACAGCTCTTGCTCAGCTAACCAAAGCTCGCCAGTTTCCTGAAGCTCTGCAAAGTCAAATACTACAACTTTTCACCCGTCCACTCCGTCCAGAAGAACTTCTCCTTTCAGACCGGCGACCCCCTGGGGCCCCTGTCCAAAGAGTCCGATGGAGGCACGTCCATCTGGGGCCTCTTGTCCGGCGACAGCTCCAAAAAGATGTTCCCGGCCTTCTTCCACCCGAAGCTGAAGCACCTCGAGCGAGGCACAGTCAGCATGGCCACGGCGCCCTTGGATTCGGACCCGGACACCCGCGTCGCTGCCTCGCAGTTCATCGTCACCCTCGGCGACGACACCGACTACCTCGATGGCAAGGCCGCCGTCTTCGGCAAAGTCGTCGAGGGCTTCGACGTTCTCGAGAAGATCAACGACGCCATTGTCGACGACAGGGGGCACCCGCTAATCGACATGCGCATCAAGCACACCATCATCCTCGACGACCCGTACCCCGACCCTCCCGAGCTGCGCGAGCCCAGTGGCTCGCCGCCTCCGACCAAGGCGCAACTCGACACCGTCCGCATCGCCGACGAGGCCGCGCTGCACGAAGACGACGACCTGGACGAGGAGGCCATCGAGAAGCGCCGGAGGGACAGGGAGGCACGGGCGCAGGCACTCACTCTGGAAATGATGGGTGACCTGCCCTTCGCCGAGGTCGCACCACCCGAGAACGTCCTCTTCGTCTGCAAGCTCAACCCGGTCACCACGGACGCCGATCTGGAACTCATCTTTGGCCGGTTCGGCAAGATCCTCAGCTGCGAGGTGATCCGCGACGCCAAGACCGGCGACAGTCTCCAGTACGCCTTCATCGAGTACGCCGACAAGGCCTCGTGCGAAGCCGCCTATGCCAAGATGCAGGACGTCCTCATCGACGACCGCCGCATCCACGTCGACTTCTCGCAGAGCGTGAGCAAGCTGAGCCAGGTCTGGCGGGACGACACGAACCAGAAGCGGAGGAAGCACGCCTCCAGAGGCGGCTGGGGCGGAGTCGACGAGCTCGAGAAGAGGCGGCAGTACCGCGACGAGTACGAACGGACCCAAGACCAATACAACCTCGTATACGGGGACGAGGAGATGAAGGGGCGCCACGAGCGCGCCAAAGACGGTCGTCCGGAGCCGCCGGAGCGGAGGGCGGAGCAGGACAGGGACGCGCGGGACAGGGACCGCCCCAGAGCAGAACGGGAACGCAGGCGAAGTCGAAGCCCCGGACGTCCGAGGGCCAGGGACAGGGAAAGGGAAAGGGACAGGGACAGGGACGGCAGGGGAGATGGCGATCGATTCCGACCCGACGACCGGGGTGCCGGGCGGCAGCGGTACCATCACCAAGACGGACGGCGAGACGATCGGGACCCGGGTCGCAGGGACCGCAGAGATTGGAACAATCGGAATCGAGGCAGGGATCGAGACTCGGAGAGACGAAGATGAGCAGGATTTTGGGCAATCATTGGCAGCGGAAGCGTCGACAGCGGCGCAAGCCCAATGGTTTCTCGTCACCCCCTTTTTTTTTTTTTTCGTCCGCGGCGCAAGCAGTATACCCACAGCCGCCGTTGAGCGGGCGGTCGGCCAGTCGGTCACAGATGTAGAACCCCCCTCGAAGAAAATACATACAAAATCGACCGCCAAATGTCGGCCACTTGAACCCTCCCCCCCCCCCCCCCCGCGTAAGGCTAGTGTTTCATGGACAAGACCGAAATCTAAGTTGAACCTGTCGAGATGCGGGCCACGGCAACCTGCACGCGAGCCCCATCCCTCGTTGTCTCTCCCACACACGCTCTCTCTCGCTCGCTCTCTGTCTCCCCCCTTGGGGCTATGAAAGTCCGAGGGTAGGGGTGCAGCCGAGGGGGGGATCGCCAGAAGGTGAAGAAGCCGTGGGGCGGCTCGCCGTGTCGCACACACGGCGAGTGACCTCTTCGAAGCCAGCAAAGTTCTCACGTCGTTATTTCCCGCCGTTGGCAAACACGCTACCGAGGCCATTTCACTCGCAGAGCTACATGCAAGTAAGCGTCCTTCCGAAAGCCCCGCGGTGCTGTGGGGGGGGAGGAGGAGGTTGATGCACTCTCATGGTGTCGCGAAGGCGGAGGGGCAAGAGGAGGTTACATCAGCCCGCTGGCGTTTGATGAAGCTGTCATCTGTCAGTTGTCACATCTTCAAGGTAAAAAAAATTCCCTATGTTCTTGGGGGGGGGAAAGACAGCACCTTGGCGGCATCTAGACGGCCGGTGGGCCATGCAACGAGCCATCCCATATGCAAGTCCGCAGCCGCCCTCGTGCAGAACACCCAGGATTCGGTGCGACGACGCCCTCTTTTGGGCCTGTCAGGTCGACCGAGCCCCTTCTCCCCCTCTCCCCCCATCGTCGCCGTTCAGCTCTTGCCGCATGGGGGTTTTCGGGGTTTGCAGGGTGCTTTTCGGTTTCGGAATGGAAGGGCTGGGAAAGGTTCACGTCGGCGGCACTCTCAACTTGCATCCGACAATGGCCGGCTCTTAATCGTTTTAAGAATTCCGGTCCCTGGTGCTGCCGCCGTCGTCATCGACGCGGACCCCAATGTGAATAAACCCCTTCTTTCGTACGGTCTACGGATACTACTGTTGGAAATAGCCCCCCCCCCCCCCCCCCCGGGGAGGTTACCTTTTTACGAGTCAGACTACTCTTATCCCAGCATGCATGGGCACTGTTTGCTAACGCCTTTGGGGGGCCCCACCCTTCCTCCCCGATCCAACTTTACCTATTTCGTGTTTCTGCGCGGATCACGGCAACTACCTTGTGGACTAAGTAGATCGGTCCTATAGCCGTATTAGTACATTGCACACCATACTGGGTCAGTTCTAAGACCGGAAGATCATACGAGACACACTTACTGACTACTAAATACGATGGTGGAGCCAGTCACTTTTACGATTATCTCTATGTAGCTCTCCCCCTGGCTCGATCACCTCAATTCAAGCACTTGGTCTAGGCCTCTATAGGATGGGGAACAGCTAGGTATAGTCGCGGCTGTCATGCATCAAGGCAGGGCTGTCTAAGTCCGATGGGTAGTCTCTGGAGTCGTTAAAGAAAGTCAGCAAGGCCAGGTGTATCCGAAGCCCCCCCCCCCCCCCCCCCCAGCTGCTAATGTCGTACACGATCATGAGAAAGCGACAACGTGTCGAGTCTCTCTGCAGAGGGAGGCAGGTGAATGCGGTTTATTTCTGGCCAACGGGCATTACGTCTTCTTAGGTCCTGTGTAACGGGCCGTCTCTCCTCACTGAGAGACATTCAAGGGCCAGAATATCGGCCTCAGGTGTTGGCCAGGGGCGCAACGATGGCCGGGACCCCAAGAGACGGAGGACGCCGGTCGTCCCCCAATGCAGGCGGCGTCTCTGTTGGAGCCAAACCACGACATATTCGTTGGCACAGTACGTGC